GTGTCAGCGGAGCCCGAGCTGTGCCGCGCACTGCCGTCCCATCTAATCTAATCGTACAGTAGATATGATGTGTCCGTATCAGGCATGTAGTACAGAGGTCGCGGGTTCGAGCCCGCGAAAAGGAAAACATTAAAAAACGGCTAGACGCCGTACCAACTCGTGACACTCAAGGCCGCAGATCCAAAAAAGTACATTTTCGGATTTGGCCGCCGGTATGTGTTGTTCTATGTAACACGATACCTTCTGACAATAGCCCAGCATTTGTTCTGGGCGAACTATTGCAAATCTCAACTTTTGGATCGGTGCTGCGAACATCATGGCTACCATGGACATAAAGAAGGCCATCGATAGTGCAGGAAATGAAATTCAACCCACGGTATCATTTGTGTTAGGGGATTTCCAGGTCAGCGTTCACAGGAGCTGACGTTCACCCGAATGTAACCGATTTTTAGCCTCCCTCGGCCATTCCTTTGTAGCATTCGTCCGCGCTCATCGTTAGCGGCAGACGTTGCTGCTCAGATTGGCACAAGCGAATTGCACGCCTAGTAAGCGAACGATGAACGGAGATCCCGACGATGTCGTCGCCGATCAAGCCATCTACATCATATGATACACGGGATTACATGGTGCTCCTTGTCATCAAGCTACAATATGATTCACGGATCCCGGAATGTATTATATATGTACCAATGTCATTCTTGGCCGAATGTTGAATGCTCTGCTGTTCCTCCAGAGACAGATATGTAGAAATGTGTACTCTGATTGGTCCCGAATATCTAAACATAATGCAGCGCTTACAAGAGTCAGTCCCTTCTTCCGGCAGCTACTGCAGCTATTCGATCCTTTGCATTTCAAGAAGTCCTCGGGTGACCCGCACCACAGGACGCCCATCTCAAATCGAGTCAATCTGATTTGCAGCGGACTGCAACCTTCCTATCTACTCCATGAGCACTTCTGCTTATCTAGACATCTAGAATATGCCCTGGACGCTACTTCGCAGACACGACTATCCGGCTCGCCATTATTAGCACACTAGACCATATGGGTGCCCAGAAGGGGCGAGACTCGTTCGGGAAAGCGACCTCTTTGAGGCCGACTAAGTTTGAATCCGGTAAGCTCAGGTACGTGGTGGCTCATAATTCATTATTGCTGGCGCAGAATCAACTCTGAGCCTCCCTAGCTATCAATTTCGTCTTGTATGTGATATCAAGACGCGCACAGACAATGCAGCTAAGCTCACCAGGGGCACAATGCTGAAACTGAGCCACGATCATATAAAGCTAGCTATGCTCGTCACATCCAATTGTAGACTCACGCTTCGACTATGGGGCTAACAAGGACGAGCCTGTTGACTTTTGGGTATGTCGGGCAAGCGTCGCTGCTGGCCCGGGTCACGTGGTCGTGCGCCGGTGTGGGAATAGGACTTATGTAGGCGTCGCGCACCGTAGGTAGCCCCATTGGTTTGTAACCTAATCACCGATTGATCCCTGTCCATCGAGGACGTTGTCTGCCGGCGGTCTTTCCGGCGTCGTTCTCACACAAACCGATCGACAAATCAAGTGCTTTGCTGTTGCCTAGAACCTCACTATACTACTCTCTCGTCTGGTACTGGCGCCAACATGACTTCGGAGCATGACACCAAGTTCCCCCTCTTGGTCGAGGGGAAGTATCGGGTCTGGGCAATGAAGATGGAGGCGGAGCTGGTTAGGAAGGGACTGTGGGGGGTAGTGGAAGTCGAGGTGGAGCCCAAGGAGGGGGAAGACGGGGCTGAGGCGTTAGTGAAGGAGCTGAAGAAGCGGAAGAAGGCCGACATGGCCAAGGCGCGGGCGGAGATCGTGCTCCGGGTTGGTGACGACCAGTTGGAGCTGTTGGAGGACGAAACGGACCCCCGTGAGTGCTGGCGGGTCCTCCAGGATGCGCACCGTTCACGAGGTTTCGCCACGGAGCTGGCAAAGTGGCGGCAGTTTTACCGCGCAGAGATGGAAGGCGGTGAGACAGCACAGGCTTGGATCTCCCGGGTCAAAGGCTATGCACGGGCGCTCCGGGATGTCGACGTCGAGGTATCGGACCAGCAGAAGGTCCTTGTTCTCATCATGGGACTTGGCGAGGACTTCGAGCGGGTGGTCACGGTGGTTGACGGGATGCCGACAAGGGAGCGCACATTTGACAATGTGTGTGCAAAGCTGCTGAATGAGGAGACGAGGCTCGGGAAGCGGCGGGACAATGGCGAGGCGACTGTCGCCAACGTTGCAGCTTCAGGGGGAGCTTTGGGGGGCAAGGTGACGTGTTTTCGCTGCGGAAAGGTTGGGCACATTCGACGGAATTGTCCGGACAAAAGGACTCATGCGAGCTTGGCGGTCGTGGAGGATGTCTTCGCGTTTTGATTGGGCGTAGGCTAACGGCAGCTCGCTTGAGGGGGAGTGTTGACTTTTGGGTATGTCGGGCAAGCGTCGCTGCCGGCCCGGGTCACGTGGTCGTGCGCCGGTGTGGGAATAGGACTTATGTAGGCGTCGCGCGCCGTAGGTAGCCCCATCGGTTTGTAACCTAATCACCGATTGATCCCTGTCCATCGAGGACGTTGTCTGCCGGCGGTCTTTCCGGCGTCGTTCTCACAGAGCCATACCGAATGCTTTTGAAAGGGCCAATCTTTCTGCCGGAGTCATATGGTGCTATAGTTTTCATTCACTCAGCCCCCTATAGTTCATTTCCTCGCCGCAAGATTATATGTGCTTCGAATCAGGCAGGAGTTGAATGACGCTGTGATTAGCGCCCATCGTCCATTTTTGGTTCAGCAGCACCTCCTTAGATTGGAAGCTACTCCTTGTCAACGCAATCGCTAGGCTAGACTTTGAGTGTCCATTCCACATTATTCCAAGTAAGTACAGCATTACGTAATGCAAACCACAATCAAATTTGTACGCGGCTTCTGCGTGCTCCGAGTCCACAAACCTTCGCGCTCCAATCTTCGTGGCCCGCGAGACCGAAAACGCACTAGCAGCAGGGTGAAAGTTGATACCCTAGGGCGTCGATCCACACTCCAAGTGTCCTTGCGTGATGCCGTAAGTGCAACAGTCACTACACGGATGCTGATCGCGCTGCCTAATGCCCTACGTGTTACTACTGTCATCCTTACCGGGATGGTTGACTCCTTGCCGATAATTGCTTGCTCCTGCTTGTAACTGATGATGGTTCACCATTCAACGCTCTGATAACACCGTCGCCAGCAAATCGCGGGACGACATAGAGAATTCACGAAGATGTACCTCGCCTAGCATTGAGCTTCGACTGCCGTGTGGGATGCCATGTAGATCAAGGAGTAAGAGGCATTCCCACTAGATCGTGACTCAGATCTGTCTCCTTACTCTATGAATGCACATAGAGAAACAACACATGCCAACAGCGGCTAGAATGTAATGAAGATCAGGCAGTCGAGCTGAACATTCAACATAGGGTTCCAACTTTAACATGTGCTATCTCAATGCGCACCGCACCTGGAAAAGTACCAACTCCAGCCTACCGCAGCACATCGAAGCATAGCGATATGCATCAAAGTTTTTTGTTAGTGTCTCATATACAAGATTGGCCAATAGCTAAGTTTGCCAGCGTCCAATGGGTATGTCTTAGCCATTATACAGGAACACTTCGGCGTGGCTCGCATAACATGTGAGCGATACAACGCTTCTCATGAAACCAGCCGAGTATTGAGCTCCGACACGGTAGTGTGATGTGTGGTCTGATGCTATACCTATGGAGAAGTAAGAGCCATTCCCTTTGGACGAAAACCAGAGTTGTCTCATTATTCTTCACCTGCGCTGGACGATAGTCCAATAGGCGCTATATTGTAATGTAAATCAGTTAGCCGAACTCAACATCCGAGGTCCATATCTCAAACATGCTATCTCAACGCACAATGCATCTGGCATGGCCCAGATATCAACGCATCCCGCGTCGCATCGAGGCTTAGCGATATGCGTCGAAGTTTGTTCTGGTATGGTGCCTGACATCACGTCTCTAGATTGCCCGTCAACGTCCAATAGGTATGCCAGAACCATTAAGTCGGGACATCTTGATCCGTGTGGCTCAGGTAGTATGTGAGCGACGCAGCGCTTTGTCGTCAGAAAGCACAGACATGCAAGTTCGGATAGCCGCGGCGCTTGCAGGTCTTAGTATGTTCGGATGCAGAATGTGAGCGTATTATATATATGTGTGCCGTGTTGTATTGCTTCGCTGGACGAGCCCATCCATTTTCCCGACTGCGACTCAGGCTAGGTGCCGATTCGAGCATGCCGCTTTCATTCAATAGTGATGTGCTGCTGTGCGTTAGTGTTCTTCTTGTCGTCGCAGGCCACTACGCCTACACTCGTTGGCTCTTCCCCACGCGTCGACTTCCTCTACCTCCTGGGCCACCACGCGCTCCTTTCCTGGGGAACATACACCAGATCCCTTTAACTTATCAACACAAGAAATTTGCGGAATGGTCCCGGAGTTACGGTTCGTTCTTCAATACACCTGACAGACCGCTCACACCAATGCGTCAAACGACATGTAGGGGATCTGCTTTGCGTAAAGATCTTCCATAAGCCGATGTTTGTCATCAGCTCCATCAAAGTGGCTCGCGACTTGCTGGAGACACGCTCGACGAAATACTCAGACAGGCCCCATTCCGTCGTATTGAACGACCTGTAAGTCCTCCGTATCGGACACAATTGCAGTTCTGACGGAACACGGACGAATAGCGTGTTTCCCAGGCCGGTTTTGGCGGTCATGCCCTACGATGAACAGTGCAAGCGTCTGCGTTAATGGTTTCAAGGTGCATTGGAGACGAAGGCCTCTCTGCAACAATATCATCACATACAACGGAAGGAGGTCGGGATACTTCTGTCGGATCTTGTACACACTCCCAAGGAGTTCTTCTCCCACATCAGGAGGTGGGATTCAAGTTGTTCACTTCTGTTTACAAATACTCCGACTCACCTGCGGCCAGATATAACGGCTCACTCATGTTGCAAATCGCCTACGCTCATCCAGCGTCATCCGCGGAAGACGAGTACATGGCATTCGCAGACCGCGCCGCTGTTGCTGTCACCGCAATAGGTATTGTCTCTCCGCTGGCCGACTTTGTTCCCATCTGTAAGTCAAATGTACGATAGGAGCTTGTCCTGGAACGCTGAATTGCCTTGTAAATAGTGAAGTACATCCCGACATGGATGCCTGGCGCAGGCTTCAAACGTCAAGCCCTGCGAGCTAGGGATATGTGGGCTGAGATGACACGCATACCGTATCAGAGGATTTGTGATGACATGGTAAGGAAAGCCCATCTTGTTGTTGCCGGGTTATTGAATGCACGGTTGGCCGCTTCCTAGGCTCTCGGGAAAGCAAGGCCCTCGTTTACCACTTTCATGATTCAACAAGTGTCGCGAGATGGAAATCTCACGGACGACAATAATCACGACATCAGCAATGCTGCATCCGTGATGTACGGAGGTGGGTACTCGCCCCTGCCTCCCATATGCTGAATGCTTACATGGCTCAAGCCGGAGTTGATACGGTAGGTCGACTCTACAGACGGTCGCGGGAGAGACTGACAATTGACCCTTCGTCGAAGACCTTGCACACGCTGCTTACTCTGCTTCTGGCATTGACGATCTATCCGCAAGTTGTAGACAAGGCGCAAGCGGAAATCGACAAAGTGGTCGGTACATCTCGTCTTCCTGAGCTTGCCGACAGGGAATCTCTGCCATACTTGGGCTGTATTGTGCAGGAGGTGCATCGGTGCGTCCACCCTTCTTTCGTTCATTTTGCATGATCGTCATACATCAGTCACAGATGGAACCCTGCTACGCCGCTCGGTAGGATTATTAGTTTTGAAATGATTCTTCGTTTCAAGGGCTGACATGAGCTCAGGAATACCACACCGTCTTCAAGAGAATGACAGCTACAACGGATATGGTCTCCCGGAAGGCTCCATGTTTATCACAAACACGTGGTATGTTCTAAATCTTTTTGACATTCATACGGCTCACTATTGAATATTCGAACTCATTTTAGGGCAATGAGTAGAGACCCGGGGCTGTACCCAGATCCTGAAGTGTTTCGTCCAGAGCGCTTCGAGGAGATGGATGCGGAGACAGCCAGTGCGAGGGATCCAGGGAAGTATACTTTCGGGTTTGGTCGCCGGTACGATGGATGTCCAGATTGTCTTTCAGAGCCTGATGTATTCTCTACTACAGTATCTGTCCTGGTCGCTACCTCGCTGACACCAGCATCTAGCTTGTGGCGGCTAATATCCTCGCCACCATGAATATCCGCAGGGCGCGCGACTCAGCAGGTCGCGAAATCATACCCACGCCATCGTTCAAGGACGGCAGTGTTAGGTGAGATAACACATAAGACATATCAAGATGACGCCAATGATGTTTGACAGCCACGTTGAACCATTCGAATGCGACATTCAACCGCGAGCTCAGAAGGCTATAGATCTAATTGTTGAACGCAATTCGGAGCACTTCGACATCTGTTGACACCATAACATGAAGGCTGGCACGCACACTTCTACTACGTGTCAACGACTCGTATTGATTAGATCATCTGAAGAGCCTATTGTACGAGCTGCTGATGTCACGATTTGTAGTATGTATCTCTAGCGTACCGACCTGCAAAGCATGACCAGAGTTTATCATTCCCGTAAGTGGCGCATGTCTACGATGTTCGAGACCCGACATAGCTTGGCTCAGGCTGTGGACGTTGTAATTCATCTCAACACATTTGGCTGCGCAACGATGTCATTTTCTAGCTAGCCAAAACCTACGGATGGCATTACAGTCGCCATCGAAGATTACTTGTATTGCGAGATTAACACCCATAGAGCCAAATGTGCGCTCGCTATGCACGGCTATGACTCGAAGTTTCACTGAATACTCCTTTCGACAGGCAGTCTGTCCGGTCATAGCTTCCGAAGCTAGAGTGCAAGGAGAATCACTAGTTTCAATGCTGCAGCTGGGATCCAATCGGGGGAGGAAATCGATGCAGGGGCCGTTCAAAACGTCCTACCACGCTTGGCGTGACAGTACACCATCCAACGATAGGTCTGCATATCAATCATCAACTGTGTATCTGGTGGAATCGTCATGCAGCACTATCCGAAATACCATCATGGATTATGCAATTTAAAATACATACATTCAAGACCAAATCAGATCCTACTACTGGTCATACCATTTCTCACGTAGGCGTTTTCTGCGCACTATCGGTTTTGCAATCACGATGGCTAAAGCCAATCCCGCGATTGTGAGGACCAGTTGAGCCTTGTTGAAGTCTTCGCTCAGGACATCGAATGTGTTCGACGGTGCCACTCGCGTGAAGAACAGATCTTGCCCATACGCGAATACCAATGATGTCGACTCCAGCAGGGCAGGAGACGTCACGATGTGTTTCGTGCCTACAACCTATGTTGTCACCCAAGTCAGTACAACATGGAAAAAAGTAACAGATGGCCTTTACTTGATAAGTATGCGAGAGTACGCGCTTAGGGTCGTCTGGCAGTATCGGATCATACTGGATCAGCCACTCTTCAAGTTCTTCATTGGTCGGCTTGCGTTTCGGTCGTCTAGGATCGAGGAAACGCCGCGGGAAGGACTGAATTTGATGGTTTTCGCTAGCCACTACATGAACGCATTCGGTCAAACAAAATTAGGGTCAAGCAACAGCCGGCTTACCTATAATGTCTTTCATAGTGATGCCATGGGTCGTCGCAGTCGACACTATGGTCGAGATTGCTCGAGGTAAGACGAACGTCTCCTCAAATGTTGTAATAGCGGTGCTTTTGTTAGAGAGCGAGGATAAGTCGGAACTATTGATACAAGGAGGCCAATCAAATTCAAATCAGCAAAGTCTGGTACGTGTACCGACCTTCTTGTTTTATCATCGACACCTGACCCTTCGTAGAGTTCCACAGACACGATGCGATAGCCCTTGGCCTGGTCGACACCGCCCATATCTCCGTCATAGTACTGATACACAAGCCAGTTCTCTGCAAGAACGACTTTGATATCGCATGCGCCGTCTGTGGAAGGTAGCACGACATGATACAACACAGTTCCTTTCGCTGAGTCAATCAAGTACAGCGAGCAAGAAACCGACGAGCCCGCCACCACGGCACTGAGATGCGGGTTTAGGTACTTATACAACGTCGTCCGGTTCCCAAGCACTTTGCCGAGGGACGCAATTGGCTCTCGAGGGCGAGGGATGATAGCAAGGATGTCCTCAGAAGGTGGGAGGGACAACGTCCATGTTGGCTGCGCAACGTGTTTTCCAGTGAACTCGGGTTTCGGGGATATTTGGTGTCCGGTGAGTTGGCGGTGCTTTGGTGGACCAGTCCGCAGCGGTAGATATATGGACGGTAGAGCCTTGACGAACGCATCTCGGATTTCGTCAGTGTTTGGGTACAGGTGAACCTTGAAGTCACGTTAGTAAGAACCTTGCCCATGATTACGGCGCGAAGTGTACCTGCACAAACTCATCCAGCAGGACAACAACGTTTGAAGGTCCCAATTGCAACATGTACGTTTCGACTAACGGACCAGCAATGACGTCTAAACCTTGGAGGAGACCATCTCTTGGAGATGTTGGATCCCTGACGTCTTCACCCGTCAACGGGTTCACATGGAAGATTACCGTATCAACGAGGCTCTGCGCTCATTGTCAGAGGTAAGAACCATGCACGAACAAGCGAACATGCTGACGTTGCTTGCTTTGCGCTGCGTGACAAGCACCACCTCTGGCGCACCCCCGTCATTGACCGTACGCGTCACGAAAATCTTCACCGGGATGATATGCCCGCCAACCTCTGCCGCCCACCCCAGGCCGAATACCCTACTCCAAAGGACTTCGCCATTCGCAGAATCAATCCCATAGATCTTGCTGCGCGCCGTGACCGCGATGATCACCTTCCTGAAACCGAACTCATCTCGTGCCAGCGGTTCTGACGCATTGGCGGACGGTGCGACTGACGAGGAGACTGACGCGTAGGAGCCTGTTACAAACCGCCTTGCGAAATTTAGGGCGTACTGCGGGAAGTCCTACGGCGCTGTTTAGCGACAGGGACTATCCGTGCATCGTGATGGTCATACCCTGGCATCAGAAAGCTGGCGCACCAGTCGTTCTCCGACTGGCTCATCCTCTCCAGCGTGGGCGGTAACGACCTGCTTTTCTGGCAGCTCTACGAGCTCTGCGACCTTAATCTCGGCCAGACCCTCTTCGCGGCTCCACTGCAGCTCGTTCTGCTGCCACAGCTGCACGGCCCCAGTGCTCGTCGTGAGGAATAGCCGCGCAAGCACCTTAAACTCTTCGGGATTCGCTATGTCAACTGCGACCTGCGTGTCCACAAGTGATCAGCATTGATCTATCGTTGTACGAGAAATGACACCTACATGAGTGATCACACCGTGGTCGCTAGTTTGGAATGGTAACGTGAAACCAGTAACAAGGCCCTTCCCGTCAGCAAGGTGGGCTGCGAGAATGTGCGCAGAGGCTTTCTGCATGCTTGTCAGTGTCTGACCAACCTGGTCTCCTTACAAGCACACTAACCTTCGAAATGTGAGACCAGTAAACGCGGGCTATGTACGGCCAACCGTCCTTGTCCAGCCCACCGCTGTATATTGACTCTGTGTATTGCTTCGATGTTGCCTGTACCCAAGTTGAGCTTCGTCGCGCACAACGGCAACACAATCCAAAGGTAACACTCACCGACTCAGCAAACTCCCAGATGACCTTCACTCCGTCCTCGCCAAGGCGTATGACACGACCAGCACCATCCTCCTTGATCGCAACGAACTGCCCATGCTCAGACAACCCCACGTCCACGATCTTGTGATACTCTGCGCCCTTGATCATCATCGGCGTCTCCTTTAACTCGGGAGTGAGGGGAAATGACTTGATTGCGCCGCCTTCAAGCCACATGATGCGCGGCTTGACCTGTGGGTGCTTGTTGCTAGCCAGAACAAAGAAGTCCGTGAGGCCGTTGGTGATACTGGAGGGAACGTCAATGGACGTGATGAACTCCCCGGTCTTAGCGGAGACCGCTGACACATGTAGCGTGTACGACGTAAATGACTTCGCAAGGCCGACAACATATACAGTCGATGACGTTGCGATGAGTCTCGAATAAGCGACGAGCGATCTGTGTACGGAAGTTTCAGTCCGAGCATCGAAGGGACCAACTAGGTACTTACGCCTGATCGGGGGCACTCCAACCCCATACCACTTCGCCGGTTTTTGCGTTCGTACGGCGAAGAATATGCGCATTCGAGAGGACATACGTGTCGCCATTCTCCTCATTGTCGAAGGCGAGGGCCGTGCCGAGTGTCTCCGGTTCGAACAGGCGACCAGCCTCCAGCTTGTGGAAGCAACGCTCGACTAGGAGATGCCCTGTGGTTGCATCTAGCAGGCGTAATGTTGCTCCGCCAGAGCCAGACACGGTGGCAACGACTACGCTGCTTCAATATACACGACCTACACTTAGAGCTAACAGGACACACCATTTCCATGCTGCTTATAGGCAATGACGTGCTCGTTGGCCTCAAATATGTGTCTCCACGCTGCACTTGGATGTGTTCACGACATCGTCAACGCGCATATATGATCGCCTCACACACCTATTGTGCCATCAACTGGATCCAGAGCTGCAAGGACGTTGCTGGCCGTCGCAGTCAAGACGACGCTATGCGTCCGCCCATCCGCTTCGCTGATTCTGTGAAACGCTGGCGCCGTGGACAAGGTACTATAAAGGGGCACACCGACGAGAGGCTTATGCCAGTCGACAATTCCGGCTTCCGAAGAATGGAGTGCCCAGGACTGCGTCAGACAACAGATGGTGATCAAGACCGACAAGAGACGCATTGCCAAGTGCATATTCTGAGCACTCCCCCAGTTTTAGCGGCAATAATAAGACCTGCCACTCGGTTTGTATGGTGCCCAGCGTCGGGCGTCGGGAAGGACTTCACTGTAGCCCGCCAGCGACGAGGGGGGTCAAACGCGGACCATAACCCTATGGCACATGCACGTGACAGAAACGCGTCGGTGGCAACGTGATTCTGCTTCATCTTCAGCCACAGACGCGTCACAGTGAGGACCAAAGCAGCACCTCCCTGTCATTGTAATAGACTCAAGACCCGTGCATGCTGAACTTACTGTGCTGCAGAGATTACCCATCTAAAGGTCAGTTCTCCGAGCGCATAAGTCCCACGATGATGTCTTACACCCAAGCACGACAGACACCGAGGCGATCGATTGCAGGAATATTCCCACTCCAACCACATGCAAAATCTAATACATACGAATGTGATCTGCAGGTCTAAATTGGATAGGAGCCGACCCGGTAGGCACGCATTGGTCGCCGACTCGAGCAGGTTGCAGAATCGCCGCACTCATATTCATGTCTGAGCGCAGCCCGCTTGGTCCAGGCGTGGCTATACGCATTTCATTATCGAGTTTCCAGGAACGGGAAACTCAGGCCTAATGCTTGAGTTAATCAAACATGCTGTATTCGCATGCCCTGCTTCCCGAATCGAATAACGACCGGCGAAGCGAATGATACGTAATAGGAACACACGCGCGACCGCCCGACATACAGGGTCAGCTTCCCATACACGCCTGGAAGACGTCCTCTGGAATCTGAGATTCAAGCAGGCCAATGAACGCGTTGAGCGGGACCCAAGCAAGCGTGGAAACAGGTGTGCCTTCGTGTATAACCCGAACAAAATGCTCGCCATCCGTCACCTGCCACACCTAGGCGATGCCGTGGATGTGAACTTCAGTCAGAGGGCTCCATTACAAGCGCACAGCGCACCTCTATGACAATTTCAGATCCCATTGCTGGCCAGCGAAGGGGGGCGATTTTGCCCAGGCCAAGCAAGGATGCTAACCGGATCATCGTTCCGTCGTGACCAACGAAGAGCCTCAATTTGTATGTTTCTCCGCCTGCGCGGAACAGTTTGAAATTGTGGGTGAGCTCAATGAAAAATACGCCTAGAAGCGGAAGTCGCCGAGTGAACATCGCGACTTCGGTCAGAAGAGAAGCCTCCGGCGGTGAATAAAGACTCACCGAACGTGAGCTGGGTATATGTTGTCGCGTTCACGGCGGCATTCCAGATATAGCTGTACGTCGTAGGATCATGAGCAACGGGCGTATGGCCATCTAGAAGCTAGGAGCGCGTGCCATACTTGTACTCAAGGTCGCCTATCGCAAATACCTTGGCGGCATCTTGCTCAGAGACACATGCTCCCGTGGAGTTGCATGGTAAAGGGTGGCCATTGCAGGTCCGCGAGGTGAAAGTGTCGAAGAAGTGGTCGTCTACGACCAGAATGAGGTAGTGACAAGTCAACATCGGATAGAGATAAGCACAGGGTAAGCGATCTACCCAGAAACGCGGACTACTCACACCAGGACGTCCACGCCGTCAAGCCAGTGGTGCCCGTCGTTTCACACAGCCAATTTTGCAAGTCCGCGTTCTCTTCGAGATGGTTGGTCCATGCGGGCACAGACTGGTACGCGTCGCGTATATTGTCTGCATTTGGGCAGGAGTAGTCCGGGGGTATAGAATCGATCTAAATAATGACATCACACGTGAGTCCCGGAAGTTTGCGCGTAAGCGAGTTGCTCACCGCAGATGGCTGAGTGGTCACCGGAAACGTCTTGGTGGCCATAGCTGGATCCATTCCCGTCAGAAGGCCGCCCGCGACCTGGAATGTTCGAGTCTCGGTAGATGTGCGGATGAAGATGTCGTGTTCGTTGACGGTCTGCAAGAAATCCAATTCCCCGGCATAGACCGCCCAGAAGTCCTGTGCGCGTCCGGTGTCAGGATAGCGAAAATAGAACGGAGAGCCGGATGTCTCATACTTCGCCATGACGAACCGCATCATCCAGCCCCTCCTGCGTGACTTGGCCCTGGTCGCATGTTCCGTTCCAGATTTGACTGAGGAAGGGGTGCCAAGGCGGACTGATGGTCTCATGGTAGATAGCGGTTGTGCCCCCACCATAGCTGAACTGAAGAAAATCAGAGCAGTTCCAAGGTATGGCATTGAGTTCGTTCTCGTCTGGGTAGAGATTATCCGGTGTTCTCTGTGATGAAAATCAATCCTTCTGCTGAGTGACTACCGAATAGCAACACGTGCTAGGGATGTCAGCACTATATACCTTGTGATGACGGAGTACAACGTTCATGTAGACGAGCGTCGCATTTGGGGCGTTCACAGGAAGTTGATAATGTTTGGCATTGACATGAGGTGCATTGCAGTAATTGTAGGTATTCCACGGTAGGTTTTCCGGGGTGACCGAAGAATTATACACGCCTGCGGCGGAGGAAATACTGCCGTACGATTGAGCAGCGCCCAGGGCGATCTGAGCAGGAATCTGGAGTATGACAACAGTCAGTCCAAGTCGTCGCAGCTTGTGCAGCATCTCGGCTATTGTGGGAAGTAGCAAGAGAGCAGATTCTTGCCCCGCATGTCGTTTAAATGAAGCTCGACGGCCCATAAAGTGTACCCGGAACGTGTGAATCGAAGGTGCAGAGGAAGAACGTGCGCAAGAAGCCTTACAAGCGTATGCATTTGGATATCTACCTGCGAAGTAGTATGGTCAAGGTAAACAAGGTATAAGGTGAAGCACGTATGCTCTTCGTCAGGAGTGGTTGAGGCAACTGTCGCCGGGGACTTTGATGACGACTCAGGTTGTCAATCGCCGGGATTCTGGGTTGTTACGTAAGGGTATTTAACATTGATACATGATTTGGCCACTATTTGCTTGCGCTCCTTGGCGTTGTCCTCGTATAGTGATGTCAAGATTTGTCCTGGTTATTGAAGTAAGTATTCATGTTCGAACGTGCGAGGAGCAGCCACCGATGCCACTGCGGAGTTCAAAAGGCGGGGGTGGTTGACCCCCAAAACGGCGCGCATCCACGTGCTACTGCTTGAGGGACCCGGGAACTCCTTTCTCTTCCCGGTTTTGGAATTTGTCAAGTTTGTTCCTCGACAGCCATTTCTAGCGTTCCTCCTAACTGTTGATCTTGCTGCCATTGGCAAAGAGGGTAGGTTAGCTGAGTGATTTAGCCCAGAAAGATGGTCGAGATTACGATCCGCAAGCGTCCCCGCACGGAGGCCGTAATTACTCAGCGGAAATTCTTCAAGAAAACAGCAAAGGGCAAAGTAATCAAAGGTACCATCTCTTGCAAGCTACAATTGTACTTGCATTAAGTCCATAGCTAGTCCTCCGCGAGAGATACCTACGGGATGATGTCGCTTGCGGGGTGCACAGTTGTAATCTGTGCTCCACAACAGTGGATCTCGTTTTACCTGCTGCAGGTTCGCTTGAGCATCTTGCCTTTCCTGGCGGGCACTTGGTGCTTCCAGACACAAATGTATTCCTATCGCAGGTTAGTCATGGCCACAGCAAGCTATCATCCGTGCCCTTGTCACCTCAGATACAACATGCTACGTGGGGCCATTCATTCTCAGAACTATATGTTTTGTCCTCATGCTTCGTCCCCATACCTGACCGGTATACCAGTAGAACGATCAAATAGCTCATTCCTGATCTTCCTCACAGATGGACCTGATCGAATCCGATAAATTTTGTCCTCCCATGATCCTGCTGCAGACGGTTTTGGAAGAAGTTCGACATCGCTCGCTACCTCTCTATAACCGCCTGAAGACCCTTATCAACGCGGAAGAGAAGCGAATCTGGGTCTTCTACAATGAGTACAATACGTTAGTGCGAGTGACCATTATCGCACAATTACATTACGCTAACTATGCTGTTATGGCCTATTTTAGAGCGACTGCTGTAATCCGCGAGGACGGAGAGTCTCCCAACGACAGAAACGATAGGGGTCAGTACTTCATGATGTCATATCGTCTTCTCACGCTAAACGTAGCTGGCATAACTCTATTAAGGCATCCGTAAAGCGGTCTCGTGGTACACCTCGCATCTCTCTCTGGCTCGCCCTCCCGTTCGCGGCCAGCCTACCCGGGCACTTCCAACTGTCGTCCTACTGACGGACGATGTCGCCAATCGCCAAAGGGCAGAAAAGGACGGCCTTGTATGCATCTCAGGCATGTGCCCTCGTTTGAAATTGGCGGTCGTACTGACGGCAGTCTCGGTTCCAGTCCGACGGTATGTGGAGGGAATGAAAGAGGCAAGCAAGTTGCTTGATTTGTTGTCGACCGCTGGATCCGATGAACTTGAGCCAACAAAGGCTGTTGCTGCTCGTCAAGTGCTCTACCCAGACGTCAGTATATTTCATACTGTGGAGTTCTGCCCTCTCTCAACTCAGGACAGTACTTGCCATCGTCAACCTTATTAGCGGGCATTAAATCTGGCCAGTTGCATCAAGGCCACTTCAATGCCAATCAATACAACTACCTGGAGGTTGGCGCGTTTTTCATAGACGGCGATATAATAAGCTCATATTGTCTCTGCTTTCAGGGGAATGTGCCGGTGTCAGGATTTGACAAACCCATTCTCCTGATTGGTCGAGAGAACATGAACCGTGCGGTGCAAGGTGATATCGTTGCGGTCGAAGTTTTCGACGAGAAGGAGTGGAAAGCGCCCGCGGACGAGGTTGTTGACCAAGAAAGTAAAGATATCTCTACATGCCCATGACTGACGCTTACCCGCACGTTCGTACGCAGCGACCTTGAAGAATGACGATGCCGAAGAATCGGAGGAAGAGAGCGATGACGAGGAAGTCCTTGCTGAGCGACACGTGCTGCAGTCAAAGCTGGCGAAGATGCAGGCTTCAGCGAGACAGCCGACAGGACGAGTTGTCGGTATAATCAAACGCAATTGGAGATCGTGAGTCCGAAAACATTCGAGCCAATCTATCGGTAACCTTTTTTTCGCTCTAGATACGTCTGCCATATCGATAGTGCCTCACTAACCTCTAACAACGCGACTTCGCTTTCCCAACAAACTGTTTTTGCGACGCCGGTTTCTCGTCTATTACCTCGCATCAGATTACGCACACGCCAAGCACCGGCTTTGCTTGGCCAGAAGATCCTGGTAACTATTGATCGGTGGGACAGAACTTCCCGCTACCCAGAAGGACATTTTGTGCGCGCGTTGGGAAAGGTCGAGAGCAAGGAGGCCGAGCAGGAAAGCCTCCTGCTGGAATTCGATGTCCCATATCGACCATTTGGTAAAGCAATCTTAGATTGCCTCCCTTCAGAGGGTGACCACTGGATCGTTCCGCCCAAAAGCCCCGAAGCGCCAGAGTGGAGAGATAGAGAGGACCTCAGGGATCTCATCATCTGCAGTATAGATCCTCCTGGTCAGTTGCACGAGCATATCTCCTTTCCTGATTCGTTGCTGAGTTTGACTGCCAGGCTGCCAGGATATCGACGACGCATTGCATGCGCGCTCGCTCCCCAACGGCAATATCGAAGCCGGTGTTCGTGAGTCTTCCGTATTCTACATATCCCATACCATCTTTGGCTGAAGGAGTCTTCAAGATATTGCTGATGTGTCACATTTCGTGCACCCTGACAACCCCATGGACAACGAAGCTGCTGCCCGCGGCACCACAGTCTACTTGGTGGACAAACGAATTGACATGCTGCCCTCCCTTCTTGGAACCAACTTGTGTTCTCTTCGTCCTGACGTTGAGCGCTTGGCGTTCTCCGTAATTTGGGTAAGGCAGCTCTAGTTTAGAGGTGGTATTTACCTGATCGTCATCCGTGCAGGAGCTGACACCGGCAGCGGAAATAGTCAATGTCCGCTTTGCGAAGTCCGTCATTGCATCTAAACGCGCATTTACGTATGAAGAGGCCCAGATACGCAAGGATGATCCGTAAGAGGTTTCAGATCGCACGCACCTTTCGCCAGCAAATCTCACGTGGGTATCAGGAATATGAATGACGAGCTTACAAACAGTATCCGGCTCTTGAACACCTTGGCACGTAAGCTCAGGGAAAGCAGGATGGCTGCAGGTGCCCTTAATTTGGCTTCCCCTGAGGTCAAAATTCACCTCGATAGCTCGGAGTCATCGGATCCCATCGACGTCGAACAGAAGGAACTGAGAGAAACTAACAGCTTAGTGGAGGAGTTCATGTTGCTCGCGAATATCAGCGTTGCCCGGAAAATACAAGAAACCTTCCCACAGACTGCGGTTCTGAGGTGAGCGTTTTCCCATCCTGGGCGCCCAACAGTCACGATGATCCTGCTTCAGGCGGCATCTACCTCCACCACGATCAAATTTCGAGAAGTTGCAGGATATTCTCCAGAAGCGGAAAGAAATGACTCTCGATGTCTCGAGTTCCGGTGGTCTCGCCGCTTCCCTCGACAAATGCATGGTGGGACTAAACCGTATTGTTCATATGCTTCATCCTGACGTCTTCATCTCTGTCCAGGATCCAGATGAACCTGCATTCAATACTCTCGTCCGTATTATGGCTACTCGCTGCATGCTAGCGGCGGAGTACTTCTGCTCTGGAAGCGTTGCCCGTGATACGTTTGCGCATTACGGTTTGGCTAGCCCGATATATACACATTTCACCAGTCCCATCAGGCGTTATGCCGGTAAGTTTCCACATAGGATGCCTTCCACGTTCATGGGTCATTTTTGAAATCCAGACGTACTCGTTCATCGGCAATTGGCCGCGGCTATTGGGTATACTCCGTTGCATGCGAGCTTGCATTCCAAGTCACACGTGGAACGGGTCCTCGACCTAGTGAACAGACGCCACAGGATGGCTCAGATGGCCGGCCGCGCTAGCGTCGAATTCTACGTAGGGTTGGCGTTGAAAGCTCGTGGAGAGAAAGGCAAGAACCAAGAAGAAGCGTTCGTTATCAGGACCTTCCGGAACGGTCTCGCCGTTTTCGTGTCGAAGTGGGTCCATGTTCATCAATTAAGCATTATTGTGCGTTCAATTGATTGCTCCTTCCTCACGATTGTAGATTGGGCCTGGAAGGCCTCGTGACGTTCAAACGCGAGATCCAGTTCGATCCTGATGCATACACTATCAAAGTTCCATCCCCAGATTCCGTACACGGCACGACGATCGCCGTATTCGACAAGGTCACGGTTAACATCGAGGTCGAGAAGGACAAAAACACACAACGAGGTCGTGTTCGGATGGCCTTAGTGCACCCGGTTGAGTCTTCTGGCCTGTAGTATGATCGGCTTAACAGTGTTTGATGGACTCGTCTTGGAGTTCTCCAGTGAGAAAATGTACGTTTTCGATTGCATCTGAACATGCGGGCTTCGTGCGCAGTCTTGTTGGTCGCCAGATGCACCGCCTGCCATGCGGTCGTGTTCTCGGACCTTCAGTTCTGTCGTCATTGCCACGATTAACCACTCAGGCTTCGAGGTGAAGCGTCAATGCATGGCCTCTAAATATGTGCTGTATCTCCATAACATGATCATCGCTTGCGGTCCGGCAGTGTAAATGAATAGAAGCTGTTCTGCGAATGAATGAAAGATCCACCTTCGGGGTCCTTGCCCACCACGATCTTCGAACGTACACCACGTTTGCAGGAAAGGTCAAGCCTCGATTGTCTCACGAAAACTCTGGATCTTCGGCTAATTCACATTATGTCTGTGAGTTGAATCATGCTCCGCTCTCAAGTCTTGAACTTACTCCCTGAAACCCGACGTTTGTGTCTCGTGTTGTGTGCCGTAAGGCGGTGTTCGTGAATTTCATTCTCTTCGGTCTTCGGTCTCCAAGTACACCCTACATGTGTATTCCAGGCCAAAGTTATTGACGGCATGCAGAGTCGAGCCCTCCAAAAGTATAAGAGCACTCGGGCCTATCTCCATTCTCTACCCAACCAACCTCTCGTAAACTGACCATGTCTTCACAGTCGCTTGAACCTTTCGTGTTACTTTTTGCTACTTTCCTCGTCTTAAAAACTTTGAGCCTGCGACGTCGAGGAGCGGCTCTGCCGCCGGGGCCGAAGGGCTTACCAATCCTGGGTAACGTCTACGACTTACCACGAAGCCGCGAATGGCTCGCATATCAGCAGTGGAGCCATGAATTAGGTATATTCATAAGCTAGGGGTCCGACGCTAGATGCTGACATCCTGCAGATTCAGACCTGGTGTACCTCAACCTCTGTGGATCGCATGTTGTAGTTGTAAATTCTATCGAGGTTGCTCGCCACCTATTCGAGGAACGATCAACGCTGTACTCTGACAGGTGTGTATTCGCTTCCGTATGCCTATTGGAGCCGCACTGACCGCACCGAGCAGGCCGCAAATGACAATGCTAAACGACTTGTGAGGAAAACGTGATGACACGCACACGTCTCACTGACCACTTATACAGAGTAGGCTGCGATTGGCATTTCGTCTTCATGGGCTATGGAGACCATTGGAGGGAGAGAAGAAGGATTTTCCATCAGCATTTCCATCCTACTGCAGCGCTTCAGTATAGACCCAGGGCCATTCATGGTGCTCGAGTCCTCATACAGCGGCTCTTGGAAACACCAGATGACTTCATGATGCATCTACGCCAGTACGTCCTCTGCGCATGTTCCATTCATGATGCTGAACACTAGCGCAATTAGCATGGCAGGTTCATTGATCATTGGCGTCGCGTATGGGCTCGAGGTGAAACCAAAGGATGACCCTTACGTCGAGACTGCTGAGAAGGCGCTTCACGCGATGGCCATGGCGGGAAATGCTGGCTCGTTCTTAGTCGACTACATACCAATACGTGCGTTGGCCATGCCGCATCGCAATCATCATGCTCATGCAGCTTCATTCCACAGTGAAGTATATTCCCGCATGGTTCCCTGGTGCGAGCTTCCAGCGCAAAGCTCAGGAATGGAGGAAGGCAACTACAGCCATGGTTGAAGCTCCCTTTGCGGCAGTGAAGAAGGCCATGGTTTGTCTTGGTGTCTATGGATCCGCTCAGCTCTGACTTCGATGAGATGGTTCAATAGTTGGACGGCTCTGCAACCCCCTCAATAATTCTCACCTTACTGAGAGACATGGAAGAGAAGGACAACAACAACGTTGCTCTGGAGAAATTGTACAGCGGCGTAGCTGCAGCAGCATATACTGGTACGCTGATCGTAAGGTTCGACAGAAGCTAAACTGTCATTTGACCGCGTGTTCTCAGGCGGCTCAGATACAGTATGTACAAGTCTATCTACCTTTTCTCAATCTGACGACGGAACGCACAGACCGTATCAGCGTTAGGATCATTCTTCCTTGCCATGATGCTTAACTCAGAGGTGCAAACAAAGGCACAACAAGCGCTAGACGATGTAGTCGGAAGAGAGCGTCTCCCGGATTTCAGTGACGAAGCGTCGCTGCCATACATCTCTGCAATCGTATGGGAGGTGCTCAGGTATGACACATGACCGAATCTAGATAATCTTGTTGATTGCTTGTTAGGTGGCAACCCGTCACGCCTCTAGGCAAATCGTTTCTGTCATGCACTCTACACCCATAACTAACATGTCACCCCATTAGCCGTACCTCACAGGCTGACCCATGAAGACGAATACAACGGATACCGCATTCCTGCGGGATCTATCGTGGTCGGAAATGCGTGGTTTGTCTACCCTAGGCATTCAGCATTGTCACATCTCTTAAAATTCTTCGAAGGGCTATGCTACACGACGAACGACATTTCCCGGAACCTTCTGTGTTCAAACCCGAACGATTCCTTTTGAGTGACGGCCGATTGAATGAAAGCATGAGGGACTTGGTCATGCCGGCCTTCGGCTTCGGTAGACGAATCTGTCCAGGGAAGTCCCTCGCATACGCCTCGCTGTGGGCCTCTGTATCCTCTGTCTTGTGCACATTCGATGTCGTCAAACCTACAGACGAGACGGGGCGCCCAATCGAGCCGAGCGGCGAATATACCACCGGACTAGTGTCGTGAGTGAATTCTCTATGAATTATGCGAATGCGGAGGGATTGATCGGTGGTCTCTAGATACCCCTTACCGTTCAAATGTAGATTCAAACCACGTTCGGATGCGGCCGAGGCTTTGATCTGCTCTGCTATGCAGGAATACGATTAGGCAGTCTATCTGTGGCTTGAATGTACTCGATGTTATACATGTTGGGTTGTATAATGTAGCATATTGTCTATCGAATGAACGATTCAGCCCGCGATGATCTTGAGAGTCCATTATCGTCGGATCCCGCTGTTTCGGGTCCAGTGCTATAGGCACCTGCCTGAAAGCTCCAGTATTTCACAGACGCATCTAATGTGACAGGTTGCGGCCGCCTGCGCTTGAATTTCACAGTCGCAGGGGGCCCGCCTCCTGGCTGTCCGACGTGATCGTTGCCTGAGTCTAACTCCGATTCAGAAGTAGAAGTTGACGACTCTGATCCTTCTTCCAGGCCATCTAGATGGAAATGTCTCGAGCCTGAGACGGATAGAAGGATCGGTTGGAGCGGGTGCAAAGACACCGAGCCCACGGCATCTAACGATCGTCATGCGGGAGGCGATCAGCGAATGAAGACGCACACAAGGCGTAGAGCTTGCCATCATGTGCTTTGTATTGCATTGCCGGCCCCGGCTGTGGAGCTCGGGTAGCTTCCGTTAATTCCACGCTGCCTGTTTGTGAAATATCTCCCGCCGCGAGATTGAACATCGATATCTTCCCATCCTGCAGGTGTTATGGAGTGAGTTACATTGGCTAGCGCATGTAGCGATCTGCGTACGGACCTGGCCCCCCGCACCCAGAATCTGGCCGCTGATGTCAATGTCGAACCGTAGCTTCTGATTCGTGGTGACTGTGCCGGCCGCTTCTGTTCGGTTGGAATCCCTCTTGGACACGGAGCGCCCTCTGCGGAAAGTACGAACAGGCATTTGGGCGTCGCCTCTGATGTCCCATTCGTATATAGCATCATGGCGGCGAAAGGAGGCATACAGCAGGTGCGGCCGCATGGGGTTGAAGGCTAACTGCTCGACTTTGAGCCCATGCACCATGTACAAGCGCTAATAATTGGGTCGTTCACCTGTGTTACGCTCGCTCTAATGCCTCCTATTCCTTTGTCGCCGCCTACAAACATCAGAGGCGCTTCGCCGGTAGCTTCCGAGAACAATGCAATGTTAGAGGACGTAGGTGCCGACGGGCTTAGCGAGCCTGCCGCGTAGACCCCGGTCGTCGCGTCAGGCACAAATGCCAATGCAGACACAATTCCTATCAACAACGTGTTGGTGTCCAGAATGCAGGTATCACGAACTTGCTAGGCCTCCGTACCTTTTAGCCCGTCCTTGCTCTTCTTTGAGGGCGTGATATGTAGCCGAGTGCCTTCGCCTGGCCGTCGAACCTCGAAAACCTCAATAGCGTCCTCGAAACCGCAGAACAGCCTGTAACAGGTGTGTTCTCAGTCGCAGTTGTGCCGTGTAAGTGGACTTGGTGAAGACTCACCTGTCGGCAGAACAGTTGAATGCGAGGCTGTGCGGTGCAATGAACCGCTCCCTGTGATCAATTATGCTATATGAAGCCCGTAGCTGGATGCACACATAGCCGGTCAGAGATTGATTTCATAAATTGGAGAGGAAAAACAAGAGAAGACGCGGTACTGTCTGTTATTGGGGGCCTTGGCTAGACAATCTTACCCTCCCATCGTTGGCATCGAGAAGCTTCACTGGGCATTCGCGCACCGAGGCCATGAAGCAAAATGACGCGGGATCTCTGGTCGACGCTGCAGGGAACCATGTGAAATCTAGAATTGGCGATGGTTGTCTGAATACCCGTGCAGTAGGATGCGTGCCGTCCTCTCCATATAGGCTGGCCAGTTCTGGGGGCCTGCTAGCATGATCAGCTTGTCAATCGTTTCCAGCATACGCGGAGCGCACATCTCCAGCGTTTGTAAGCGTCGATTTTCGCATTGGGCAAGCGCAGCGGAACCGTCCGGGCACCTGTTGCATTCATGTTATGATTCATTTTGCGTTGTATCAGCGAGTATTATATTGCAAACCATTTGGCCATACGAGCAAAATTATGCGGATTATCATCGTCTGGGTGCAATCGTGTGGACGAAACGAGGGCAGGTGTTTTGGAATAATCATAGTGTGGTGGCGTCCATGTGGCAGAGGGACCGCTTTCTGCCATTTGACATGTAAATTTCGGGTGGTCTTCTGGGCCAGACTAGACGAAGCAGGAACGATAGTGTCCTGAAAGCGTGTTATGATGTTCAGGTAAGCGCAGTTGATATGCTTATGTACAACTTTCTAGCGTCCACCTAGTGTTACGAGAGAATGTTCTGCCCTTGGCTCTATTCGCGGGCGGTCAAAAGTGGACTGCAAAGCGCAGGTGTCAACAGCTTAAGTGAACGTTTACTTCGTGGAACTGAAGGTGCAATTACGTCTCACAAGACCTTCTCTGACAAGCTTGAGGGCTCAATTGCTTATTTGCGTCCGTAGTGTGGTGCACGGAAGTCTGCTCACGCGTCAGCGTTCTGAGGTCAATCTCCGAAGTCCATCCGGAGAAAAGAGTACGACCGAGCATGTTTGCAAGGACATACCTGTTGGTTGCCCCCGAATACAGCTTGAACGCTTCAATGCGGTTGAGTTATGTCGCGAGTCCCGTTGTGATACTTCGTCGGTATGTTATCAAGTCTCAAGCAGCGTTACAATCTGATGTGGTGCCAGTGCGTCTATGATCAGACACGTGCAGTATGTATTTGCGATCAGTGGACCCATAAGCGTACCTATCGTTGGGGCCTAACGCTGAATGGAAATAGCAGCTGTCTTCAAAATACTCGGCAGAGTCTCTCAACAAGCTAAGGGGATACACACACAGACTTGCGCAGACATAGTTTAGGTCGATTGTTCTTACGCGTGGCACTTGCACGGTGACGACAATTTAAGAGGCTGAGTCTCACGTCGGAGAAATTTTGCAGTAAAAAACACGACCATCCCTACATGTCTACCCATCCAACTTGCATATGTCGGCAATGCGTTGCATATATCGTTGCGGCATTACAGTACCACGAACAATACACACAAGCTGCACGTCCGGAGAGGCCTCATACCTCAAACTCACATACAGCTGCCTGTCGACTTCGGCAGAGGGTGTGGACTGCCATTGCATGGCGCATCGACCTCAAATTTCAAAGAGCATTCATACGCATAGCAAGGTATATCGAAGAGAGTAGACTACACATTCGAAGACAAACATGCCCAGTACCATCCAAGATATCCTTCCGCAAAAGACGCCACTCAGATCCGTACAGCCCGTCCCTTTAAAGGTGGTAACAAGGTAGAATGCCGAACGAGCGATGTCAACGCCGACAAGTCTCGCGACTGTCGTGCTCATTTCGCTGCTGGAGGCTCGTCATGGGCGTTTTTGATAGTGGAAGGATATCTAGAGATACAGGCGCTCTGCGACAACAATTTATAGCAATGCAATCGTGGGAATATGGCACGTGCAGCTATTGGGCGGCTTCCGAATCGCGAGTCCGACTATTACTGGAACTTATTTGGGAACCAGGAGTACTGTAAGCACTCGCTGGCACACTGTTTGCCATTCTACCTATCCGCATCACGACCTAAAGGAGGCATCATATGCCTGAATGGCAATGCGCTCGCTGCCCGATATCAACGACGACGCGTTGATTCTTGTCTTCAACGTCCTGCCAGTTGATTCCATACTTGCGTTGCGACAGGTATGCGCTCGCTCGTACACAAGTCACGCAGACTAGGTCGTGCCTCATCACAAAAATGATAGACATGCAGGCGGATGCTGTCCATCTCCCGTACGCGATTAATATGGCACAATGCGTACGTCCACGAGGTCCTCCATGCTGGGTACCCGTTTCCTCGACACCGGCTCCCGCTCATGGACGCGTCGGAGCTAGAGTGGGCCGTGCGTCGTGCCGCTCGCATTGGCCTGTTCTGGCGCTCGTACACAACGCACCCGCGCAAGCTGGCGGACTTCCAGGCCAGCTATGGGACAGGGGTTTATGATGTGCACTTCCTCCCTGGGTCTGGCGGCAGACGTATTGTCACCGTTACAAAGGGCATCTGGTCGGTTATCAGCGTCTGGGAGATCGTTTGCAACAAACTCTCCTCGGAGGGTGCGTTTGTGCGGAAAGTCGCAGAGTGGAGCCCAAAAGGAATCATTTTCACTGGGTTCGTTGTCAATTCCGATTCAAGCTCAAAGGGTACGCTTGCTGTGTCCGTAGACCGCAAAGGGTTCGTTGTGCATAACTGTCCTTCCGCACTACACGCCTTGATTGGGTTCCTTCAGGCAGCAGTCAATTGAGATCTTGTCCTTGCACGAAGTGAACGATCGCACGTCTGTGCTGAAGTCCATCAGGACGATCGACACACGCCTCAAACCGATCGCACTCCAGGGTAGCCTTGCGGCTAATTGTGATGACGCCTCGAAGGCAGTCATCATGAATTGGGAAAATGGCGCGCAAGCCGTCTTGCGCGGCGCGGAAGAGCCGGTAGACCAGCACTTTCAGGTCAGTCTTGTAAATACTCCAGCCGCCCCGGTCTAATGATCTACTGGCATATGCTGGCGATCAAATAGTACAACAAGTGCCTGCGGGTCGTCTTTTGCCACAGAAGCGTTCTTGTCGTTAGGGCTCGTTCCATCGAGCTCTTCGCCATGCCGGACATGCAGCCCTCCTCCACACCACCGGTCGCCGAGCATCCCATTGCGCGTCATTCCTTCGGTTGGATCGATGGCGTCTCAGTCAGCGTCCAAGCACGTGACCAGGCCGCGGCGCCCGACGCAATCGCCCCGCTGTCCATCCTCCTCCGTGCAGAAAGCGACGATCCCTGGTCGTCGGATGTGCACAAGCTCGATCTGTACACGCTCGAGCCGAACCCCCTGTACCTCTACGCAGGCAATCAGGATCACGTTTCTCCATCTGCGTTCCCGTCACCACCAGTGTCTCTTTCGCCTGGTTCGCCCTCACGTAGTCCATCGCCGCGGAGCTCCGCACACGCAGCGATGGGCACCCCGTACGTGTTCCCGCCGGTGCACTCGCAGCTGTACTCGCCGTCCGTACGCGGTGTGCTGCGCTGCACAAGCATCGTGCTGGGCTCGCACGGCACGGCGGTGTGGATCCAGCCGCGGCCGGCGCACAGCATGGACCTCACTGCGCTCGACGTGCATGCGTCCGTGACTCAGGCGCCGGAGACGGCACGCGCGAACGAGACGGTCGCGGGCGCGGTATTTGCGGGGGCGCTGCAGCGTGAAAACGAGGGGCATGTGAGCCCGGATGCACGGAATCTATGGATACAGTCGTTTGGGAGCAGCTACTGGACGTCTATAGACTACGTGGAAGAGCTGGGTCTGATTGCGCTGGGGTCATCACAGGGCATGGTCATTGTCCTTGATCTAGAATAGAAGTTGGATCTACAAGACTTTCTGACTTGTACTCTTACATTTCCTCTCCTCGACCACGGTCAGCAATAGGCACCGCACAATATAGACGTTTGTCGTCGTCCATACTCGTATGCGGCGCACATAACCTGATGTATGGGCGCTTACGATGTTGTGACCCACGTGGGCGCGGCATCGGGCGATTCGGAGTTAGAGCGCCCGTCAACAAACGCGAGTCTTCCCGTTCGCTGCCGGTCTCTTCAACGTCAACTGCAGTCCTCTCTGCGCTGTGCTCGCCCAATGAGTCTCTCGTCGTTTTTGTCGTCGTTCCTCCCCGTCGCGCACGCGGACGCGCCTGAGGAGAAGGAAGAGGAGCAGCCTCAGGAGGAGGAGTCTCCCGCCGAGGAGCCAGCTGAAGAGGAAGAGGAGGAGGAGCCTGAGGATGTGAGTGCTTGCCTTGCGTGTCGCTGGGGGAGAGGGCGCTGAGTGGGAGCGTGCAGATCCTGCCTGCTCTGAGGGAGGAGTGCGAGCAGTCGGCAAAGTGCCTCGCTGCAACGAAGCACTTCCAGCACTGCGAGGAGAAGGTCAACGCAGGCAAGGGGTACGCGCATGAGGATTGCACTGAGGAATTGTACGTCGCTCGTTCCTTGGTTCTCGCTGACCTTGGGTTCTCATGGCTACCGTCTGTGCAGCTGTACGTATCCGTTGATGACGAGTGTTCGGTATACTGACTTGATGCACGAACGCGGCTCGACCTATAGACCAGTGAGTTCGCTTCTTTGTTTCGCTTCCTGCATACTGCTGACACATGCTCTTCGTGCAGCATGATGCACTGTGTAGATGTAAGCATATAGGCTGGCAATGCGTGCACTTTACGGAAGCTCACATGGCATTTCCAGGGCTGCGTCGCCCCAAAACTCTTCGCCAAGCTGAAGTAATGGCTGCCGGCACCCTCTGGCACGATATAGATAGGTGTGCTGTCTAATGCTTGCACATATCTTCCATGAGACTCATCTACAGGTATGAATACAGACGGTGGTCACGCGCTGTAGGACACTATGACGACGCGCGCTGCCGCTTTCAGTACTTCACTTTACCAATAATATTCCGGTATCCTTGTCGTTCCGCGTCGCGTTCATCGCTACTTGTGAAAATCTGTGTCACAACCACCAGTGTTCTGAATCGATGTAAGCGATTTCCTTAATTTCTTTCGGGCTCATTTCCCGTATAGCTGCGCGTCACACGACTCTGCTTGCCGCCTTTTCTGATGCGTTAGTCCTCTTTGTGCCAAGAGACGAAGTCAAACCCTCGCTATGTTTGTATCCGACGTGGCGGGGCTTGGCCGAGTATTAACGCGCTGATCTGAATGGATCCTGGTCAACCATGCATACGCGCTGCTGGTCGTTACGCCTGTCTCTTGAGAGTCTGCCCCGGAAGCAGACCGCTTACTGAGAATAAGCAAATACATGTTATTATATCTTTTATTTCCCTTTGTTTCTTTTCTACGTGTTGTTCAGAGCCAATGCAACGAGTTCGTAAAATGCGATACCATGCGCGTGAAGCTGTTAAATACAAATTTGTCAGACGCGATTCGACCATTGAACATGTACAATAACGTGAGTCGGCCTGAATGATCATATACCCCATGGCGTATTGTTGCCAAGCTCGTCTGAACCTCAAAAAGACGACGTCAACATGGCAGTGGCACTGGTGGGTGCAACTGCCTTTGACGGTAAGTCGCTTACCTCTTTTAGTGGGTTCGCGACGCTTCCCGCGATCGATCGCCTGTCTTCTGGTCGCAGTGATGTCATGTCAACCACCTCCTGTTGTGCTCCTTGCTATGACGCCATACAGCATATATATACCAGCCCTTCATGAAAATCGACACAGTTTCTCCTCTCTTTTCTCCCCCATCATCCCTCCTCCAAAGCTCCTCAATCCTAAGCGTCTGCTGCATGCCGTCGCATACACTCAAATATCGTGATTTATCTATCTCTTAGTCTGCTTCCCGGGGAGTGTACGACTCGACGATCCTGGCGGGTGTGCGTTGGTCTTCCTTAGATGCAAATATTCTGCATTAGCTCGTCGCGCAGCGCGTTTCAATCACGTGCTCGCCAAGCGATCACGCCTGGGATGACTGTGAGGGTACCCGGGCTAGGAGGGGCCAGGCGCCGCTGGACAACGTCTCGAGGTTGGTCTCAACCAACGTCCACCTACTGTCCACTACAAATTCCTTCCCGTCGACAGTTCGTCTAATAGGAGTCTTGTGCGTTTGCATGAACTCGATTCACCTATGTCCGAAGCGGCTGACGGAGAAGTTTGGACACGAACAGGGCTTGTGTCGTCAGGAAAGTCGGACGTCAGTCAGTACGCATCAGTCGTCCCACACTCGACCAACGACGTGTTCCGACGTTGACCATCCGGGTTGTCGCGAGGCGTTTGCAACCATCGATATATTCGCTGCTCGGGGCTACTCGTCCCGTTACAGCTTAGCCTCCCCTCAAACCCGCTTCCGCTTCCCTGCACTCGAACTCTGCGGCTGTCACTCCATCGGCAACATCGCCCCATATCATGAGCGTCTTCAATCCGAAGATCCTTGACGCGTGCATTCGTGATGTCACCGCTTGTCTTCCGGATGACGAAAAGGCCGACATCCTTTTATATGCCATGGGACACCTGCATCATGAGCGGTTGGTTGCCCGATTACTTTTAGCTGAACCTGTCTCCCTGATATGTGCCGCTCTGCCGAACCTCTGCAGCTCCAGAATACTCATTGAGAATGCTGTTCAATCGTGCCTTTCGCTGAGTAAATTGTCGCTGGCGAACGCGACTAAGGCGCGGTTGATACGGGCGAAGGCTAGATTGGCGGCTGGGCTTCATGTCGGCGCACACCAAGGTCTGCGATGTTCTAGGCACCGTCTAGACGGTCTTCCCGTGACTCATGCCGCCCGAACTGCCTTCTCCAGACTTGCAAGCTGTCATAGCCCTTGAGCCCGAGCACCCAGAAGCGAAGGAGCTCATGATACAACACGTCGCAAATCCGGGGAAGGTGCTCTAGTTTCTTCTCCTACATGCATGAGCAATGACGAAAAGAATTTGGCAGTCGCTCGTGCAGCCGCACACCACCCCTGGGTTCTCGACAGAAATTTGGCGCGAGATTGCGCTGTGGCTCCCACCCCGGGACCTTAAAAGTCTGCTCCTTGTTCCACACGTTCTTTCCCGCATCGCCAGCCAGCTGTTGTTCCACAAAATTGACCTGTACTTTGGTGCGTTGACGGCGGCCCGGTGGCCTATTTCGAGAAGCTTATCGACGTCCAGATAAGCGGGAGTCGCAACGCAGCGCAGACATCCTCACTCGCATTATTACTGACAATGACTTCGCCAAACACGTCAGGACGATTCGTGTGTTCTATCAGGGGCGCGATGTATCCCCTATGGCATTTCAAACGGGTGAGAAGCTTGATGACGCATCCTTACAGCGCATTATGAAATGCCGTGATCTACAGGGATGCTGGCCAATGCGCTTCCGAAGCTCAACAGCCTCAAAAACGTGCACTGTTCGATGCGCTGGAGGGACATGATCTCGTTCATGAGAATTCTTGAGAACGCGAATCATCGTCTGCGGGGATTGTCGCTGACGTAAGTCCGTCCATCGGTTCAGTGCCTGACTGGAAGGGCAAACTGTATCTTTGCAGACCCACAGACGGCACGGCGGAACTGCATTTCCCCAAGTTCCGGCACCTGACGCAGTTCTCGTACGTTTCCACCGGAGGCAGCGATGTAGAGTTGGTTGATTTCCTCGCACAAAACAAGGCTTCGCTGCGATCCGTGTACCTGCATAATCCTCATTGGACGTTCCCGTCCGACTCGCTCTCGATCCGCAACCTGACGCACCTGGACTTTCAGGGGCTCTTCCCACCTGAGTCCCGTGCGTTCGCGGACATCTTGCAAAACGGACATCAGCTCGAGAGCCTCTCGCTCGAGTGTGTGCTCAACTGTCCTGCATCCGCACAGTTCCGAGAGCACGCGCAGGCGTTGCCGTTCCTCCGTCACTTCGCGTTCGCGCTGCAGGGCTACAGCGTGAGCGATCACGACCTCTTCCCTGCCATCTCCGAGTTCCTCCGCGAGCGACCCACCCTTCGCACGCTCAAGCTCTCCGTGCCGAGCGCAAACTGGGCGCAGAGGAGGCTTGGCTATGATGCGACGGTGTGGGGCGTGCTACCCTCCCTCACGAATCTGCGCAGCCTCACGGCGACGCTGCCCAAGGATGTCGCTGCCGCGCTGGCGATGTGGCTCGTCCCGCGGGGCGTGCACTCGTTAACACTGCAAGCGGAGTCGATCACCGACCCTCTTGGCTTTGTAGGGGTGCGTCGTCCCTTCCTTATAGATGCTATGCGTGCTAACGTGCAATCTGTTTAACAGCAAATGCGCGCGGGACTGCCGCCAACGCTGCGCTATATTGGGCTACTGCAGTTCAACATCGGCTCGCGGGATGTGGATGCGGTGGTTGCGCATGGGTTCCCGACTGTGCGCGTTGCCCGCGTCGACGAGGAGTATTATGCTGTCGAGCGTACGGATGGTCAGACACGGCTCGAGGCGTGGGAAGTGCGTGCGAGATACAACGTACGGCGGTGGCTGTCTGCGTATGGATGCGAGGACGCGGAGTGGCGCGATGCAAGTGAGTTTCTGTAATGTGAGTTACCGGAAGGTAACGCGCAGCGTTGGAAGGATTGGTTGATTGCTTTTTGTTTTCAAAATTCTGGGTGCATCCAAGGGTATAGAGCAAGTCATGCAGCTTGTATATTGTATAGTAGGCCTTTTATTTAGTATCTTAACCGAGATGGGTTATGAGGCTGCTAACGCCGCCAACCCTCATCTCAGCATGCATAATTTGAGCGTGGGCCGAAGCGTTTTACTTTCTAGAATTATCATAACACGACGCTGGTATACATATTCCCAATACTGATTTCGAGGACCATTCGTACAAGAACACTGCGATGATACACTGGATGCTGATGATTGCCAGTTACATCCAACCTTGATTGCTGCTTCTACCCTTGACCAGCCATGACAGGATCACCAGTTAAGACGGTGCGTGGGGCACTGATATCCGGAAGGGTTCTTATGCAGATATTCCTGGTGGTAGTCCTCGGCGTCCCACCAGGGACCAGCAGCTACGATTTGCGTAACGATCTTCTTACCTGTGATGCATCAGGATGAAAATTGAGGAAAGAGTCTAAACAAGATCGGTGACTGGCATACCGATGGGGTCGAAGTGCTTCTTCTGCACCTCCTCGGTCACGCGATTGGCGATCTCGAGCTGCTCGGACGAGTGGTAGAAAATCGCGGAACGATATTCTATGCACACGGAATAATGTTAGGTAGTGGAGCGTGAAACGCAGAGTAGATACGTACGGGTGCCTGTGTCTTTCCCCTGCGAGTTCACAGTCGTGGGGTCGTGGGTGCGGTAGAAGAACTCTGCTCGCGCTCAGCTCCGCATCACGAAAAGGCAAAGAACGGCAGCGCACGCACCAACAAGCTCGGCATAGCCGACCTTGCTGGGATCGAACTCGATGCGGAGCGCCTCAGCGTGGTCGGTCCATCCTTGGCAGACGGTCTTGTAGTCCGGGCTCTGGACGTCTTCGCGCCCGCCGGTGTAGCCGACGCGGGTCTTGAGGATGCCCTTGCCCTGCGAGATGGGATAGTGCTTCAGGAAGATGTGCTCGACGCCCCAGAAGCAGCCTGCGGCGAAGGTCGCGAGCTCGGGCTGGCCGTCTGTGTGCAGCCCGAGGGCAGATTTAGAGCGCAAGCGTGAGGTCGACGGCGAGCGGACGCACCAGACATGGTCGTGAACGCTGCGCGAGAGTTCTGGAGGGCGGGGCGGGCGAAGGGGGAAACAGCGAGGAGAGAGAGGCCGAGGCGGTGGGCGGCAGCGAACATGGACTAAAACATATCCCCGGGGATGGATCGCTCAGCTTCACCGCGCAGTGGCGACATACCATGGCGCAAGAACACGTGATCGAAGCATTATAGTAAGCCAGGATTGTTGCTAATGCAGTTCCTAACTCGGCCTATGCATTATGAAAAGGTAGACTGTGATGTACTGAGTCAGTACGTGGGGAATTACGCACGAGATCTCGTCTTCCAAGGTGCATGAAGATTTCGTTGATATACGCCCCTACGTCTAGAATCAGGAAACCCCCCCTTGCACTTGCACTTATGCTGTCTTATTACAGCTAGTTGCAAAATGATGCGGAAAATACTTTTTTCGCAGAGCCCGGAAACACCGGGCCAGAAGACCGAGAAGGGGGAAATCGGAAGCGAGCGCAGTCACGTGGCTGTCAGGCTCTGCCTTCGGCGCGTTAGCAGTCGCTACACGCTGCTCGAGCTTTGTACATACTAATACTCTTGACTGCCAGAGAGTCTCGAGAGGGCACACCTTCTCAGAGGCTGTCAGACATCATTTTCCTCAGTCACCATAATCTACTATAAAAAGACTGGACACGGGAAGGGCGACTCGGACAAAGGTATTGGCTCAGATGCACCACAGTCACGCCTAAGCATAGTCCCCGGTCTCCTCCTCCCCGGTCTCCTGGCCCGGTGTTTCCGGGCTCTGCGAAAAATCGCGTTTTCCGCATCATTTTGTAACTAGCTATAATCCGACGTCACAAGTAAAATAAGTAGAAGGATTGCTTTATTGATGCTTATTCCTACACAAAGTTGAAAGAAGTAAAAATGAGCAGCAATCCTTCTACTTATTTCACTTGTGGCAGTTGATGAAGACAGCATAAGTGTGATAAGTGAAAGGAAGGCTTTCCTGATTAGTACAATCAATCAGGATGATGCGCGATGCAATGTATCGCAACGCATAGCTTATTTAGGCCCATATTTAGTTAAAATGCGGTTGAACTCTAATTTAGGATGAACTCTACCCGCTTTGGGGACGGGTCAACCATACTCAGTATGCTTAGTCAGATGCACGGAGACTCCAACGAATCTGGTCATGCATTCCCTCACTTGGTGCGTAGGAACATCAGGGTACCGACGATATTCATCACAAGAAGGTCGATTGTGAACATCTGCTTGTCAAGAGAGCCCCGAACCAACCAAGGGCCCGGAGCCCTGCTACAAGATGATATTTGAGATTGTGCACGGCAGAAGACGAGTCGGGAGTCGCTTGAAAGCTAGCGGGAGGCTTACGGGACGAGTATTCAATTTTGAACTTGTATTGATGTCTTATCCCCGAGGAACATCGCCGGAGCGCAAGCCTTCCCCAATGGGCAACGGTGCACACTGCACGCGCATGCAATAATAGCCACGAAGATTACGCATATGTACGTATACACAGCTTCGGAAGTTTATTTATAGTATATGGTCGCTCGGTATCTCAAACCAATGAGTATAGGTAGCTCATTGGTATACGGCAATAGATCTAGAACTGACGACTGTATTTCTCTCTTAGGAAGCAAGCATATCAAATAGTATTGATGGACCGGTGCCAGGAGCACAGTTGGGCCCATTGCTTCCGGTGAGCTGATAAGCATTTTCCATGGCTATTTCTGAAGGCTGCTGCAAGGCATAGGCGAGGCCAGGGAAAGGGAACTCTGCGTCAATGGGATGGGTATGATAGGCACGCTGATAGATTGTTGCCTCCCGCGAAGGTGGCGCTGCGCCAAGATGCGAGGCTTCGCGAGTCATCACAAGACTCCTCTCAGCGGTGTCTCTGCTTAGCTGCCACCGTCATGCAAAATGCTCCTCAGCATGTGAACGATCTCACTTGGGCAGCCGGAGATGAGACAGGACATTGATCAAGCGCTAGAAGGGTGTTGCCGGCAAGCCCGACACACGCAGTATGTCCTGTGACAGCATTTGCTTGGGCAATTTTGGACATGAAACCCCGCCAGCATGACCTGCGCTGTGCTACCCGCCTATCAATCGTCACCCTTTACTTAAGCCGGGGGCCTCATACAACTTTGACATGAAGGATCGTGAGCGGACTAACGATAAGCATGCCGAGACGAGGTTTTCTAGTAGCCGTCGGAGACACTACGCTTACAAATGCTACCTTCTCATGTGTTCCCCGCTGGGTAGACGTGCACGCGGGTGAGTAGTACTAAACGTGGCAATGTTGTCTGCCACATAGCAACCTTTCGCGGGCGGTGAACTAATTTTTCCACCCAGATTATGGTATCACCGCACGAAGACCGGCGAATCACGTATTGCAACGCATTTTGCATTAGACGGACAACTAACGCCCAGTTGCATAGAGTCGTCGAAAGATAAACGCTGGTTCGCCGTGTTCCGGTGCTTTCTGTGTATGACATGCTTTCTGGCACGTCAACGGGCGGCAGGGACCCCGTGGAAAGGTGTGGGTACGCGATGGCTATTTTTCCGCCCGCGCTCACGGCGAAGTGGTCGATGTGGCGGTCAAGCGACCAGAATCATGCTGCGGCTCATTTTTGCGATAGGTGCCGCGCCTCAGTGACGAGGAACTCGAACGACGGACATTAAGATCAGCAGTGTTTTAAGGCGGCGACATTGCCTTAATCTCCCAGTGTGTCGTTAGGAGCTCCATTCTGAAATTTAGAGGTACCAAGGCGGTGGGTTGCTACCCCTTTACCCCAATGATCGGGGAATGACGTTGGCGATGGTCAGCGGCCGTACGCGCAGAGCGCGGGGAGGTCATTGGTGCTCCACTTGCACCGGCGTTACCCTCGTTTCGCTTGGCTTCCACCGTAGCGACCGTTCCTTGACTGGGATTTTGCGGCCGCTGTAATGCTTCGCACCTAGGGATGCAGCCGCTTTCCAGTAACCATCCATATCTGCATTTCTACTTCGATCCCAGAACGCTTCACATCGCTCGCGGAATGCGCTATATTTGTGCTACGCCCTATGCCGTGCTGGCTTCTTGCGTACGTGGGATGTGTGGGTTGGAAGGCAAGTCGCTGCGCGTTCTGCCCTGCGCACTGACCGCTTGCCTATCTGATTTTCTTCGGTAAACGGTGCCCGGTGGCTCTCAGCAACTTGCCTGCCCATTCACCGTGCGTTCTCCCCGCTCCGCCCCCAGTAGTCCGCGATCTCGTTTACCCAGTCGTCGAATTGTCTCTCGTATTTTAGCGGACCAGTGCGCCCATCCGGCCGGCTTAGAGGGCCTCGAACATCGGAGAACGTGCTGGTGCGCGCCGACGAACAATGCGACATCGCATCCCCACCAGAGGTGCCTGTCGATGAGTTGCACAATGGACATGCAATTAAAGCCACCTAGATGTGGTCCATTACGGTCAACACCTCACGGGACTCCACGTCGAGTATGTGGTGGGAGCACGTTAGCACGTAGACGAATGGCAAACCCCATCCCGCTGATACGCACGGGCACAGTCCTCGTGAGTCTGCAACGGCTAATGTGATCCTCCTCGCCATTATACCAATATGCGCCGTCAGGTCGCAGTCCAGAGACAGGCAGAGCTTTATGACATTGCTGGTTACATATTTCTATGATCGCATGCGCTTTCTGTGGCATAGAGGACGGCTGAATGGCCTGCCCGTGATCCCATTCATGTAGGCGTCAACGAGCGCAAGTGTGCAGCTCCTTGCATATCGGAGTCGTTTGAGACCTGAGCCTCGAGTACGTCGATCGTGTACTGTGATGGTTTGTATTGACGGGTGCAATTATCCTCTGTTACATCTTTCCTATGCTAATTACAATCAACTGAGAGTGTCCAGTCCGTGCATAACAGTGGTAGACTATTTCAAAGGCGAGTACTTTATCTGTAAGGAGAGATAAGTTTGGCTGACAAGAAGGCTGGGTGGGTTGTTAGGACAATAGGGAGCCTGGCGGCAGATGTACGATGCATCATAACGTAGTGTTTATGTACCGCCGGTGTCGCCGCGCGTGAAGCGTAGACTTATGGCTGTCGGTGCGTAATCTTGAGTCATTATTCTGATAAAGCCAGTACGTCAGTACGCGTTGTGCAAGTGCCAGATAGCATTTCCAAACCTATCGAGGCAAGGCGCTGTGCCGGTCGAGAGTATTTCTATAATCCCTAGAACGCGCGAGCCCTCTCTTCGCTCGTGGGAGTTCGGTATACGTATGCAAAGCGAGTCTAACATCCTGTTCGCATAGGCGATGCGACACCTCAGCAGCAAGACTGGCAGCGAAGACTACGTCAGAGCTGCTGATCCCATTGTCCAATTCGTCCACGGCCCTCCCTTCTGCGCTCGCACTAGCGAAGGCGGTCCGCTGAACATCGGCGTTGACTAGTGGAGATGTCCTGACGTTGTAGCGCACGTTCGCATGGCTGGTCGATGAACAGTTGATAGCGGACCAGGAGATTTGCTCAGGGTTAGAGCCAACTGGGATTTCGTCAAGGGGAGTGAGGATGATCTCCGAAATCTCTACCATGGACGGTTGATCACGCAGCTTATTGCGAGCGTTGAACCTATTTTACTGTACGGTCAAATTGATGATGACTATGATTGACCTCCAGTGGCTCACATTGCCAGGAACGAGTTGACGTAGACTGGGGCAGGATCAATGATACGACGGACGTAACCGCTGCACAGGTGAGACCTCACGTTTTGTGAGCATGAACTCCACGCTGAGTACAATGAAGCTATTCGGCATCGCTGCCATCTGGTGAGTAGGTGGTCATCATGGGCTAGGATTGAGATGGTCGCACTATCGAGTGCTTACAGCGATTATTGCTGTCAACGAGCAGAGACTGCAAGAAACCTCATCGTAATGTGCTAGCGACCTTGAAGATGAAGCACGGCGTACCTGGTTATAATGCCAGTATTGACGATGTAGATCATGAGTTTACTGATTGTACTGTCAATCCTGAAACACCTATTTCAACGTGTCCTAGATTCCGCTTTATCTTTGAGGTCTCACCTTGCCATTCCAGTTCTACAACGCGACAGGATATAGCACAGAGAGCACGCGATAGTTGCATCGATGGCTGTTGCGATCGCTAACGGCAGGTATGTGACCCACTAATACAGGTTTCCAGTCAATTTGTGTCTCCATTCGTGTACCTAACTCGACATTACGCTTACTTTTACGTTTAGCAGATCAACAAAACGATGAAATTGTAGACTGATGTAGGTAAGACGCACTGTCTCATGCGACCGATAAGCTGAAGACTTACATCTCGAAGCATAGCACTTGTAGTTATCGGACTGGAGGTTACCACTCTGATGTTTGCTCAAATGCATCGCCACTCACCTGCAGCGGAGCCTTATAAAGGAAATAGCACATTCAGTCCAACATGCGGGCGGTTTAATCGCCATGTATCTTACCATATCCGACTAAAGCTACGATGGTACCCTATGTGGAGCATAGAAGCACATGAGCAAAGGTAATTATACAGGACGACTGATTGCACTTACGACCGCTATAGGCAAGACATTGCGAAATAGAGATCGTGTCCCGTCTGCGTTCTTGACTGCAACATTGTTAGCGCAAGACGTTGGATCGGCATGAAGCGTGTCGGCGTGTGAGCGTATATCCACGACTACAGATAGAGAACGTCCCTTATCGGAACGCTCACGACTCACGCTTCCACAGACGAACAGCGTATAGGCTATTGGTACAAAGTCAGCGACATGGAGCCTCGTGCCTTAAAATGACTCGACGTACGTGTGTACTGAGACGACTACTACCGCCTAAGCAACGCTCCGTCCATGAGCCAATCATAGACCAAGCGAAATGAAACTCAGACTCGCATCAACAATAATCTGAGCCTGCGGTGGCGAAGTGAGCAACGATTCTGTTCGTTTGCTAGTAACGGGATTCTTTATGCTTACCTTGAAGCTCCAGACGGTGTTCGGCAATGCTTGGGGGTTGAAGAAATTGGTAACCAGGTACCAGTATACCATATGCATGCAGAGTGCTAGGTGAGTTGCGTCAAGCAGCCTAGAGGCGCTGCCATAGAGTAAACCAAGCGCGTTTCCCAGAGATATGCGTACCACAAACAGCACACGGTCAGCTTGTTCCACGAACTATCCTCTGCATATTGCTGGAAATAAATAAAAACTTGCAGGTTCGTAATCCCGAAGAAGCTGAAAGCCACAGTCAATCCAGCTAAGCCAGGCTCGAACTGGGTAAACACACGGAAGGGCTTACATTGCCGAGATGAACGAGCCTATTAGGATCGCGCCGTAAGTATCGTCTAGCTCGACCATGGTCTTTAGGCCCACAGTACGTGTGGCCCGTGCTGGATACCAAAGGATCTGCTCTGGGCAACTTGTGCGAGGAATGAGCGTTTGTGGGCGAAACCGTTGTACGTCGCAGTCGAATTCACCCGCGGCACTGGGGATGTCGCGGATCAGTTGTTGACGGAGGCCTGTAATGAAGTCAAAAGAATTACTAAATACGGTGTGGCCGTGTGATAAATTGAATTGTATACGGTAGTGCCACAGCTCCATCCTACAGAATGGTCGTCTAAGCTGGCTGTATAAAGACTATTGTTCCGGGCTTGACGTTGGCTGTACATACAGAGCACGGTCTTGCACGCATGGTGTCTGGCGTATCTCGTGTAGGGCAGTTTGCAAACCCGTATCAGGAAGCTTAGTTTCGACATGAGCATGTCTCAGTATGGCAAGTAGCAAACGTCACGACGCACTCTCACAAAGATCACATAATATGTAATATATTCATTATAAGTGTTCAGAGAATGTGAAAAACTTGGAAGATGTGGGCGGGGAGTTGTATTCTGCCTTCATCGTCTTCTCCCTCCGTCTCGTTACCACCTTCACTCTCTAGATTCAGTGTGGCTTCTCTGGGGATGATCTGTTGGACCACTGATCAGCCGCCGAGCCCATCAGCTTACCATCAGACGGCCTACCCGAAGTAAGATAGCATCTTCCAACATCCAGCATCCATCGACATCAGCCGACAGGGGGAGCTTCACGCATGTGAAGCGGAAAGGCAACGAGGTTAGTATGGGCTTTCTAAAACGAATCATATCATTAATTTCAGTGTCCGAGAAAGCCCATATTCGAGTCGTAGATACTTGCCTTTCGCGCTCGAAGACGGCAGGATCGAACTCGTAGAGCGTTACGTATGTGTGACGATCTGTAGGCTTGCTGTGGTCTGTGATCGTGATCATGACTTTCCATCCGCGTATTGCAATACCAGTGAGGTTAGACCATGCATAGGAGAGCAGCCGTGTACCCGAGAGCCCCCATTCACCCCAAAAGAGTCTTCTCTCGCCTGAACGTCGAGCACGCGCGATGCAGGCCCTCAGCGTAGGTACAGGTATAATCAGCACAAGAGCACGATCGAGGGAGTTTGACTGCACGCGCATTTTCAGTGTGATGATGTGGTTTCTTGACGATGTATAGAACGGTTTTCGTCTCGGGAGGCTGGGACCTGCGGGAGTATTACCTTGCAGTTCACCCTCGACCAGCGTCATTCCACATTCAAGCGGGGGCAGCTGCAAAGAACAAACGTAGTCTTTGCTAGGGAGCATCAGTGGTGCACCCTTCATCTCTGGTCGATGATGATCGAATACGTAGATACGAAGATCATTTGCGGTGGCGACGAGGACGTGTTCCTGGTCGATGAAAGTGAAACTTGTCACTTCGTGGCGTGGTAGAAAAGGTACTACCTATAGCAGTAGATATTAGCACCATCAACCGCATTCGAGGAATGGCTCCGGGCTCACCGCGCATGTTCGTCCAGTACGCCAATTTCCTAGCTCTAGAAAAGTACCAGCCCCGCCATGCTCATTGGACAAACGCCCGAGTACTGCACCTTGTACGGCAAGCTGCACGCTTTCGCGGCTTGCAGGTTCGGGTTGCATCTTCCAGAATGCAGGTACCTGTGTGTGAGGGTGCCAGTTCCCATAACTCCTCAGGTCGTATAGATGAATGCCTGTAGCGTCATCGGATTGTCTGTATTCACGTTCACGTTCAACTGCTGTTTTACATAGAACGGGAACAGCAGTCAAAGACGTACGGCTCATCGTCGTATTCTCCGAGAATCATGAGGTCCTGCGAATCGTCGAGGAGAATCATATGGGGTTCGCCTATAGTCCAGTCCCTGATGTTCACGACTTGTCGTTCACATTCATCAATCCCCAGCATCCGGGAGGGCAGCTTCACAAATTCAAATCTTTCTGGATAGTCTTCCTGAACTAGCGTATCAGTAGAGACGGCGAAGCCCTCGCCACCGAGGTCTTCCACAGACGGCCCGGGTATGAGCTTCAGCGAGCGCCATGCTTTCTGCAGCCGGCGCAGGCGTTGCAATTTATCTGATGCGGAGAGTGAACCAAACTCTCCGTCCTCCATTCCCGCCCACAGAAGTTCCAGCTTGTACTGTAAGGCGGCGGTCCCTTCGATCAAATCATAGAAGTAGTGGCAGACCTGTGTTTAGTGTGAGTGGCGTGTGTATTCACTAGCATAGAGGCTACTCACCCGTCTGCACGTACATAAATCTCCAATGTCAAGGAGTGTGAGTATCGTTACCAAGAGCTCTGGCGGGAAAGGAAGGATAGCCAATAGTAAAGCCATGTCGGCAGTCAATGCCGTGCTGTCGAGGAGTGCTTGGTGCCGCATCAGAAGAAGCGATGCGTCATTTATACTACGCGAACAAAGGAAGCATGTTACTGAGCGGGGACAAAGGCATCTCCTGCAAGTCGCCACTAATTCATGAACGTAAAACGCGTGTTGGGTGGAACCCAGCACACATGGCTCTCGTCACCATCTTCTGGCGAGCCACCACTACTGATAAATAGGAGGACAATCGCAGTTTCAGTTCAAAGTGTTGGTATTATATTGGCAAGAATGCCAGTTCTTCATGATGGCTCACCTCCAGGACTGATCAGCCGCAGGCCTCTTGGCCAATACGTCGTCGCAGGATTTATCCGAACCACAACATAGCAAGATTTTTTTTGAACGCTTAGGAAAGCTCTCGGGGGTAGATTCGATGAGATTAAATACAAACCGTATGTAATCGCGCGCAAGGTAGTTCGTATTCTCGCCGTGCGTTTGTAGGACCACCAATAGGCGCCTGTTCTCGTGTGCAGAAAGTAAGTCCCGTGATAGACGCGTCGCGCCCTAATACACGCTGCCGTCCGGCGCGCCGCGTTGACTGTAGAATCGCCTTGTTCGTCAACCGACTCGCACCCTTACTGATCTGCTAAGGTGTGAGGAAAAACCACTGTAGTCTAACGTATGTATAACTCTGAAGATGAAGATATCGCGAAGTAGCTCTCATCATACTGCTCTCTACTACTCGACTAACTGCTCGTAGGGCGATCGCGCTGAGCCTCCAAGAGTCTTCCACTAGGCAACAGCCCGCAGAATCTGAGCCGACAGAAGTGATAACAATCAGCGATGACGAGGATGAAGGAGATGACGAAGAGCGGCGATTTCAAGCCGAGCTGCAACGAGCCATTGAAGCCTCCAAGCAGGAGGAAGCGCGCCACAAGCCCACAAGTCCTGCTGCATCCGAATCGCCTCCACCTCAGCTAACCCAAACTCAAACTGCAACGAGCTTTCTGTCCGAACGCGCTCAATTGGAGAGAGAGCGATTGGCCCGGCAGAAACGGCTGCGCCCTGAAGTAGATGTGGAGACTCCAGACGCAGATGATGGACATAGAGCGAAGAGGCAACATCTTTCCCCTTTTCCCCATCAGACACGCAGGACCGACTATGATGCTTCTTCCAGTGCCACGACCAGTGCGCGTCCGAACAACAGTACAAGCGGGCAGGCGGGACCATCGCAAAATACCGCTGCGGGACATATGTTCTGGGATGGCGAAGTAAGGCAAACCGCCAATGCGCATGTAGACCCAGCCACGAACAAATATCCTCTGTTCCTACTGTCAGAGATCCTTGCACCGGTACGTTATAAGCCACATATTTTTTCTATGATGTGCTGATCTCTGCAGAGAGACGAGATAGAATTTGCGATCGTCTCGTCGTATGTATACGATTATCCGTGGCTGTACTCTATGTTCAGTCCTACCACGCCAGTGATAGCGGTCGCGCAGGACCAGTCCGGTGCGCAATATACCAGATGGCTAGTCTGTTGTGCTTGACATGCGCAGGTGAGGAGACGATCAAGGCAATCCTGCCGAATTGGATCAAGACGACGCCGTTTCTACGGAATGGCATGGGCTGCATGCACATGAAGGTCAGCTTTATATGCACTGCCAATTCACCCGCTGAGATTCGGAGTATACGAATCAGTTTATGCTGGTGCGTTGATAAGTAATTCGCCGATTGACATTCCTAATGAGAGGAGCAGCTGTTCTATAAATCACGTCGACTACGTGTAGCTATCTCGACAGCAAATATGATCCAACACGATTGGCGGGATATTGAGAATGTAAGCCCCCAGAAGCTGGACCTAAGCGTTATTGACATTGCTACCTCGTTCTCAGACCGTTTGGGTGCAGGACGTTCTGCGACGGTCTGCTCCCATCGCACATGACCCGAAAGCAGAGGATTTTCCGACAGCCATGGGACGCGTGCTGCGGGCGCTGAATGTACCAGCAGCATTGGTATCGCATCTGCGCAATGACGTGAGAGCTAGACTGTCACTCTAGGATCGTGCCTACATCACGTTCTGATTTCCACGTATAGCATCCCAACCTGCCATTGCAGCGCATTGAGGAGCTTCGCACGCACTATGACTTTTCCAAAGTGAAAGCGCGCCTCGTCCCATCGATCGCTGGGAAGCACGAGAGCTGGCCCAAGGTATCATCGGTGCTGTCAGAGCTGTCACTCGCTACTAACGGTAATATAGGTCGTCCTTACTGGCCACACCGCGCTCATGAAAGTTCTGCGCGACATGGGCGCGATGGCTGAGAAGGGCAAGGAGCTCGTGCTTGAATGCCAGGTGCGCTTGGACATGCCTCCTCACTGACTGAACCTCTGGAGACGCAGACTTTCCTCGCAGGGATCGTCTATCGGGACATACAGCACACAATGGGTGAACGAGTTCTACTGTTCCGCACGCGGCGAGTCCGCGCAGACGTGGCTCGACGCGCCAAAGTCGCGCCGCGCGAAGCTGCCGTACCCGCCGATCAAGATCCTCTTCCCGACACTGCAGTATGTGCGCGAGAGCGTGCTGGGCGAGCGAGTGTGTGCTTTTCCCTTCGTCCTCGCCAACCTGAGCTACTGGGGAGGAAACTGACACCTGCATTGATGGACAGGGCGGGGGCACGATGTTCTGCCGCCGGAACCAGTGGGAGGGCGCGAAGTTCCCGCGCGAGCTCTTCCACCAGTCGCGAAGCAAGCGCGGAGGCATCCTCATGCACTCGAAGGTGAGCCCAATGCGGCTGCGTCGTCGTCTGGGAAGCTTACTGCCAGATGTAGATGATCCTCGGGCTCTTTGGCGCGAAATCGGGTACGTCAGGAAACGGCTCGAGCAGCGAGACAGAGGAGAGCGAAACAGAGAGCGAGACAGAGGAAGACGTCCCGAGTGCGCTCATAGGGTGGATATACGTGGGATCGCATAACTTCACGCCCTCGGCATGGGGCACGCTCTCAGGGTCGGCGTTCAATCCTATACTGAACGTGAGTGGTCTATCTCTTCAGTACATAAATCTGGGCCTGCATGCGGCGTCTCGCATGGGTAACGCACAGCACCGTCCATTGCCTATCCGGGCAAAGGATCTTATGTAGATTCTGTTCATGCTCAGACCATTGCTATACTAAACCAGTGCTGACACGTCAGTGCTCCGGTTGTAGATCACAAACTACGAACTTGGGATCGTGCTCCCGCTACGAAGCGAGAAAGAGGCGGACCGAATCGCGTGTTGGGTGCGTCCGCCAAAGAAGTACAATCTGAGCAGAGATCAGCCATGGGTGAGTCATCATTGCCATACCGTCCCATTCCCCGGTGCTAGGCCTGTGCTACCAGTATGCACGGCTTCATGATGTTTCACTGACGTGTCGGCTTCACAGATCCAGAGCGAATCGCCGGTGTGTAATGCGGGCTAGCGCGGGGATATTCGCCGCGTGGGCCAGCTTGGAATGGATATTGACTTGTCTGTGACGCGAGGAAGGATAATGACGTGCTGTAGAGTGCGCGCGAACGAATTGCAATGTTATAAAGACTGTACTATGTGATATGAGTGCACATCTACGCTACTCTCTGCCCTTCGACGGCGAGTACTAAAGACTGCCGGGGAGAGTTGCCCGTTGTCCGCTACATCGGCGGCGGCAAAGAATAGGCGTGAGCAAACAGAGGCAAACAACAGAGGGCCGGCGTGGAAATTGGGCTCGGCGACGGCGACGGCATGGGCAGCGACGAGCAGCGTTCTCCTCTTCTCCTCCTGGGTTCTCTTCGCCTGCACGCATCGCGCTGCTGACCGTCTTTTGTTATAAACGCTCGTTAGCGACACTGCTAGGCTATAATTGCTACACCCCACATTGCTAGCGCTTACCTGAGGACCGCTCTCCGCCATGCACTTCCGGCTATTCTCTCTGATTCCCCCCAGCGTTCTGAGTTTCTTGCTTGCTTGGTATCTCATACCATTTGCGAAGGCAGATTGTTAGTAGGGAGCACTCTATGGAGCAGTAGGACAAGTCGCTGAACAGTCGTTACACAGATTGGGCCGTGAACTCGCCGACAACAGGCGTAGAATGGGTCAACGGCCAGACGAACCTCCTATCATGGACAAAGGGCTTGTTGGACGGCATCGACGAGTTTGATGTCGAGATGCAGCGATTGAGTGTAGCAGGGCTCACATACATCGCACACAACGGTACGCTTTGCCCCACGCGGTCTCGTTGCCTAACCTTGAGACATGCGCCCAGTACCTGCCTCGATGAGCAGCCTGAATGTCTACCTGCAAAATGTTCCCGCTGCGGACGACTACTATGTTATGTTTGTCAACTCGAGCCACGGCATCCTCTACGCCTCGTCTCCGTCTTTTGCGATCGCCAACACGAGCAACGGGAGTACGACGACGCCGGCGTCAGGCGTGCCCACCGTCACCATCTCTGGTGCGCCGAACCCCACAGATCTGTTTGCGACGACATTCGCAGGGTCGAGCAGCGGCGGGACCGGGTGGCGCGCGGTGCAGGACTCCTCGCTGCAGATCATGGCGGTGCTCAGTGCGATGGCGATGTGCGTTCTCGGCGGGGTGTTGACGGTGCTATAGTACGGCGCGCACGCCGTGACACTACCCGTGTTGCGAGTGATTGCTGTAGCGTTGTATGGCCCAGTGTGTCTTTGGAGGCGGGTGGGTTGTGCTATTCTTGTGTTTTTCTGTGGCCGGGCATCTTATGGAATGTTACTACTAACGGACGCATGGTACTGTACTCACACCGGATGTCGCACATGATACCTGCGTATACTAGTCCTGCTTCTATCATACAGGGGCCGATATCCTTGCTATAGACGATTCCTTATGCGACTTTGGTGCTATAGAGGCTGTTCGTTTACCATTCACGAAGGGGACAACCGTGTGCAACTGCCTCACCAGTAAGTCCGCAATTGCCATATTGCTCGTTGACCTTGCAGTATGTCTATGGGCTTGTCCTCATAGAATGCATCCACGTCTGGTTGTCCGTAAAGGTGTGTGTACGATATGAGTTTTCGGTCGTTTATCACATGGTAAGACGAAGCAATCCAATTTCGCAGGATATTCGAGTTTCGAATGTTTTCAACACCCTCAGCCCCACCGATCTTTTCATCCTACGGTAGGAAAGTATGTGCAGGGAGCACAGCACATCATGTTCGTATCTCGATGCTCATCACGCAGGACACGAAGCAGAATGTGGCAGACATCCTCAAAATACCATACCGCCCGTATTGCGTACCTCTCCGAACCATCGATGTCGTGTCGCGTCGCGAAGTGGCGAATAACGACACGATACCTAAACCGCCTCTTGGCCGCTAGGGTTTGGATGATTCCTGTCGTCACTGGGATCCGGACCGATCACGGCATTCAGGACTGTCCACTGCCGTTGATCGTGATGGAAAGTCTGGAGAGTGCGGATCAACAAATGCACGAAATCGACCACGCAGATGGCACACCTGAATCAAGATCACATCCTCTCCCGTGACGATTTCTGGCTCCACAGCTCCCTTTGCGCACATACGCCATTCGCTGAGACGGTAAGGCAGCGTCGACGTGACCGTATCCAACAGTATCTGCGGTGGCATCCCGGTTGAGGGTAACGTGGTAGGTTCTGTAATCCAGGACATGCACATTCTACCCGTCTCCATTTCGAACCCGGGGGGAAGTCCGCTCGCAGGAAGTCCGTGCCTGTCATCACCGCCCAAGTCGTCCATAGTCACAAGCGCGGCGTCGTGCCAACCTGCAGGAGTGACAGCACCCTGTCGACCGTGGGGAGCCAAGCCTTGGTTGATATCGAATGTACACAACGAAAATGTCTCCTTGTCTTTATAAGTAACTATTGTCTTGGTGCCACACACGCTGAGACACACTGTATCTGACGGCCTACGCACAGCCCGCGTGCCTTTGACGCCCCATTCGTCCCACGCAAGGTCCAGCGCAGTATTAGGACATCGATAGGCATCTGTGCGATTGAGGATCGAGTAAATTGTCATTACTGGAATAAATATGATAATGGTTTCTGCGAGCACCATCGTCTCCGTGGGACATGGCACGTCCATCGAAACGGCGATCAACGCCCGCTGGCGTGACGAAGAGAAGGGGTATCTTGCATCGTGTGGCCCAATTCCTGTGACGGTGTGTGTACAAAGACGAACACTATGGCGAAGGCCTTTGTGATGTATCGATGGCAACCTCAACACGCAGCGGGGTTTTCTGATATAGATATACTTGTCGTGAATGCAATAAACGCTTAAATATCCATCATCCGGCACGATGAAGTGGCTCTCGTCCAGAAACAAGAATGACGCATTGAGGAAGCTGTCGCCAAAGCCAGTGCAGAAGTCCTACTAATGCGAGAGCGTTACCGGCGGATTGCGGCAGAGGGCGAAAGTCACTCACGTCGAGCACCACGCTAGGAGATTTCCAGGAGCATATACACCGCACTGAGCCAAAGCCGGGACTCAGGAAGAATCCCAAGATGTCGCCTTCGATGTGCATTGAAAAATTGCTGTCGAAACCGTAGATATCGCCAAACGTCCGACACGGCTCAGACGTAAGAGGATGCGGAGTTCCGGGTCCAGTTAAAGATAGTAAATGAAGCCTCCACTCGGGTGCGGACGTAATGCTCAATCCAGGCGCAACCACAACCAAGAGGTCTTGCGAGGGATCTAGGTATATGGCCTCAATATCGTTAAGTACGTCTGTGGGCTTGACTGTCCATCGGCGCTCTTCTCTGTTCATTAGGAGAGAGGGTAATTGTACTACATCGATACCCCCTTTGAATTGACTTGGGCGAAGACGCCGGCCGAGAACGCGTAGACCCTACTCGCCGCCGCGGGCAAGGATATACCAGGCGTAAATCGCATGTCTCGCCAGGATCGTGCCAACTCTCGCAGCCTATGTAGCTTTGTGGAAGTTGGAAGGCCGCACGGTGGATTGTCAGACATTCCTAACAGTTCCAGTTCAATGATATACTGTAGCTGCAGGGAGTTTTCAAAACATCTAAGAACAGCCGGCAAACCTGCAAAATCGGACTGTATGTTTCTGCGGACAATATGAACGAACCAAAGATACACCATACCTGCTTCACATTGACAAGATCTGCGGCCATGAGCAGGCTGAAGACGGCTACGAGTAGCTCGGGCGGAAGGTCGGTAATAGCCATGTGTCCCAATATCGTACAAGGTGATGGGTCTAGATGAATTATGTTGCTCACCAGCGGAGCATTAGAATTAATACCAAGATGTATTGAAGGCGGAGGAGAATTTTTCGAGCCATGAACAGTCGAATGACTCGAGTACGTACGTACTCAACTTGAACGAGCTTGATGATGGTGGTTACCGAATAAGACGCACAAGCGCCGGGATATTTGAGGTAGACGCCTACCTCACTTCAACTAAATCTAGATATCCGTAGCCCGCGCATGTTGAAGAAATTAGGTACGTTCAAAATTGCCGCTTAAATCTCGCTGGAAAACAAGCGGCATTTAAGCGTCCAAAAGCAGCGAGCAGAATCTGAGCTCCCCTCCTCGAACAGCGACAAATAAGCGACTGCTCGGCGCAAGCGCTCGCAGATTTTGGCTTATGGCTATGTCACGCTTGCATGATTCACCATCCTGATTAGCTAGTCAGCCCTTCGCGAACCGAAAACGTGATCAAATCACGGCTGCATCACGCTTAGTCATGTGTGACACTTTCAGCGACCTTCCAGCGACCTTCAGCCACATTTGGGCGCTCAAAAGCAGCGAAAAGTCGCTTGTTTTCCAGCGAGATTTAAGCGGCAATTTTGAACGTACCTAGTATCTACTCTGCTCACAGGAGACTAACTAAATCCCGCTAATTGTGGTAGACGCTAGCCTCCACTTTAGACTGCAAGTTCGCATGATTGTGTATCTCATATCATAGTGCACCTGAGTGCTCACAATGGCTGTGGTGAGAGGGCAGAAGTATTTAGATATTCCGTTAGACTCAATGTCAGAGTTTTAATAGCTTGACATGTTGTCTCCCATAGGCAGACCTTAAATAGTGTGGCCTTTTTTGTGTGGGGTGGCGCACGCTGTTGGTGCTACACCATCGTCACTACTGAACTCGAGAAATACTCAACGCAAAAAATGAACGGTCACATCAGCTTTACTCCTGACGTGCACCGTACGCTCGGTCCCTACAAGCGATGCGCTCAAGGTCGAGGCCAGCATTCCTTTCGGACCTCACCCGAGATGCATAATCACCGGCTGCGTATCTGCTGATGTAGAGGCGTGTTATATCCTGCCTCCCGATACGCCTCAGCGACTGGTGAGTAGACGTGACTACTACATTGGCCTTGTGGATGACAAGGTGGCTCTGGAGATCGAGTATATGATGTTCAATATGCAAACTGACTATGACGCCTTCCGTTGTCATACACCTGAGAATATCATATTCCGTGAGTATCGTTCATTGTTCTACCCGTTCTTTGTAGCCTTACATATCACATGCACTCCGACGTGACCTCCGTGAACTTTGGGAGACGAACCGCTTATTGATGATACCCCATCCTGATCATTTAGAGAATTTGGAGTATTGCGCTGTATGTATTATGTGTCGTCTTCGCCAATCGCTGTGCTTATGGTGACGCAGGTGTACAGTTAATTGCATTATCGCAGAGGACGAGCACCCTCCAGACTCGTGCACGACAATGGATCACACCATCATACCTTCCGTCATGACAGCCCCATGCTCATATCGATCGCTTGGATGCCACAAACTGGACGCCGATCTCGATCCCATGGTAGTTCGAGCGGGCCAGAAACTGAGCAGGCGACCACTCCACTATCAGCATGTCTTGCGGGAGCTGCTGCCCCACAAGGAGATCAATCATGTGTACACCATCATCCTATGGCATGGCTCGTTAACGTGCCCCCTGCCTATGGAGGTAATACCTGACAGGCGGTTATGGGCAACAGGCGAGCTCACACCTTTTCCTGATGGTTACTTCCGCCTCCCCAGGAAGCAATATTGCTCTTCCCTGTTGGATGACGACACTGTCCGCTTTCCTCGCCTGTTCCGGCCAATTGTCTCAGGGATAAAGAGGAAACGTTATGGCGATACCAGACTGGGCAGACAGGCCTACATCGCGGATGAAAATGCTCAACGCACAGTCAGTGTCCGTCAGTGGTGTCTGGATTGTGATCAAGCTCGAGATGAGTGGACGATGGGACCGCCTGCGGAACCTGAGGACGCAGAGTTGCTCACTAATTGACAGGAGGAAGCCGGTGATATCCTACGTGTCATACAAGAACTTGGCATGGGGGAGAACTATTTGTCAAGGTACATTCTCTGGTCGATTTGCAGGAGAAAGTTTGACTGACGTTCTCTTATCCAAATTGAAATGCTTTACAGACACGGTCCCGAGTTTGACACTTAACCACATACCTGATTCTGTCACGGTTTGCATGCCCTCATCAGGTCATGAACATTCAGATTGGTCTTTTGGAGAGCTTCGTCGACCCGCCGTAGACTAACCCTTGGGCATCGGCTCTTCGTATGGAAATCCGCTTGTCTTCAGCCAGCAGGAGGCGGCAGTCGATCTGTGGAATATGGAGACTGCAAGCATGTGGGATCACGATGCTGATCGTTCCCGCAAATCATATTCTCCGACTTTCGATTCTGCAATCACCAGCGGCACCCTTGATCTTCAGACAGAATCGTAATTCCTATCTCTGCTGAAATGACCAGGCATGGCAGCTGATACTACTTTGCAGAATTTGTGGTTGAGCTTTCTATGCGTACATGGCGCTGCTTGACGAGATGACAGACAAGACAGGCGATGTTTTCGAGAGAATGCTGGCGGGGTACATGGCTTCGTGTATGATGCACCCGTCAATCTAAGAGGGGCTGATGGTAGGTTACTTCACGCACATCTGGTACTTCATCTCACACGAGGCTCAGGATTTATTGCTGCAATTTCCAAGCTACATGTTGTATGCTCACAACAATCGGCCGGTATTTCTTGGTCATGTGCATAATTTGACTCATCCTGTTGACCACCTCAGACACCTTAATGCATTATCGTTAGCAGTCGCATCTGCAATTCAGTCGGTGGCGGCGGCAAGGATTAGGTAAGAGACGCATCTGTTGGGTTACGCATGCTTTCCTGATCCAGTTCCACGGCTAGGTCGGGTGTGCTACGAGAAGTAGTACATCACAACCCTGCACGATAGCTCAACCCAATTGTGGCGCTGCACTTATATACCTGCTCTTGGACGATCGCGACTTAGTGCACAGCTTCTGGTCGAGCTTATAGTTTGTCCTCGTCAATGGCGTGAGAAAGATTCCATGAGCTGTAGGTCGATTCTTTTGACCGCAGACTACAAGTCACTGATGATGTCCCCAAGACTGTCACCTCCGTATTTTGGCGTCCTCTGAGTCATAAGCCCAGATTCCGCTTATGACCTCGAGATTCAATTGATCCCGTTAGTGGACAGGTAGACCGTCTTCATACGTATTCCACCGACGAGCGGTCCCATACAGCGTCCAGGGATTGGTCTATCGACGAACGGCGTGCCCGTGTACACAAGTAATCTAGCACGGCTGTACAAAGACATGAGACCTGCCTAAGGACAGCGAGGAAAACCCACACGTCCCTGTACGATCAGGTGATTGCTTTCTACGCCATCGCTTCCTCGCCGGACAAGCTCAATGATTGCATTGCTGCCCGTTTGCTCGGCCTCGCACTCCAAACAGCCCACGTACTGAGCACCCTAATCGCCCGAGAACAATACAAGCGAGATGGCCACGCACATGGGCTGAGATATTGCCGCCTCGAGTCTACCAAGGAGAATTGGCGCGACTCGCACTGAGAACTGATGACACAACCGCCCTGTATGTGGATCGGCTTGCTTGAGCTCACGTTCTCTAGCCTTCTGTGGAGATAACGCGAGGCGCGCTTGCTCGACGGTTCTTGACACCTCGTGCCGTGCTCAGAACTCGACCTTCCTAATCGCTATTCTTGGTTCCCCTCGATCTTTCGAACACCGTCTCTTCTTGTCTTTGCAGGCCCCGGGAGAGAGGTCACATATACTTGCCCGACGGAACATTTTCCTTTGTGAATGTATTAGCAGTCATACTCACTCGTCCCCTTGTAGAATTCCAGAGACGATGTTCTGGCACACGAATATGGATAATTGGGCCTTAAGCAGTGTGGCTCTAGATGTGGCACCAGATCATGGATCGGCCTATCTCGTTTCTGCAAACAGAGGTGGATTACTGGGCTTGTGAATGTCACTGCACGTGGTGATCAATCTCAGGTTTTTCTTGAGGTGCCATTCACAAGACTTGATCTGAATTTGATATTCCAAACAAAAGGATCAATTCTTGCATGTAGTATACTACTATGGTGGTACCAGTGGATGGCCCCCCCTCTTGATGGCCAGGTAACACTTCGTCACATCAATGTGACGATACCGATTCAGAGGTCCGCTCGGCTCACAGGGCCGGGGCCTGAACTTTTGCTCAGTGGTGTGTGGCCCCGCTGTGATCGACAGGTCGATTTTGTAACTCCGCTCGCGTCCGTCGTGGCCATCGTGCTCTCGGGCGTGACATCGCCTCGAAAGAAGGGACTCCTCAACGACTCATCCGTTCGCTCTGATTCCACTTGGAGGTGGAAGCAGGCATACAAAAACATAGGTGTCCACATAACTTCGAGGGCAGGGGAGTGCCCAGTTGTTTCGCATCACAAACCTGGCCATCGAGGGGGGCATCCACTGGTAAAGCATAGTATGGTTGGGAAGGAGTTGCTCATAGCCGCGTTCGCAAGCCTCGGGTTCACGAACCACTGCATAGTTTTCATAATTATTGTGTCAGTCGATGGGTTGAGGTCTTTTCTACAACTGTGAACATATTCAGTGCAATACAATGAGTGGTGTTTGTACCGGCACGAACCCGCAAGGACGACTCGTTTCCGGGGTGGGTGATATTACATTGATACTAAGAGAAAATCGTGCGTGTGTGCCCTATCTGGTTCGCATGCCTATCCTGAAAGTGACTCCACTTCGAAGGCCAAATGTGGCAGCCTTAGCTCGACATTGATACATACACTGTCAATATCATATACATGAGGCATAGTCACATGTTTCGGTACTGCTTGAGCGGCCAGTGTGCAGTTCAGTTAGTGGAACTGGTATGTAGTTCCCTACCATGAGCGGAACCTACGACGCTTTCTTCAACTTGGCATACTCAGGATATCGGTGTATAACATGATTTCTTGCTAAAGATACAAACTCATTGTTATCGTCTCTCTTGCTTTCCGATCTCCAAACCACATCATCAGATGATGCCCGTACACAGTAGACCCTTGATGCAAAAAGTAGATCATCGATGGAATGCACTTCATACGTTTGTGCTATCTTTCTGTCCGCCGTCGATATCCATCTCGTAATAAGCGGGGGCAGAGGAAGACTGCTTTCCCCATGCCCCGCCTCCTGGCGTCCGCACGGTGCTCTCGCTGTTTGCGCTCGTCATTGCGGTGGTTGACTGTAGCCCGACGAGCTCCACTGTGCGCCCGTCGAGCGCCTCCCGGAGGTTGCCCCGCGAATTGAGCCTGTACGACGTGTCAGCACAAAGGTGAGTATCCGGAGCCTCAGGAGACAGACGTTGACATGAGCGAGCACGAATAGACTGCATCAGCAAGAATGTGAGCCTCGTTGAACGGGAAGACGCGATGCTCGGACGTACGCCTGACCAAGGTGAAGTAGAACACCGTAAATACCAGTGAGCTATCTAATTTGACCCACTGCGGGTTACAGACTTGTTTGACTATTGTTGAACATCGAGCAGGCTTGGGAACTCACGAGGGCCAAGGTGATAGCTGTGAACACTCTGCGGCAGTAAGGAAAGCAGTAGTCATAAGCCGTGCGGTAAGCCCATGCAGCACCGCAAACATTTGGGGTCGACGTACGTCGTCAAGAGACCTGTGTGTAGTGGGCGTGTGTCGGTCAGGTTATCCAGCCTTGGTACATTACCGATCCCCATCACTCACACGTGTTTAGTGCATATGTGATCAATAGGTTGATCGCCCTGTTTGTCCTGAGACAGTAATGCAGATCCTCAATATCTCGTATGCGCCCATGCATCTCGGAGTGTGATCATTACCTAGGAAATATGGTCCGCCGAATTTGGAGGTAGTAGATGATGCTGGCGGCAATTAGCGAGTCGCAGGCGATGCCCGCTGACAGGCCGCTGATGGTGAAGGCCTAGATGGAAATATCATCAGGGACACGGGCATACGTACGGGCGAAGAGGGTCTCAACGAGTGCGTTTTTGGGCGCGGCGGAGCTGCGGTCGCGGAATCTGTCACGACGAATGTAGCATTATGCCTAGGGCGCACTAGCAGTCTCGGGAGAACTTGCCCATCTACCGCGTATCCTAGAGCACCACATAGGGCGAATTGGGTAAGTGTGCGTCGCTGAGAGGGATTGCGAGTCATTACCGATGCCACACGCTGTGACGGCTGCTCTCAGGACGCTGCGACAACAAACAGGAAAGGAAAGGTCCGCACCTACTTGTGTCGCGCTGAGGATGAACTGCAACGGTCATTTGCACTAGAGTCACACGAACACAGGAAGGAAGAGGCGCACGGCTGCAATCGGGATCGGGAGCTGTCTCTCGCTGACTGACACGACAGTCAGCGTCCGCTGGCAGTCGCGATCCACGACTGGGAGCACACGTACGCTTATACACACGCATGGCGAAGAAGCTGGAGCGTGTGCTATCAGTGTCCGCGTTCAGGCGTGTATACGGACGGCCCGTACCATTGCACTAGTCCGCTGAGAAGCTCCTGCAAGGTTCATCAGACGTGATGATGCATGACGCAGCGGGCGACGCACCCCTATAGTTACTGATACCTGCGGCGGAGGTTAATAGGATAAAAAGAATGTAGGAGGATCGCGATATTACCGCGAGACTCCTACGGACGCGCCCCAACTATCAGAGCAACAGCAGCAGCAGCAGGTCTGTAAGTGCGCACCATGTGTCGGCGGCCAGGACGGTATAGTCGCCGAAGTTGGTGACGGTATACCAGTAGTAAGCCGTCACGAGGAGCGCAACGTGGAGGGAATCTATGAGCCTGTACGAGCGCACGCATGGTCAAGGTTGCGATGGGAGAAGTAGGATAGTGCCGAGTTACCACACTGCACCAACCTGTGCGACGTATCAGCCTGCATCCTGACTAATCATACATGTGAGAATTGAGCGTGGACGCACGTATAGTCTCGTGAACAAGCCGTCGCCGCCACAGTGACACGTATAATAGAGGTAGACCTGCAGGCACGTTATGCCATAGACCCTGTGCAAAGAAGCATAAGCGACGGGTCCTCGGAGGGGAAAGGGTTGAGCGCACACTGTAGATAAGATCACGCCAATGAACTCCACCCCGAGTAGATCGTCAAGAGGAATGAGAGTTGGCATGTTGAAAAAGTACAAGACACTGCGAGGGCGCTTGTATTCGTCCAATTGCGCTGCTTAATATCTGTTTCGCGATGGCTACCATTGGTGATGCGATTTCCTGTGCACAAGCATGCACAGCACCGTGCGCGCATTGAGCGGCCAGGCACTAGTGATTCCTCCAGGAAATCGATCATGAGTGAACATGGGCCTTCGCAGATAGGCTTGTAAGTCGAATTGACACACTTGCGCCACAAGCAGGTATTGATCATCAACGTGGACACACTGAGAACGCCGGTTGTGAATGTTTGACACAACAGGGACCCCTTCGTCTATCACGACATCTACCACAGCAGCACACAATCAATGCATGGCCGTTGATAGGGTCCAAGTTGATATGCGGTCAGGACGTCTTGTACTCCGCAACAGGTAGCATGTTGTCTTCGCCCGTTCTCGACAGATAGGACTGACACAGGATATGTCGTGTACATTAAATACGGCCGGAGCGACACATGTCCCTGCACCATGGGACAATCAGAACAACAACTCATATTCCACCGGCCACGTCGGATAACGTAATAGAAGACACCTATAAAGGCAAGAGCCTTGACGTGAAAGGGCATCGAACTGACGTTGATGATGGCGACATAGTGGCGATACAACAAGTGTGTGAGAGGTTCAGTGTAATGATCAAATTAAATAGAAAGCACCATGTCACGCCAAGACGACAGTCATAGGAATGAGGACACACTGCGCACGAATGGCAATAGAAGCATGTAGTCATTTCTCAGAGGACTTTTCGGCGAGATGGCATGTGCACAATCTGCATATGATGTCTCAGAGAATGTTCTTGTAGCGTCGTCCGTGGAAGTTCGATGTCTATGGAAGGACATTTACCAGCGTTCGTGGGGACAAGATTATGACTTGGGTTCTCGGTTAGAACGAGACCATTCGAAGAAACAATCGGTGTTTGTTAGATTCTACCGATCTCACAGAAACTCAGCTGCTTGCTCCACGCGAGACTAGTATGCGATGTGCAGTTTTGCATGCAGCCGTGTTGGCATACTACTGGGGCCAACTCGATGAGATGAACGTCGACGGAGAACAGGGAGTACGTGATAGCAGTGAAGCTCTGAGATCACGAACCACGCGTGGAGGCAGACACAGAGACGAGACCCCGTAACCTCGCGTGCTCGAGGACGCTCAGCCCGAGCCGGCGGCCGCACGCGCGTCTGTCCACCCTCTCCATCGACTCTCATCATGCCTTCGCCCCCGCATCAGCACAGCCTTCCTGCAGCCCTCGATTGGCCGTGGCACGCAAACCTGCCTCCCCCCTCCGCCTGCGTCCTATTCCCATGTCATCCTCCGCCGTCCCCAAGTACGCCCTCATCACCGGCTGCAGCGCCGGCGGCATCGGTCACGCGCTCGCCATCGAGCTCATCTCGAGAGGTGCGCGCACCCCGTATCTAGACCTCAGAGGCCCGGGAGCTCACCACGCGGAGCAGGATATCACGTCATTGCCACTGCACGGCGGCTCGAGTCCATGGAGCAGCTCGCGAGCCTTGGCGCCACCACGATGAGTCTCGACGTCGTCGACGTCGACAACATCCGCAAGGTCCGCGATGCTGTTGCTGCCATGACCGGCGGCAAGCTGCACATCCTCGTGAACAACGCGTGCGTCCACGTCTCTGCGGCCCCGTTTGCGTTCAACTGACCCTCACGTCCACTGGTGCTCGCACAGCGGGCAAGGTGCGTGAGCGTCCCGTGTGCTCCACGCCCCCTTCTCACTGGCCGATGCTGCAAGGCCCGCTCGTGCCCGTGATCGACATGTCCATATCCGAGGTGCGGGACTGCATGGACGTCAACTTCATCGGGCCCGTCTGCATGGTGCAGGAGTTCGTGCACCTGCTCATCGCGTCTGGCGACGGGCGCATCCTCCAGATCGGCAGCGTGGGGGGCATCATGCCGCTCCCGTTCTGCGCGATATACAACGCGAGCAAGGCCGCGCTCGCCGCCTTCGGCAACACCATCCGCCTCGAGCTCGCGCCCTTCAAGTGAGCGATCACTCCCGTGCTGCTCCGCTTGCCCGCGTCTGACTTTGCCCCGCCAATCGCCCCAGCGTAAAAGTGACGACCGTGAGGAGTCCATTGACGTGTGCTTGCGCGTATGCAGTCAGTAACTCGGTCCCTCACCCCAGGTCATCGCGGGCGGCGTCAAAACGAATATCGTCAAGCCGCACATGCACTACCTCCCCGACAAGTCGATGTACAAGCCCTATGAGCCGCTGTACACGGAGAAGCGCGTGAAGCCGATCCAGGGTGCGCGTCCTTGTCCCTTCCCTCTGCTCCTGCTCCTCGCGCTCGCTGGACAAGACTCACCGCGCCTCTGCAGACGGCGTGATGGAGCCCGCACAGTTCGCGCGGCGCGTGATCAGCGAGATCGTCAAGCCGCATCCGCGCGCGTGGCTCTGGGCGGGCTCGTACACCTGGATGTGCTGGCTGGTCGACAAGCTGGTCGGAATGCCCGGCTTCGTGAGTGTCGTTTCTCACTCCCCTGCGTCCTGCGTCAGGGAAGAGGCGGTATGCCCATGCTGAATGCGTGCGATACGGCGTGCTCCACAGGAATGGCTCTTCAACTGGAAGTTCGGCCTGTCCGAGTTCTCGGCGATGGTCAGGCGGGGCGAGGTGCCGGTCGCCTGACACGTCTCCAGTGGCTATGTAATCAGTCCACTCTCCTTCATTTTTATGTGCTGGTGTGGACGGTGCTGGATGATTGGATATATTCCCGAGTCAATGCGTGCTGTGAGGCTCTCGTCGGGTGTGCGGGGTCCTGCAGACAAATGGACGAATGGGGCATGCTCGAATTTGATGTCAACTTGATCTCGATCTTGTGCCGCGGGGTTCGTGGTGACTAGACGCCATTCCGCGAAAACACCGGCTTGGGGAACAAGGGTAAACAGATCAATACAAGCAGGCTCAGCCACCGGGAAGACGACGACGGGACTGGCCAGCGCGATCTTGCCGGCGGAAGGGTTGCGACTTGCTCAATCACGATCAGTGCCTCGTTCGCAATTTCCGGGCTAGCGTCGATGGGTCTGAGTGTCAACTGAGAGCGCGCGCGATTGAATGGAAGAGCAGCGGTAACGATGGCCGCACACAGGCGAGGCCGCACACTCCCGGTCATCGGACGTTCGCCGTGCTGTGTGTCTGCTAAGCGATCATGATGGTGCATCAGAATGTGCTATTCGGACGCTGGTATATCGCACTCTCGCAGGGGCGTGTTCAACGCGCCACATGAAGCCGGCAGGTCGCAGTCAAGGGATGGTAGTGAAGCCGGCGGATCGAGGCCAGGGGATGGTCGTGTTGATCACAGAGCAGACAGTCTCGCTTGAGGCCCCTTGTTTTACTTTTTGTTATGCTTCTCCGCGCCGGACAACAGATGATGGCACCGCCGAGTTACATTACGATGATAGATAGAAGCGGTGGCCGGACTGGACAGGTCTGCCTGTGCTCTATTTGGCAGGGCTTCGATATCTGCGAGACTGACACATTCCTGTCGAGTGACAGCTACTTCGGAGTCGGGGCCCCCAGCCTCGCTCTCAAAGTCGGATGACGTGGGCCTGACGAAACACGTGCGTACATATCCGCGATGCATGCGAAAGCGATGACAGTTGTATTCTGGCAAGCAGCACACGCGGTGCACAACGCTCAGCCAAATGGGCGCTCTCGGAGATGACGCCGGCAAAGAACTTGGCTCAACTATCACACCGCACCGAATAGAAGAAGGCCATTCTTCTTCTCAGAATGTCGAAATATGACACCGGTCTTGTGCTAGCGCAGTACTCGCCTTTAGGTAGGAAACAGGAATCAAGCACCATCGCATTCCTCGGCACAGGCCAAACACAACAAGATGGCTACAGTGATGCCAACGCGGGGGAACAAGGGGATGCCGACACAACCCTCGTCCAGAGCCTGACGACCGCGCGCCAGTACCGTTCTGGGTCTGCACGCATATGCGCCACATGCGGCGTGGCGCCAAATCCCTCTGCGTCCACATCGAATCCTCGCGCACGCGCCTCTCGGATGTGCTCCTCGACCTCGTGCGCAGGCGTGACGCGATCCCCGTCCGAATAGATGTATAGCCGGGGCGTCGCGGCAGCGTCGGTGCGCGGCGTGACAGTCGGCAGCAGGTCTGGTGTGTTGAGCGTCTCACGGAGCTCGCGGAAGATCGGCGGGTGCCCGCAGAGCGCGTTCGTCGCGATGAACACCGCGTAGAGCGCGACGATGGGCGGCACCGCGAGCGCGTGTAGGACGGGGTGCTCGGGCGCCCACGTGCTGATGGACGACAGGAGGGGATCGGACGCGGGGGTGGAGTCCAACACAAGGCCTGTCGGGATGCGAGGCGAGGGGTCTTCAGTAGGCGAAGCACTCGATATTCTCGACAGGACCCTGCGAAGCTTGACGACCTGTAGGCCCCCTCCTACAGATTGTCAAGTGAGCCTTAGAGCACGGAATAGCGAGGCAGGACGCTTGACCATTTGAGAACGTATGGAGGAGAATACCTCTGGTTGGAGTCGGTCCAGTCAGTTCACCCCGCAGCATTTGCACGACGGGCGCGAGGGTCGTTTCCTAGAACACACTAAGCATGGCTGCAGGGCTGACACATACAGAAGCATACGAGGGACGATTCTGGCTTGAAGTACAACGAATTGTCCGATCGTATGACCACGATACTTGACGTTGGAAACAGTTTTTGCATGGGCTCGATATATTTCTTCAAATACTGAGGTTCAGCATTCACTATATTTCTTGAGTAAGCAGTATGAAATGGGGAGAGGATGCATGCCAGACTTACACCATCCGAAGACTACAATAAGTCTAGATCGAATTGGAGCCGTTAATCCTGTAATACGACTATCAAGTGCTTGTAACTCACGAGGGATGCAGGGGATTTGGTCTCCCAGTGTCAATTGGATTGAGCAAGAAAGTACCAGAATTCAACTTGATAGACCCTGGATATTCAGGACCGCTCCAGAAGCGCAACATGATGGTGTGCAGCTAAGTGTGTAAGATGTGTCAGAATGAATACTTCCAAGTAGACGAAAAACAACAACAACAACTCATAGCAGATTAATAGGTGACACCACGCAGCGGGTGGAGATACACGTGATGAGCAGTCTCATTTACGGTTGCAGGGATGGAGAATGGATAGCGATTTCCAGGGGTATGCCAAGCAGGAGTGGCTGATCGCTCCTTCACCTCCTTCAAGCCATGGCGATCAGCGCATCGAGTATCTGAGATGTTGTTCGCCGTGAATGTCGACCGTCGGAATGCGTTTCAGATCCGTCAGCGCGAGATAGTAGCATACAGAGTTTTGCATTTGACAACCTTCGCAGTGTCAAAGGATCTGGCTATGCTCATGGTGATATTCAACAAGCCCAAGAAAGCGTCTAGACAGCGTGGTGATACGATGGATCAGATAGATTATAGCAAGATCAACTGTTCAGTGCTTGTCTTTGGCTGACGAAGGTCGAGTCCACCGGAAAACCGCCTGCAATCACATAGGCGCCCGTTGTGTTGCGGCACTTTGCGTTGGGCGTTATCCGGGACCACGTCACGTCAAAATTGTCTATCAACACACATCTTGGCGGAATTTCATGCTCAGTACGTGTTGTCTTCATCACAAGAAAGGTTACGATTTGACCTTTCTGATCGGTCAGATGCACAATCTCAACATGTAGTGGAGCGAATGTGGGTTGAGCTTACCATCAATCTGTTCTTTTTCATTAACGTGATCCCGTTTAGATTGTGTTGTACCTCTGATAAAATATATCTGCCAGCCAACGTGGCACCGAGCATCTACTGGCCAAGAACATCTAGTGTCGTCCATCCATCATCAATCCGATGGCGCGCTCCGCTGTAGTCATTTGCAGTGCATTCAAGCAGCTCACCGCTAGTCTCGTACCAAGATCTGACATATCCGCACCCTACTTTTGCGCTGGCGGGGTGCAAATCCGGCGAGTTTGGGTACGAGACTAGATTTCTCGCGTCTACAATCGATGTTCATTATCTGGGTGTAGCATTGGCTTACATTTCCACCGCCAGAAGTAGAATCGTGCTAAATATATAACAGGCTTGGCCTCGTAGAAACACACAAGAGTATCCACCATTGTTCCCCAAGTCAATGTCGCCCAAGTACATGCGTCCAACGTACCATCTCGCACATACCCCTCTTTTCCAGCCGCATACTAAGGATATTCCCCTGCAACATCGTGCACGCATAAGTTATGAACGTGCCAAACAAGTGGCAAAGGCGTATGGCATGTCCGCGTCAAATTGCGTCTTAGTGCTCTTCGTCGCTGACATACTCCTAGCCTTGACCCCAGCAGATATTCTCACATTGTCTCACAAGTTCTGGCAGCTGCACTCAGACCCAATCTTTGGTGTCGACGGCGCAGCAGCTACCTTGTTGACGCTGCAATACAACTGTTGTGCTGGGACGTTGGCGATGTTTGCTCCAGAACAGCCGGCCATTGACGACATCTTACGTCTTGTCCTTGCTTACGAAGTCATGTCAGTGTCCTGCTCATTCTGGGAGGTCGTTCACATCTTCATCGTTCTTTTAGAGGCATGTTCTGCCTCACAGAAGTCGGCCATGGTCTTGACGTCATACATATGGAGACTACTGCTACACTACTCGAAAATGGAGAATTCGATCTCCACACACCCCTAGAACGAGCAGCGAAGTATATTTGCGATTGTTTAATTGGAGTGCCATTTGATCTAATCTTAGGTACCAGATATATGCCACCAACTGCGCCAGTGGGTATACCATGCATCGCGATCGTCTTTGCCCGGGCTATCATACGCGGAGAGGACTGCGGCATCAAGCCGTTCGTTGTTGACATCAATGATGGATACAGAATGGCGCCCGGCGTCACCTGCAAGTATGTGGTTTGGCGCATTCTTTGGGCGGCGATCTCACCATCACACCAGACTCCTTCCACAGCGCGGAGGAGCTCGTCCATTCAACCATTCTCTGACGTACTTCAACCACGTCCGCCTTCCATACTCGGCACTTCTTGGCACTGCCGATAAGCCAGAGGACGCCCGGATGGCCTTCTTCTATAGCATCTCCAGAGTCGCCGTAGGAACCATCGCGCTCGGTTCGTTCGGTCCTCCCGCCTTGCGCGTGGCGTCTACCATTGCTGCTCGGTATAGCATGCGTCGGACTGTTGTGGACCCGGACGGACGGCGGAAGCCAATCATCGAGTTCAGGACGCAGAAGACGCCGATCATCACTGCCCTCGCACAATCCTTCGTTCTGGATGCTATGCACGCCAGGGCCATCGCACTGTTCCGGGATGTCTCCGCCGACTTCCGGGTGAGGCATGCCATGGCCGCCATTCACAAGGTCACCATGATTCAGCACGCACAGGCTGCGAACCTGATGCTTGGTGACCGGTGCGGTGCACAGGGCCTATTTGAAGTGAACCAGATCACGGCTATTCACGTAAGTCTGAAGTGTGTTGAGTTAAAGATGCTGCTTAGTCAGGGTTTGCAGAGTGACATGCGTGGATCGGCCATCGCAGAAGGAGACCTCCTTGGTATTTCAATACGTACGCTTATTGTTATGTGTAACTGTAGCTTCAATACTAACAGTGATAGCTAGGCTTCGCAACCGAGCTCCTGCTACAGAGGTACAGCATGCCAGCTACAGACGACCCCACAGGCTTCCTTGCAAAACATGAGGAAGGAATATTTACAGAGCTGCGCGCGGCACTAGTGTGCATGAAACATCATCGCAGCGATGACTTCGATCGCATGGTGCTGCCGGAATGCTTCAACCTGATCCAGGCCATCGGTCATCGGATGGCCTACGATGCTGCTGTCGCTGCCAAGCTAGACCGGTGCCTCATTGATATGTATGTTGCCAGCTGTGTCAAGCTAGACTCTGCATGGTACGTGGAGAACCTTGGGTTATCGAGGAAGGACCAGCGAGAGATGGAGAACCGCGCTGTCGATGCCATCTACCCACGTTTGGAGGAATTCCTCGGGCGCATGGATGTTTCTCGTTACATCACTGCACCAATAGTTTCAGAGGAAAGGTGGAATACCTTTGTCGCCAGATTACCGACGTTCAGCAATTCGGGTGAAAATCAATGTGATGCTAGCGAGAGTGGCATAGAAGACGATGCAGGGGGCCCGCTGTACATCAATCTATACGCGCAGGACGCAGAGTTTGGTAGACATGTATTGGGGACCGTACCGAAGTCTAGGCTCTGAATAGCATATTTATTGGAATGGTAGTAATCTTCTTCGACATCAAGCGTTGTAAGGTTCAAGACGCGCAAAATTCCTCAACCCTATACCCATGATGCGCACTCCGTAAGCTTGCGCAGAATGAAACTTGGACCACGAAGCAATAAAATAACGGCACACCATGCTCCGCATCCTCCGTCGAGTGACCTGCGAGTTTCTCCTGCGATGGAGGATGTAAGGCCGGTGGGGATTCCCGTGGCCAGTGTCGAACACTTGGTTGACGTAGTACCTTGGGAAGCTCAAAGGCTAGATCTAGATGGAGCATCTGTACCTTGGTTACTGCCTACTGAATGACGCTGATCTGGAGCATACAATCCGAGCCTAGACGAACGGTTGGGGAGCAGGTTCGCACCTGACTCGTTGTGATAAATGGAGCTTGATGGGAGATTCCTGCGATTTCAGATACACAGCCACGTGGGACGTCAAATTGAACACAACATATGACTACTACTCGTAAAAATGAATCTGTTACGCCTGCCGTATCCGTAAATCTCCCTTTGGCCCGGCGGCAGAAGCGTCGTACCTGATGTTGACCCTGACGGCGGCGGTGTGGACCTGAGATTCTGCGATCTGTCACAAATATGCGCCGCCCCCGAATTGGCCGAACAGTGGATTATCGTGCAATCACAGTGGATGACTTCTATTTCCATCTGTTTGCCTTTGACAGCTATTTTCATATCATATCGGACTTTTGGTGGGGTGAGTGGGCGCTGAAACCAACGGCTTTATTTGGTAAACCATGGCAGTAGCGATATTTTGCCGGACGGTCCAGCCACATCGGGACCATGCTCCCCACCGTTGATTCCAAATTCCACGTCAACCCCGCTTGCGCACAAATTTGTTTTGTGTAGGTCCATAGCAGGGGTGAGGCCGCTCATCAGATGATCATTGATTTGGAAAGACACCTGCGCTTCTGTGTAAAGCACAAGAATGATCTGACAATCTTGTTGTCACCAGCTTCCAGCTTCCGTAGACAGTGGCTCAGTACCGCCTTCATTTTCACCCATCCGCCGGTCGGCAGGGTCTGGTCATCAATTAATGATATGTACCTTCACACAAAGCGTGTGTTGACACCAATGCCCATTTGCTCCAGACTTCAATGGGAAACTCCCGGCCGTGGTTGTTCTGATGACAAGATTTAAGCAGGCCGGGATGGCATAGACTCAACACTGACTCGCCAGCATGTTTTGCACACAGAGTTCTTCCGTGGTTTTGCTGCTGGCACTGTTGATTTCTTGGGGTGTTTACCATGGATTCAAACACCGTTCGGCACCCCTTCCCCCAGGTACTTTCTCGTCGATGTCAGGTATACCGTATACACTGCTGACATGTGCTCGGACTAGGTCCAAGGCCACTGCCATTCGTCGGCAATGCACTCCAGATGCCAAGGCATAACATCGCACAATCTCTGGCCTCGCTCTCCGAGGAATATGGTTGGCATCTCCATCTTTCATCGTTTCTGGTTTGTGGATGCATCAACTTATTGCGTCGACAGGTGACGTGATCTATATGCACGTCTTCGGGATCAAATTCATCATCCTCAACTGTGCGGAGGCGGTTCTCGAGCTCCTGGATCACCGTGGGGCTCTCTACAGCGAGAGACCACACTCGGTCATGGCGATGGACATGATTGAGAAGAAGCACGCGGTGCTGTTTCACCAGTATGACGAGAACCTCAAGAAGCACAGGCGGCTTCTTCGCAACGCCGTTGATGCCAAACGCTCGGAGGACTATTGGCAGATGCAGTACGCAGAGTCACACAAGCTCATGGCGGCATTCCTGACCTCCCCGGACGATTTCATCGCCCATCTGCGGAGGTGAGCCGTGCACTACATAGCGTGGAAAACGCATTTGACGGTAAGATCTGCTAGGTCTGCGGGTGCGTTCACGCTGCGGCTGGCGTACGGCTACGAGGTTCAAGGTGGTCCTGGCGAGGATGCGTTTGTGAACCTGGCAGAGGAACTTGCTCGCGTGACCGGCGTGGCCTCCGAACCTGGTCGTTGGCTGGTGGATGCATTCCCATGGCGTACGTTTGGGGCCAATGTGGAGGTTTGATATCGTGTGCTGATCGGCGAACGACTAGTGCGCCACGTTCCTGCGTGGTTTCCCGGTGCAGGCTTCCGCCGGTGGGCCGACCATGCTCGGAGGATTATTGATGACTTCGCGACCCAGCCGTATCTATCTTCGAAGGAGGCTGCTGTGAGCCCAGTCACCACAGGTGCATTTCGACAGTTCCTGATATCAGATCAAGCTGCAGGGTATCAGTTCGTTTGCCTCGGAGACGACGGAGTTTGTGGAAGCCGAGACCGGGCGTCCGTTAACTCGGGACGAAGACGAGTTCTTGAAGTGGACATCGGCAAGCATTTATTCAGGTGACGTACCCTCGTTGACTACCAGAGGCATACACTTCACTGACATACATAGTAGGTGGTACGGATACGGTAGTATTATTAATTTGTTCATGCTGCGAGCTGTATTGACACACGCAAATATAGGCTGTTGCTGTGAACAGCGCCTTCCTTCTTCTCATGGCGCTCTATCCTGCCGCCCAACGCAAGGCACAGGACGAGATTGAGACCATTGTCGGGAAGGACCGCCTTGCTGTCATGGAAGACAGGCCGCGGCTTCCGTACATCGAGGCTCTCATGAAAGAAGTACATCGGTTCATCCCGATCACACCGCTTGTGCCGCACAGCACGCGGGTCGACGACGAGTATCGTGGGTACCGTATTCCAAAAGGCAGCTGGGTGATCGCGAACACATGGTGTGTGCTATATCATTCAAGGTGTGGGTACACTGTGGACCACTCATGGGCGAATGCAGGGCGGTTATGCGTGACCCGAGGCTGTTTCCAGAGCCTGAGGTGTTCTGGCCGGAGCGGTACCTCGCCGAGGGAAACAGATGCACGGAGGACCCTCGGGACTACGCATTTGGATACGGCCGGAGGTACGCTCGCCCAACTTTCTGTGTTGGTTCCGACTTGTTGACTGACAGGGATGCGAGCGAAGGCGGTGCCCTGGCGTGCACGTTGCTGAGTCTTCTTTCTTCATATTCGTCACACACTTCCTGGCCGTCTTCACCGTCTCTAATCCGGTGGACGAACGCGGCCAGAAGCTGACAAGCCCCGGCCCCAGTACGGATGCACACATTTCGTATGTAGACATCCTTAATCGTCGAGTTGTTCCACTTGAACCTCACGTTGTGTTATGACAAGACATCCGAGACCGTTCCGCTGCACCATCAAACCGCGCAATCAGGCACTCACAGAACTCATCGTCCAGCTGAAATCCTTTTCATGACATCCTCATCAAGATTCAGAAGTGATGTTAACTGTGATGGCATGCCCCACGCTGCATGATCTCCGATGCAGCTGTCATGCAATGTATTCTTGTGTCTATGTCAAAATATCAGGGTTGTTGAACCAGGAGATTGGATGAGGATGACGGCAAGCTATCACATTATCAGAGAAACACGGGCAAGTGCTTTGATACATCTAAGAGCTGGAGAGCCTCCCCTCGGCACATGTAGTACTCCCAGCTCGCCATCGTCAGCGCATCGTGTTGTGAATGTACCTGCACGAGACATTACTGCGGAACGTCAACAGACACCGTGGGAAGGTGACAAGGATGCCGAAGATCACGATCAACAACTCAACGCCGTACGGCTGTCCGATGCCGTTGACGTTGAGCGCTCGGGAGCTCAACCTTTGACATACGTGTGACTGGAAGCAGGCCGGAGATGTCACGCCAAGGTAGGCGAATTGTCCCCTTCAGTGACTGTGACAAATAGTGGCGGCACCTGTCATCCACTTCCCCTGGTCATCAGCATCAGCGGCCGTGGCCACCGTTCTCGTCCAGCACGATGATGGTTCACCACATAATGGCTGGGCAATATTGTGATACATCATAACAAGAAGACTGTGCAAGGCCTGGAAGGCCATCTGTGGTTTTGACCGCGTCGTATGTTATAAAAACCCAAAACGCTTGAGCTTCTGCTTCTGACGCAGTTGATAACATGATTTATATCATGTCAAAGACCTCTCAGTACAAGACTTGCGGAGTTTTCTCGGGATAGTAGATTGTTCAACGATGTCTGCGCCAAAGCGTCTCCGAACGTACAGGCCTTGGACCTCCGGCTGTGCTTCCGATACAACAATTTGGCTCATGGGCATGCGATACGCAAGGTCGCGTCGTCGGTAGATGCTATCATCAGCGAACGCGGCGTCGAGAGCAGGCATCTTTACAGCAGTGACGTTCTGACACATTGCAATTCATGGCGAAATCCAACAATATCACAGCATGTGTCCACGTAGTGACATCCTAGCGTCCATCGAGCACTCTGACGCCTGAGACTTGAAGAGTCGCGCTTGCGCTCACAGCGCGTCAGGCTCCCGCCTGCGTCGCTGCACCAGGGGTAGCCACCGCCTCGCCCCCGCCCTCCGCGGGCTGGCTTATGTTTGTCAGACCCCACTGCTCGTCCAAGGCGCGCCGCATCGGGACCTCCTGCATGAGGAAGCACGTCAGCAGCCCCGCGCCCGACATGCCGATCATGACGCGCCAGATGCGCGCGGTGCTCTCCGCAAACGCCGCGCGCACCTCGCCGCGCAGGGGCTCCTCGAGGCCCGCGACCGCCGGGATGAGCGCGTACGCGAGCTGCGCGCCCGCCGGCACGTCCGCGAGCAGCGCCGCGGGCAGGCGCGCGCGCAGCGTGTCCTGCAGGACCGTGCCGCCGACGACGGTGCCCCAGCCCCACGCAAACGCGCGCACGAACGTGAAGAACGCGAGCGCGCGCGCGTTGTTCGAGAACGGGAGCGGCGCGAGGATCGGGAACTGCGTGCCGATCCAGATCATGCCCAGCCCGACGCCGACGACGACCTGGAAGGCGACGTACTGCGCGCGCGAGCTGTCCGCGCGCAGCGTCGAGAGCAGCGCGAAGCCGACGATGGTGATCACCCAGCCGGTGTAGTTCTGCGGGCGGTAGCGCCGGAAGACCTCTGCGGACACGCCCATCATGATGGCGAATGGCGCGATGGTGAAGGCGATGCCGAAGAGGTCGACGCCGGAGCCTATGGGCGAGGCACCCTTGCACGCTTGGAAATAGACGGGGAGGTAATCTGCACGATGTTCAGCAGCTGTAGAGATCCCGGCAGTGAAGGAACCTACAGATGGCTGCTATCGACACGATACCGTGGAAGAATGTGCCTAGATACCTTGTTGGCAAGCTTCAGCCTGTATGTGGTAGGGCGCGTATGAGGCAGCACTTACCCGCTGAGGGTTGTCCTGTTCGTGATTATGAAACGCGGCACCGTGGGATTCTTGATCCAGAAGGACTCCACTATGAAGAAGAGCACAAGACCGACGGCGCCAAAGCACAGTGGCGCAAGCACACGAGCAGATGTCCATGGATACTGGACCCCCGCCTGTGTAAGTGCGATCATGACCATTAGAGTGCTCGCAATAATGATAAAGATCCCGCTGCGCGGGTCAACAACGCGTGTACGGGTGGACAGGACGGGCACTCACATCCAGTCCATGCTCGCTATCTTGGCCCGGAAGCTGTCCCGTGGCGTGCGCACGTTGAGGAAGCTCACGACGAGCACCAGCGAGACGCCGCAAATGGGCAGATTGAGGAAGAAGAGCCAGCGCCAAATGCCAGAACCCGCGAAGGCTCCGCCGATGGGCGGACCAACGGCACTGCGGGCAGCGATCAGCGGGCGGAGCGTCGTGACCATGAGGCGACGGACTGTACCTTGCTAGTGCCCAGACACTGCGCGGCGCATCAATGAAGACATGGAGTCGAGCGAATGTATAATGCGTGGACTTACGATGCGGTGATGCCGTAGAACTTGCCTCGCTCCGGTAGGGGAATGAGGTCTGCGTATATGATCTCTGTGACGGCAATACAACCACCGCCACCAAGACCCTGGACAGCTGAATAGCCACAAGGTGAGCTGACCAAAAAGAAGAGGACGCTTACAGGAGGACGTACCTCTTCCCGCAATAAACATAGTCATGTTCTGAGCTGCGCCGCATAGTGCCGAGCCAATGGCGAAGAAGATAATGAATGCGACAATGGCCGGCTTGCGTCCAAAGACGGAGACGAAGCCACCTACGATGGGCAGGATCGCGGTAGAAGCGATGGCATAGGCGCTGCTGGCCCAGATGAAGTCCGAGCCATGAAGGTGGTCGACGATGGTGGGCAGTGCGGTGGATACAGCAGTCTCAAGGAGAACGGAATATAGGCATGGACTATGGGCATGGGCATGAGACGGACTCACCAGATCGAGGGCTGAGGGCATGTCCACTAGCAGATTGCCCACGAAGACCATCCAGAAGCCAAGATTACGCCTCGCAGCAGCTGGTTGTTCTACGGCTTCGAGTGCGAGAGGGTCCTTGTCATCCTGCAAGGAAGGGGTTGCCGGCATCCTGCGCGACCTGCCAGATGAGTATGCGCGCGGCGCAGACCAGCGGGAGCACCTTACATCGACTGCTCCATAGGAGCGGCGAGGGGTGGGCGAGACTAGAGTAGTATAGTGACAAAGTGGCGGTGGAAGGGAACAGCGTGAAGGTGCATGGCGGTATATGTGGGCGACGTGAGCATGATGCTGTCGGGCCAATGCGCTTCTTCTCGGTGAAGACGCCTCGTACACAACTGGGTGTTGGCTTCCCTAACGCAGGCCCTCGCGGCTATCGTCCGAGACAGCCTCGCGTATATCCGGCGACGCTGTGCTGGATCTCGTAGAACCAGACGGCCATCATGAACATATGCCGGAGTACACGGACCCAGGACGAAGGTTTACGACAGCGCCCAGAGTGTAGCCGTTGCCAGCTACTGATTACCGAGAACTCACGAACGATCTCGGGACGGCAATGAATCACAGTAAGTATGTACCTCGGAGGTAAGCAGAGTGATCGTGGTCGAGCCAACGAGAAATGAGCGGGGCTCAAAACTAACGTCTGCAGAAACGCAGTTGTATCAATGTTATAATCCGATATGGTGTAGTGGCTAACATTATCGCCTCTCACGCGATAGCCCGGGGTTCGATTCCCCGTGTCGGAATCTTCACTGGTGCGAGACGCTTTTGGACATATTAGCTTTAATAGAAAATGTAGCCTTTGCATGGTGGTCTGGCCCAATTCGTGCGCGCGTTCCGGGGTGCAAGCGTTGATAATCTTGGTACAAATATTCAATCAGTATTGAATCGAAAGCAAACAGTATCTACTGGAGAGAGAATCACTGTATGTAGTGATCAATCTCAAGCTTATCCTTAGGTGCAATACACCTAAATTTGACATTTAGAACAAGAAGATCGATTCTTGCATGTAGTAAATTCAGTTGGGTCGAATGTATAGCACAGGCGATAGTTGATTGAACAGACACAAGCTACATTCGAACAATACAGGGATTTGACTACGCTATAACACACAACAGCTCAGTCCTTCTCGATTAGAATGATACAGTACCGGGATCTATTACTATGCTTGTATGGAGCGCGAATATGAGGGAGAGAAACGCACACGAGTTTGGTAATAATCCCCAGAGGTACAAAGAGAAGCAGACACGTCAGAGGAGACAGAAATGGAATTCATCGGAGCGCAAGCAAAGCCTTTTTGGAACATAAGTAATTACAGACGAAAATCAGGAGACATCGAGAGCACGACAAGGATCATCGTTGCCCGCCGTTCGGTGGCACGTATCCCGGGGCATAGACGGCTTGATAGCGCTGTATCCCGTTGTGCGGTGGGCCGGCGGGCGTAAAGCTCACCATCGACATATTGGTCCCCTCGGGCAAACGTGGATACGCAGCCACAATTCGTTGCTGCTGCTCCTGTTGTCCTTGTTGCAGCTGTGGCTGTGGCTGCGGGGGAAAGCTGGATCCAGGTGGACCGATCATGCCAGGAATCGGCTGTCCAACAGGATACGGGACGATTCCGGTAAAATAGGGGTGCTGAAGCGCGTCAGCGGCGGTGATGCGTTTGGAGGGATCGAACTGGAGGAGGCGTTCCAGAAGATCCCATGCTTTGAACAATGTCATTAGTCGATACCTAGGACAGCGAAGTACGCGAAACGTACCATGAGGCGAGGCCTTGGGAAGGACTTGCGAAAATGGGATCTTCGGGTAGCGCGGGTATTGCTTCAGCTGGGCATTCTCTGTTTGCTGTAGCGAAAGTCGGTCAGTAGCATATCGCAATAGGTGCAAGGCGCGTACCCCTTCCGTTGCGATCTTGCGCAGGAGGCGCTCATCGGGCGTGCCGAGAATGCGCATGATGTGCAATAGCTGATCCTGGTTGTCCCTGCCGCGGAAAAGAGGTACTCCGGAGATCATCTCCGCGAAGATGCAGCCGCATGACCAAACGTCAATGGATGTGCTATACATCCGCGAGCCCAACAAGACATCGGGCGCGCGGTACCATAATGTCACCACCTGCGATGGGAGGTCAAGAAAGTAGACCGGGTAGATGGCGCGATGTGCTCACTTCATTCGAGAATGTGTGCACTGGCACTCCGAATGCCCGTGCCAAGCCAAAGTCACCCAGCTTCAACTCGCCCTTCGCGTTGATCAGCAGGTTCTGGGGCTTGAGATCCCGGTGGAGGACTCTGTTCTCGTGGCAGTGCGCGGTGCCTCGGAGCAGCTGATACATGAAGCTGCGCACTATGTGAGGTTCGAGCGCGCCGCGCTCCCCCTGGGCCTCCATGTACTTTTTGAGGTCACGATCGCAGTACTCGAAGACAAGGACGAGTTTGGTCTCAGTGTGTATGACATCGTATAGCCGCAGGATGTTGGTGTGTCGGAGCTCTTTCATGAGCGATATCTCTCGGATCGCAGTGGACGGGGTGCCCTCTTCCGCATCGAGGTTAATCTCCTTCAGTGCAACGATCTCATTTGTGGTCCTGGATCTTCCCTATAGGAGGGTCAGCGATGACCATGAGGGCGCTCTCAGATTGCCACATACCTTGTAAACCGTGGCATACGTACCTTCGCCTGTGTGTATGTGAGCGTGATGTCCCCAGTCTAAGAACTGGAATCAAGTTACCGAGTTTCTCTAGCTGCAGAGCCGTTAGCATGAGGAGCCACTGTAATGTAGCAAGCACTCACCTGAACATAATTCATACTCACGAACTTGATAGATGGAATGTGTCAGTGTCCTGATGTTGAGCCTAGAATGGTCCGACGACAGCTCGCGTTGACTTGAGACGAAGGGTGGAGAGGGCAGCGGTTGCAGGAACAAGGATCTCTTTATGCGAAACTGAACAAAGAGTTCTTGGACGACCTCCTGCTGATTCTCTATTGTTGTACGCAGGTGAGGTTGATACGGAACTCGGAATCGATTGTCGGGACCAGAAAAATATCGCCACAGCCATAAAGCACCAAAGTAGGCTGTTATTTCCAGGGCCCGCCCATTACCGCCCGAAGTCCGCTCAGTGCTCACACACTGATCGACTTTAGCAGGTCGCGATATGACAAAATGCACGCGAGCGTCTGAAGGTATTATGTAAGCAGATATCATGTCCTTGTCCAATGCGCTGGAGAGTGGCTCGCTCGAATTGCAAGAGTATTACGAGAATTTATCTGCGCATAACGACTGCTATTTATACGTCACTGTAAAGCTGTAAATTCCACAGGAGTCCAGCAGCTTGATCCCTAAGGGCTATCTCCTGGTTATATGGCATCATTGCGATACCTCGTATATCGACGAGTCATGCTGTATACGCGATCGCTCCTCGTGAACAGTGCGTCCGACTCCGTCTTATCAGTGTCTTTTAGCGTCTTAGATGGATGTACGTTCTCACACCCACTGCGCACTGTGCGATCGACCGCCGAAATAGACCTCACTCTTATAAGATCACAGCGTACCGGGGACATCTTGGCTGGACAGCCATGATTTCCAATAAATTGGGAACATCTGCGGATACTGCAGCCTCCATAGGTTCTTTGTGTAGCGCTCGAGCAGTGGGCATAGTTACCCTCCTTCCCCATTCCAGTGCATATAATCCTCATGCTCACCTTACTCCGCTGGCGGATGACAGCGGGTGCCACTCCTACCCTCGCAATGTCTTTACTCCAGGTCGACAATACGGGAGCCCGTCGCAAAGGCGTTTGCCCGCGGTGAGTCGACACCTCCACATCTCCTGAAGGAGCGGCGCCACAATGCCAGCGTGAGCGACTGCTGGGAGCCGCGCAAGAATGATGCTGCGACCATAGGCACGATCTTGATGCGGGTGTCTTCATTTGTGTAGAATATGTAAGGTAGGCGGGTATACCGGCAAATGCGCTTGTATATACGTCGGCCTAACATGTCTCTCCAGCATACGCATCTCTAGCGTTGATTACAGTACATATCTGAAATCACGGTTCTGTATGTCGGTCATGTCCAGAAATTCCTGCAAACATGGCGGATCAGTGCGACCGCTACTTCAAGGAGAATGACGCTATGTGCCCTTGTTGGTCCGGCTCGCTGGACGTACCTTGTCTATTTTCCGCTTGACGGGCGACCCGTCTGTTCCTGCCACTTTAACGTACACACTGTCGTATGTTTCGTCCGGCAGCTCTCTGTCCCTCTGTGCGTTCTCAGCGGCGAGCCGGCGTCGGATTGCGAGCATGAGGATCGGGCAGGTAAGATAGCAAAGCCCAATGATCGTCCAGGGGACGCGGTTCCTAGCGGCAGACCTTAAAAATGCCTATGGGAGGAGAGCGGACACCTCGCTTACCGTGGGCGGAAGCGCTCTTGCCACATAAAGGGGCCGGCTGCGTTTCCGATGCAGTATGCAATGAGCATGATCGCGTTGACGGTTACACGCTTGGTGTGCCCTGCGGTGACGTTCGACAGCCACGACAACGAGAGGACAAATCCAGTGGTGCCCACGCCTGAAGTATCAGGTCGTCACAGTCACACCGATGGTCCGAGCACGCTCGTAAAACACACGCACCAGTGAGCCAATTCGCACAGAGAAGCCCTATTCTGTTGCTCCACGGCAATACGTTGAGTAGGAGCACACCGATCAGGTTCGGAATGAAGTACAGAGCGCCGACGTACGCGCGCGCGTCGCGCAGGCGCGTGGCGAGGTGCACTCCCGTAAAGATCGTGACAATTTCGATGATACCGTCGACACAGCCGAGGAGCGTCGTCTGGAGGTAGGTGAAGCCAAATGACGCGACGATAATCTGGTTCTGGTTCGTCAGGCTATTGGGCACGTTGTTGAGCGCAGAGAAGAGGGCAAAGAGCCAAGTCTTAGGATCGCGCAGGGCTTCATTGAACCTGTGCAATAGGTAAGGGTGGCGAGTTACATACACTAGAGCGACCTACTGCTCGATCTTGAAGTGCTTGTTTTCCACGCCTGTTTGATTCTCCTGGAGACCGAATAAGACATGTAATGATAGGTGAGCAGTTGAACGCACCTTCAAGCGTCTGACAGCAATTGTACGTTCTTCTCTGGTCAAGAACCACGCATTTGTGGGCGAGTCAGGGAAGAGAAGCCTGAAGTATATCAGCACCGGTCTCGATTGCGCAAGCACAACACGGACCAAAATGCGACCGCAGTTATCAGCGTCAAAACACCTGTAATACTCATCAACCTACAATGAGGTAGCTTAACAATGTGTGAAGAACATTATTCTTTACACACCATTGCCAGGGCTCAAAGCCCTCGGTCTTGATGTGTAGGGTCCCAAAGCTGATGAACCCAGATATTATCTGTGCTGCGACTTCCTGTCACGCAATCGTACACGATTAATAGAAGTTCTCATCTACCTGTCCCGTTCATCAGGACTACGAGATGTTCAGTATCGGCTTCCGAGTGGCAGGCTTAAGCAGAGACTACGACTCACACCAGTAGCCCACACGCAGCGTCTGCTCATTACGCGTGTAAAACATTGAACTGACGATCATGAAGCCTGCGGTTATGGAGCCTTCGCATGCGCCAAGGATGGAGCGCACGAGGAACAGACCGGTAAAATTGTTGCAGGCTGCGTGTGCACACAGCGCAATCCCCCAAATGAAGATGTTGATACTGTATCACAGAAGGACGTGACACGGGTTCCGTATGAGCAATACGGTATATGACACGAAGGTCACCATACCTCATCCACCTGCCGACGGGGAACCGTTGGAGTGCAAGGTTCTGAGGATACTCGAAGAGAAGATAGCTCAAATAGAAGATTGTACCAAGCCTGAACATGTTGCATTTATTCATCCGTACTCACTGGCTGATAACTCAGCCGGCCTACCAGTTGTATCTGTATACATAATTAATGACCTCTACTCCATCAGTCACTCTGTCGGAAACGTACTCGTTTGTCGTAAGGTGGGTTGCTTCTCTTATTGACATCGATTGACACTACGGCTCGTGAGAGAGTACCAAGTTGGACATACCTGATACCGAGGATGGCTGCGCTACCCAACGTTGTCTTGTCCATGAATTGTATCCAATATAGAGCTGACACAGCAATGAGCATCAGAGGTGGACATCAGTGCCAACTCTCAGAAGCGTGTGGCAGATGCTACGGCACATATGGGTAACACGAGAAGTCGATCGTTCTATATTCCAACCAGGAACTACCCGAAATGCGAGGGCCACAAGTGAGGTATACTCACTACACATCAAGGGCAAGATGTGCCAATCTATTTTGTTTCGCACCCTGGCCACTTTTACCGGGTCTATCTCAACGGTACCTTCTGCCATAAGTTGTGCAGCAGTGTCAATTTCCGACGTGGACACGGCGACATAGCTATCCTTGATGTTATCATCTTCTTGGAGGTCCCAATTGGAATTCAGCTCGTCCATGGCGACGAGCGGTTCATATGCTGCGTTGCTGCGATTTCGGTCCGAGAACCTGAGTAAACCTGCCATCTTCAGCAATACCGCGCACGTAATATCTGGCAAGACAGAAGAGAGAAACACGAGGTGTGGATGTGCCTAGAAGAAGGTTTAAGGCGAAAGCAACGTGTGAATGCTGTTGCTACCCGCTCAGCAGCAGTACGAACACGTTCGGGGCGTGCTCACCTACAGTCCCGGAGGCCGTCTGCGTTGCCTGTCGGTCACTCGCGCGCCGCGTCCTCGTCCTCGTCCTCGTGCTCGCCGATAGAAAATAGTCCCGCCACCAGCGCCGGGCGGCCACCAGCGTCTGCTGCCCATAGCACGTGGTACATATCGGAAACCGGCGCTTGATGGCAGCTTAGTGGCGTTCGGTGGCGGTTGGTGGCCGTCCACGCTGACTGTTGGCTGTTAGCCGCATTCAGTAGCAAATGCTGGACGCCACAGACTGTCGTTTTGATTCAATTGTCAGAGTTGGCTACTAACGAGTGCTGCTGTCGCCCGGTGACTGTACATAGAAGCCTAAATTTTAATTCCGATCCCTGAGTCCACGAGGAGGCTAACCCAGCGTCGATACCGCGCGATTATTGATTTCACAAGCGCAAAACCCCCTCTACGACACAGGCCGTGGTCAAAACTTTCATGACCATGGTTGGAATCCTACTTCAATTAGCATCGATTCCAATAATAGACACGCCAACCAAATCGGGAGTATCTATTACTAGGTACGTTCAAAATTGCCGCTTAAATCTCGCTGGAAAACAAGCGACTTTTCGCTGCTTTTGAGCGCCCAAATGTGGCTGAAGGTCGCTGAAAGGTCGCTGAAAGCATCACAGATGACTAAGCGTGATGCAGCCGTGATTTGATCACGTTTTCGGTTTGCCAAGGGCTGACCAGCCAATCAGGATGATGAATCATGCAAGCGTGACATAGCCGTAAGCCAAAATCTGCGAGCGCTTGCGCCGAGCAGTCGCTTATTTGTCGCTGTTCGAGGAGGGAAGCTCAGATTCTGCTCGCTGCTTTTGGACGCTTAAATGCCGCTTGTTTTCCAGCGAGATTTAAGCGGCAATTTTGAACGTACCTACTCACATAAGCAGCGCCTAGTCGTCTTTCATGAACATGTCATAGTAAGTACTCTTCCTCCTTTCCTTTGTCCCACCGCGTTCGGCGAGAAATAGCCGCAGGACGTAGTAAACTCGCACTGAACGGATATGCGAAAAGCGCCAGTCCTGTCTTGGCCATACGATGCGAGCTCAGCTGCGCGTCTTTCCATGGGTCCGAGAAGGTCCGCGATGTCAATCGTCAGCATAGTCGGCTCCGAGACTGCAGCTCGCCGGATAACGGAGTCCCCCTCTCAAGTCTTATAAGTCTTGTGCACTCCTCGCAATTCGGTCTTACGTATTCGCCAGTAGACACAGCAATGCCTCTCCCTTCCAATAGCCCTGAATACCCCGGCTCTGTCAGACTCAATACTCATGTCTTCTTGCTCAATCCAACTGACACAGGAAGACCGAATCCTTTACATCCCTCGTGAGTGCGAGCCGTTCTACCATGGTCCACTGCACCTTGAGAAGCACTTATTGCAGACTCGTGCTATTGTTCGGATGGTGTAAGGTCCAATCTGTGTAATCGGCAATAGCGTACTGATCAGCTGAAGTTAACGCCCAGCCCCCGCATTTATACAAATACATTGAGCCATTACAGAAGATGTTTTCTACGTCTACGATCGTTGTTGTACAATCAGATACTTCTATGCTTCTGAGGTCTCAATCATCCCTGGTATGACTTCGCACACAGCGCTTCCGAGTCTTTGCGTACGCTGATCATGCCCTAGGAAGCCCGTCTTGCTCCCATTGTGCAACTCCTGCAGCGTGAAACGTCAGGATCATCTTCCCACAGGGGAGTTCTGGTGCATGCACTCTCGAACGGTATGTCTCTTCGCTCATCTCATTTGTTCGAGGTTCCGACGTTCTGCGCAGCTGGCGGCCTCCACATCGTGAAGCTGCGCAGGGTGCTCTCCAGATTGCACGAGTCGATGCCAGCCACCACCTCAGGTCCGCGCATCCCGACAGCCCTCGTCCTGGACTCCGCCCCGTCCGCAAACCTCCTCTCCTTGGCCATCAACATCTTTGCGCCGGACAACCCCGTCATGCACATGCTATCGCTGCCCCCGCTCCTCGTGCTCTACGTGATCTTCTCCACCACCGTCCGCCTCTCCGGGTACCCGCCCCTCCTCCGCGAGCTGCGCGAGACGCTGAACACACCGGGCCTGCTGCCCACGGTCACGCCGGACACCGACCCCGCCGCGACGCCGCGGCTGTACATCTATTCGGACGGGGACCGCGTCACACCCGCGCACGAAGTGGAGGCGCACATAGGCGAGGCGCGTGCGCGGGGCTTCGAGGTGCGTGTGGAACGATTCGACCGCACGTCGCACGTCGCGCACATGCGCGAGGACCCGGCGCGGTACTGGCGAGCGGTCAACAGGCTCTGGGCGCGGGCATCATCGACGGTCCCGGGGTCGCCCGCTTTGGCATCCCTGTAGCTGGTGGTTGCGCTTCTCGAGTCGCGGTATATACCAGTGTTGTGCGAGTCGTCGAATGATCGTGCGACTGTCGTTTAGTCGCATGATGTCAGTCGAAACGACTACAAACGACGACGACTGTTCCCACGGCGGCGACTATTCCCACGACCATTCAGTCACACCTGACATTAGAGGTGATGCGGGAATGGAGGGAGATTTGGCCACAAAATAATGTACACAACAGGATGTGATGTTAGCAAGATATGTAAATGAAAATACATGTATATCCTATTGGCAGAGACTCAGCACTCAGTCAATACTATCTTCTGCATTGAAGATGAGAAGTCGAGAAGCTCATACAACTCAACTTTATCCTGCAAATATGTCCAACCCTCTTTTCCATCCTTGCGGCATCTTGCAGTCGAATAGATCTCTCAATGACAGAGAGAGGCAGCCAAGTAAAGTCATTGGGCCCCCTCATCCCTTGATCCGATGCCTCTTTGGGACTCTTCGGGCGCCTGCGTACCAGAATTGTGCACGTGAATATCGGGCCGTGTCTGCGCAAGCCGTGGGAAAAGTCGCCGCGACTTTTCGACTGTCGTACAGTCGTCGATTAATCGCCCCAGTCGTGGGAACGACTGGGACGACTGGCAGACGACTGGCCCAACACTGGTATATACGGTGTCTGTTGACGCTTGATGCTTGAGTTCTGCACCACAGTCTGATTGAGCTGTGACAGTCACATGAATCTGCTCAGGGTCTCACTCATGTCGACAGTTACCTATCTTGTCACATTTTTGGGACCAAAATGGTATTCCGACACGGGGAATCGAACCCCGGGCTATCGCGTGAGAGGCGATAATGTTAGCCACTACACCATATCGGATATACAATTGTATTTCTGACAAGTATTGGGAGGCTTGCACAACGGGAAATGCATATTGTTACATAGATCGGTTACTAGGTTGAGGCAGGATACCGACCAGTCTGAGACGTTGCGAAGAAGGGCCAATTGCTTCTGGCCAGAAGTCACGGAACTCATTCACGAGGTCCGGAGCGTCCTTTAACAGCGTCTGCACCTGGGCGTACACTTGTGACTGACAACCAAGACCAGTCAGTTTGATCAATTGCGAGAATGACCAACAGTGACGTACGTCCTGCGGCCGCTCCTGGTAAGCATGCACAACCTCAAGGAACTGTTCGTAGGTTTCAGGGTCTTCTTCGAATCGCATCTTAATCTTATTCAGGAACTGGATAGCGTGGTTGAGCTCGCCAATTGCTGCCATTCCCTCGTTCGTCCCGTTGCCTAGGTTGCCTAGAAATGAAGCGGCGGAGACTGCCTGGGGGCCTGCTGCCGGAGGCGCGAACATTATAGAGGGCGAGAATGGATAATCAGGCGGGAAAGCGGTTGTGTACTGTACGTCGACGCTGGTGGGCGTCGTAACAGTGACCATGCCCGGGTTCTGCGGATCAGTCGACACGTCGATGCGGTAGCCGGGTGGCAGGAACGTGTTGAAATCTTGTATAAGGTAGGGGCTGCTGTGGAACAACATGGAGACGCGGGCAATAACGCCCGGTGTGTCAATCCTGTTGAGGAGTCAGAACGTGCACCAACATCGGTCCCCGGGCACATAGAATGACACCATGGACCCAGACACACACCCACTCATCGAGATACGGACAGACAATCACGTCGTAACGCAGGAAGGACGACGTGCGCACTGATGTGTCCTTTCTGGAAAACTGTACGCCCGAGTGGTGGGACAAAGGACATCACAAACGCTACTCACACTTGATACATGAAGTCCTTCATAATGTCCAAAAAGTGGCTGTACACTTCTGGCCTGTCCTGGAACTGGGCCTTGATCGCGTCTAGGTAGTCCACAGCGTCTGCCACATTCAGGAGCCGCGTCGAGGTTGAGGATGGGGTCCCAGGCGGCCCCGGTGATTGGGCGCCGTCTGCGTCTATGGTATGCGGCGACATCGGTCGTGGTGAGCGCACACTCGCTGTGGGCAATGGCGCGCGTGAAGACGGTCCGGCGCGTGGTATGCTCTCGCCAGGCAGCGCGGTCGATGGCGGGTGGGGAGAAAGCCTCGGGGAAAAGGAGGCCGTCGACGGTCTGTGGCGCTCGTCAGGTGTCGCTGGCGGTGGGCTGCCGGCGAGCGATGCGCCGAGACAACGATGGGTGTTATTGGAAGGCCGTGTGGTGGTTCGCATGCGTTGACCTCCGTGCGCGCAGAGTGGTCTTGGGGGTGAAGATGAGAGCAAGCGACGGACCAGTGCCACTAGCTTGCCCGCGTCAACCTTGACCGGTCACCGGTCACCGGTCGCTCTCAGCGAGTCTTTGTCCTTTGTCTCCCCTAGGCAGCCTACAATAGAACGACCTTCTTGATGGTCAGATCAGAGGATGGTCACTCAGCGAGTCTAGATCTACATGTCGGCGGAGTCGGCTGTTCATATTCGTGTTGTACATGGATATCCGGAGCCGGCGTAGGTTGAAGGAAGTGTATTTCGTTCTGCTCACAGGAGAGTCTGAGACTTATTCATCAGAGATCCCGACATTGTGGACCAGCGCTTCACCGGCGATACTGGTTGTGAACAGGCCCACCAAGTGCGCGGCTGCCTCTTATGGGTTAGCCCGGCGCCAGCGGCACAAGCCCGGCTGGATCGCGCGGCCAGATCTGGGAGGCTATGAGAGCTTGGGAGAATCTGTCTGCTCATATTTGCGACCGTACATCCTGGACCTTAGATATGGATATGGTTGTGCAGCCTCAATGGGGGCGTTTCCCAAGTTCTCTCTCAGTGAATATCGCACAGTTGACTTGAACTTGCACCCCACGTCATGCTGCTTGCCTGGAACAGCACCGGCTATCCTGGCGCGACCAAGCTCAGCTCCCATGTTTTCGTGCTTGAGCCAGCGGATGCCGGGGGGCCCGATCCCCTGCATCTCTCGTGGGTCGAAGGCACGCTGGGTCTACGGTGCTCACGCTGACGGACGCCAGACTCGTTCTGTTTTTCGCACGGTGTGCGTCTGCAGTCTGCAGTCTGCCCCCATGTGTCCAAATCGCTCTGCCGTTCTCCGTCTCTGATGGATACATACGTGCAGTGTATGCGCAGCCCAGGTACCTGCAGAAGTACGTCGCGCCCCTGCAAGCATGTGCGCGTCCGCGTCCGCGTTGGCGGAGAGCGCAGGGCGTGGACTTGCTCGCGTCCGGGTGATGCGTGTATGCCCGTATTGGCAGTGTTGACGTTGATCGCTCGATAGACGTGACTGCTATGCGGCGGCCGGGTAGGCCAACGTGTGTCGACGGCAAGTCTGGGTGCTGAATGGAAGCATGACGCCCTGCGCCAGCCCCGAGGCGGGCGACATTGGCGCGCGGAAGCGATCAAGATCGACGTAGCGGTGGCTTTACTACTTGATCGGCATAAACGACGACCACGGGCAGCTTAGATCAGAGGCTCCTTCTGCGCCGCACTGCTCTTATATGCACCCATGCACTGACACCCTTTCTTTCCACGGCGCACCGTGATTCTGTGCTGCTCTGGAGCAGTCGACGTAAGCGGTCTACTACCTTGCGCATCCGCACCAAAAGGGTACGTATGGACGGGACGTGCGTGCTCCTCCTCCCCGCACCGTGTCCGAGCGGCTCATGCGTGCACCGGCATATGCGTCGTTATCAGTATGGCGAGCACCCGCACAATCACGCGGGCGCTCAGCCTGAGTATTTGTGGACGTCTGCCCGCGTCCTCGCCTCGCTGTGCATCGCCGCCATCGGCCGTGTGCTCTTCTGCCTTCCTCACACTGGACTCCTTCTCAATCACGAACCCCACGGCAGGCACCACACAAACGCCTCCCGTCCACCGCACTGGCTTGCGCATCAGGGTACCACGCTTACGCTTCGTCATCAGGAGACGACCATTGGCGGCATACTCCCGGCGGTCTATGTCAGACCGCGACATGAGCGCGGAAGTCAAGCTAAAATGTACAGCAACGGTCACTCTCGTCATTTACGGTAGTTCACGATCCATATCTCGATGAATTTATGTTAAAAGAGCCCATAAACTATACGCTGATCGTCATCTGTAATAGATGGCTAGTCGCCGCAAAATTACATATGCACCGAATCAGGCAGGAGTTAAGTGGCCGACGCTGGGATTAGCGCCCATCGTCCATTTTTTGGCTTAGCGATATCGCCTCAGCTTGCTTGCTACTCCTTGACACTTACTGTCGCTTACGGGGTTTTGCAAAGTCGATCAATTTTGCAAAACACCGTGGTCTCGTCTTCCACCTCAAAGACTGTACTTATGACACTTGTATAATGTTATAGACATACATTTCAGTCTATCTGTGAAGCCGATTGAGGAGAAATGTATTTGCTGTGGAATGGGAGCCTTAAGACGCTTTGTATGGCCTGCTGGAAATTCTTGATAAGACAGATCTATAGTGATTATAAGTTGTTTTCCCCAATCGGACATCCGATATAGTATGTTCCAGCCATTCCTTTCTCAATCCTCTAACACTGTCAGCAAACTGAACCCCGGCGTGTGGTAGCTTTGCAAAACAAAAGTGACATTCTCTGCCACCATGCGTGATGTTTCAATCTCCGCTCTCAATCGTGATCTGCAGATGACACGACGACAAGCTTGGTCGCGGCTTTTGCCACGGTGGAGTCTCACTTGCCGCCGTGACCCGTAAGTGACAAAGTTTGCAAAACCACTGCAATCTGGAGGCTTCCACCGACATCCCTCTACAACTCGCATTTCATTACGAATTGCCCTGAAACTCGGTATACAAATTGTTAAGACCATTAGGAATAATGCCTATGTGATAGAACGGTAGCTCTTCTACTCGTTCGAGCATATTAGTGCAGGCATCAAAATGTTTGCAAAACCCCGTAAGCCATAGTATCTGCTCCACCTGTTTCCAACTAAGTACATACAGAAATATACAATGCCAAATACAATCAAACTTGTACGTGACTACTGCGTGCTCCACAAACCTTCATGCTCCAGTCTTCGTGGCCTGCGAAACTACAAACGCACTAGCAGATAGGAGCAGGGTGAAAGTTGATGCCTAGGGTGTCACTCCACACTCTAGAGTTTCTTGTATGTTGCCGTAAGTACAACAATACTATCCGGATGCTAACCGTGCCACCTAGCACCCTACGTGTTACTACTGTCATCCTTGCCCGGATGGTTGACCCCTTACCGACGATGACTGCTTGATTCTGCTTGTGGCCGATGACGGTTTACCAGTCACCACTCTGCGAACGCCGTCGCCAGCAGGTCGAGGGACTACATGGAAAATCCACGAAGATGTGTTTCGCCTAGCATTGAGCTTCGACTGCCGTGTAAGGTGTCAAGTAGGAGTAAGCATTCCCATGAGAACGTGAATCAGGGCTGTCTCATTACTCTATGGCTGCACAGACAGAAATTATACGATCCAGCAGCAGCTAGACTGTAATGAAGATCAGGCAGTCGAGCTGAACATAAGAGTTCCAATCTCAACATGTGATATCTCAATGCGCACCGCATCTGGCAAAGTACCGATCTCAGCCCACCACAACGCATCGAAGTATAGCGATATGCATCGAGATTCGTTGTTAGTGTCTCATGTCCAAGATTGGCCAATAACCAAGTTTATCAGCGTCCAATGGGTATGCCCTAGCCATTATGCAGGAACACTTTGGTGTGGCTCATGACATGTGAACAATAAAGCGCTTCTCATGAACCCAGCCGAGTATTGAGCTTCGACACAGTGTGGTCTGATGCCATACCTATCGAGAAGTAAGAGTCACCCCCCTCAAAAGCAAACTAGAGTTGTCACATTACTCATTGCCTGGGCTGGACGACACGGACCAATAGGCGCCATCTTGTAACGTGGTTCAGGCAGCTAAGTTCAACATCCGAGATCTATGAACGAAACGTGCTATCTCAATGCTCAATTTACATCGCATCTGGCAAGGCCCCGATATCAGCGCACCCCGCATCGCATCGACGCTTAGCTATATACATCGACGTTGTTCTGGTATGGTGCCTGACATCGTGTCTCAGATTGTTCGCCAGCGTCCAATAGGTATGCTTAAACCTTCATACCGGGGCGCCTCGACCAGTGTGGCTACGTGGCATGTGAACGATGCAGCGCCTCACCGTCACAAAGCACAGGCATGCCGCGGTCGGGTCGTGGCGCTTGCAAGTCTTAGTATGTTCGGATGCAGAACGTAAGCGTACCACCTGCGCTGACGAGAGCACGATATCCACATATATGTGTGAGTGTCGGGTCAAATTGCTTCGCTGGACGGGCCCATCTAGTTTCCCGACTGCAACTCAGGCTAGGTGCCGATTCGAGCATGTCGCTTCCACACGATAGCTATGTGCTGTTGTGCGTCAGCGTTCTTCTTGTGGTCGCAGCCCATTACGCCTACAGCCGTTGGCTCTTCCCCACGCGTCGACTTCCTCTCCCTCCTGGACCGCCACGCGCTCCTTTTCTGGGGAACATACACCAAGTACCTTTGACGTATCAGCATAAGAAATTTGCGGAATGGTCCCAGCATTACGGTCAGTCCTTCGATCCGTCTCACACACCGCTCACACTAACGCGACAAACGACATGTAGGGGATCTGTTTTGTGTACAAGTATTCCAGAAGCCGATGTTCATCGTCAGCTCTATCAAAGTGGCTCGCGACCTACTGGAGACACGCTCGGCAAAATACTCAGACAGGCCGTATTCTGTCGTAGCGAACGAGCTGTAAGTCTTTCATATGCGACACAATGGCAATCCTGACGTAATATGGACGAGAAGCGTGTTTCCCCTTCGCAGGCCGACCTTGGGATTCATGCCCTACGATGAACGGTTCAGGCGTCTGCGTAAATGGTTCCAAGACGCATTGGAGACGAAGGCCTCCCTGCAACAATATCATCACATACAACGGAGGGAGGTCGGGAGACTTTTGTCGGATCTCGTACACACTCCGAAAGAGTTCTTCTCTCACATCAGGAGGTGCGCTTCAAGTTCTTCATCTCTACTCAAACACGTTGACTCACCTGCGGCCAGATATAATGGCGCACTGATGCTAGAAATTGCTTACGGACATCCGGTCGCGTCCGCAGAAGACGAGTACATGGCATTCGCAGACCGCTCCGTCGCTGCCGTCACCGACATCGGTAGTGTTGCCTCTACACTGGTCGATTTCGTTCCCATTTGTAAGTCAAGCGCACAATACGATCTTGTCCTGGAATGCAAGGTGATTCGTCATTATAGTGAAGTACATCCCGACATGGATGCCCGGCGCAGGCTTCAAGCGTCAAGCCCTGCGTGTTAAGGATATGTGGGCTGAGATGACACGCATACCGTACCAGAGAGTCCGTGATGACATGGTCAGGAAAACCCATCTCGTCATTTCCGGGTTATTGAATGCACGATTGGCCGCTTCCTAGGCTCTGGGGAAAGCAAAGCCCTCGTTTACCACTTTCATGATTCAAGAGGTGTCGCGAGATGGGCATCTCACAGACGACAATGAGTACGACATCAGCAATGCTGCCTCCCAGATGTACGGAGGTGGGTATTATCAATGCCTTTCCTATCTTGAATGCTTACTTGGCTCAAGCTGGGGTTGAGACGGTAGGTCGACTCTACATACGGCCGCAGGAGAATGTGACATCTGACCTTCGTCGAAGACCTTGCATACATTGCTCGCTCTACTTCTCGCATTGACTATCTATCCAAACGTCGTCGACAAGGCGCAAGCGGAAATCGATAGAGTCATTGGTACATCTCGACTTCCCGAGCTTGCCGACAGGGACTCTCTGCCATACTTGGGCTGTATTGTCCAGGAGGTGCTTCGGTGCGTCCACTTCACTACGCTTTAGTTCACCTATTCGTCACACATCGATCACAGATGGTATCCTGCAGGGCCACTGGGTAAGACCCTCGTATCTGAGCATCATGGAAACCAAGAGTTGACATGAGCTCAGGGATGCCCCATGCTCTCCGGGAGGACGACAGCTATAATGGATATCGTCTCCCGAGAGGCTCAATGATTGTTGCGAACATTTGGTATGTGCAGAATATACACGCTGCTTGCCAATCTCACTCAATTACATATAAACTAACTTCCAGGGCAATGACTAGAGATCCGGCGCTGTATCCAGATCCCGAAGTATTTCGCCCAGAGCGCTTCGAGGAGATGGACGCTGAGACAGCTGGTGCGCGGGATCCGCGGAAGTACACCTTTGGGTTTGGTCGCCGGTAGGACATAAGTTCAGATTGTCTTTGCATACCGTGATGTATTTTCTCATGCAGTATTTGCCCTGGTCGCTACCTCGCCGACTCCAGTATCTGGCTTGTGACGGCTAGTATCCTCGCCACCATGAATATCCGCAGGGAATGCGACTCAGCGGGTCGCGAGATCATACCCACGCCGTCGTTCAAGAGCGGCATCATCAGGTGAGAGATAATACATAATACATATAAGATGACGCCAATGATGTTGACAGCCACGTTGAACCATTCGAATGCGACATCCGGCCCCGTTCTCAGAGGACTATAGATCTCATTGCTGAGCGCAAGTACGAGACGACTGGTTAAAATATATCAATGGATTAACGATCTAGGAGTTACGACGGGAAGTGATGATTAGGCTCACTCGTATTTGTTGGATCTCGCAATTGAGGAACGCCACAGCGCGACAGCGGGTTTGGCACACATGAACACGCTGAGCCCTGCGTCCCTCTTCGATTGTTTTCCTAACCTCCGAAAAGTGAATGCGCACCCGATGAACCCGATGAACTAGAGGATCAGGCACGTTGGGAGGCGTTGAGAAATCCCTGCTCACCCTGACGGGCTTGGTCCACTTTGTACTCCATCAGACTCAAGTCAGAGCAGAAGAGATAGTTCTTGTACCATCAAATAACATATACCTATAGCGCAGCCACTGCAGTCGTGAATGATTTTGATTGCTCTAGCTCATTACATCGTGATGGAGCCAGAAGAGACGACATGTGGAGGGAGATGGCACGGAAAACAATAAAGAACGCAAAGCGGTCGTCACAGCTGCACGCGCAAACGTAAAACTACACAGTAAGGTAAGGTGACAGTCCCCTGCATCTACAGAGCGTCCATGCGCCTCCTCGTCTACTGTTGCCCTGATTTCGCCTTCGCGGCCATCTACACAGTGCATGGTCAGCGCCACGAATAAAGAACACGCAGGACAACGAGAGCGTACCAGGTTGAGCGCGGAACCCGCCTTGAACCACTCGATCTGGCCGGCATTGAAGCTGTGCGCGAGCGCGATCTCCTCCTTTGAGCCGTCCTGGTGCTTGACCACAAGCGTCAGGTTCTTGCCCTCCTGGAAGCTCTCGAGGCCGACAATGTCGACGCGGTCGCTCGGCTGGATCTTCTCGTAGTCCTCGGGGTCCACGAACGTCAGCGCGAGCATGCCCTGCTTCTTGAGGTTCGTCTCGTGGATACGCGCGAACGAGCGGGTGATGACAGCGAGACCGCCGAGGAAGCGCGGCTCGAGGGCAGCGTGCTCACGCGACGAGCCCTCACCGTAGTTGTGGTCGCCGATGACGACCCACTTGATGCCGTTGTCGCGGTACCATGCACCCGTCTGCGGGACACCGCCCCACTCGCCGTTGATCTGGTTCTTGACCTTGTTCGCCTCGCCGTTCTCCGCGTTGATCGCACCAATCAAGCAGTTTTCTGTCGCAGCATTAGCCTTTGAGCATACAACAGGAGCGAAGAATCTCACGGGAGATGTTCTCCAGGTGGCCACGGTACTTGAGCCACGGGCCACCAGCCGAAATGTGGTCAGTCGTGCACTTGCCCTTGACCTTGATGAGGATGGGGAGGTCCGTCGGGGTCTTACCGTCCCATGGCGCGAAGGGCTTCAGCAGCTGGAGACGGTCGCTCGTGGGGCTGACTGCAACCTGGACGCTGGCACGGTCCGCGGGAGGAGCCTGGTAGGTATTCTGGCCGGGGTCGTAGCCGGTAGGAGGCAGCTCGTGGCCGGAGGGGTCGCTGAACTTGAACGGCTTGCCGTCAGCACCAGTGAGCGAGTCAGTCAGAGGGTTGAAGCCGAGATCACCAGCAAACGCCATCGCAGTGACGATGTCGGGCGACGCGACGAATGCGTGGGTAGCAGGGTTCGCGTCGTTACGGCCGGTGAAGTTACGGTTGTAAGAGGTGATGACTAGAAGGAATGTGAGCTATGATGCCATCGTACACAATACAGAATGCATACTGGAGTTGGCATCGCCCTTCTTGACGTCACGGCGATCCCACTGACCAATGCACGGGCCGCAAGCGTTGGCGAGCAAAAGACCGCCGACCTCCTCGAAAGCACCGATCTGGCCGTCGCGCTCAATCGTCGCACGAACCTGCTCCGAACCAGGGGTGACCGTAAACTTGCTCTTTGTCTGCAGACCATGCGACGCAGCCTCACGGCAGATAGACGCAGCGCGTGACATGTCCTCATATGATGAGTTCGTGCAAGAACCAATAAGCGCAACCTTCAGCTCTGCGGGCCAGCCGTTCTTCGCGACCTCCTCCTTGAACTTCGAGATAGGGGTAGCCAAGTCGGGGGTGAAGGGACCGTTGATGTGGGGCTCAAGCTCGGACAGGTTCTGTATGAACATTAGTATATGCGCACAGGACATTGGATGAAGCACTCACAATCTCGATGTGCTGGTCGTAGTCGGCATCCTTGTCGGCCTGCAGGTTATGCGCGAAGCTCTGAGCGTACTTGGCGATATCACCACGCTTCGTCGCGTTCAGGTAGTCGACCATACGGTGGTTGAAGGGGAAGATCGAAGTCGTTGCACCAATTTCAGCGCCCATGTTGCAAATCGTAGCCATACCCGTGCACGAGAGCGATTCGACACCAGGACCCTTGTACTCGACGATAGCACCAGTACCGCCCTTGACCGTGAGGATACCCGCAACCTTCAGGATAACATCCTTGGGCGTCGTCCAGCCGCCGATCTTGCCAGTGAGGTTAACACCAATGACCTTGGGGCACTTAAGCTCCCATGGGAGACCGGCCATGACGTCGACAGCGTCAGCACCACCAACACCACAAGCAACCATGCCGAGACCTCCAGCGTTAGGTGTGTGCGAGTCCGTACCGATCATGAGACCGCCGGGGAAGGCGTAGTTCTCGAGGATAATTTGGTGAATGATACCAGAGCCAGGTCGCCAGAAACCGAGACCATACTGAAAGCAAATCGGCTCAATCCAAAGTTCAATAACAGCGGCAGAGCACAACTTACCTTGGCAGTTGCCGTAGCCAAGAAGTCGTACACTTCCCTGTTAGTGTTCACCGCCCGCTCCAGATCCTTCGGTCCACCAATCTGGGCCTCAATCAAGTGGTCACAGTGCACAGTGGTCGGGACGGCAGCGGTGTCCATGCCAGCAGACATGAACTGGAGAATCGCCATCTACGGAAGAATACGAGATCAGCATTTGCGACGCGTGACTAAGATGTTCAGAAAATATGTGCTCTGGAAGAGGGCGAGCGGTGTATGGACATGGCACGGCCAGAGCTGAAAGTGAAAGACATGCATGATAATCGGAGCGATATACGCGGAGAAGTGATTGGCCAGCTTGTCCATTGCAGAAGGTAGTGTATATGCTCCGGGCACAAGACGGACAATCACGTTGCCCACATTCAAAATGTTGGAGGCTCGCAAGCAATTGCGATGACCTCACAGATAAACGTCATAATGATGATAGTGCAGACGCGGGGTCACCAGCGCTTCTCGCACTCCCGAGGTGATATGGCCATGACGCGCTGAAGAAAACGGGAGGAAAACGCAAACACAGAGGGGGGGGGGCAGCAAGGGGAAAGAACGAATGATGCCAAGTAGGTCGCATACACGAGAGGGATTGGATAAACGCATACCTGAGCCGTAGCGTCCTGGCACGCAACTCGCTGTTGATGTGTTAGCGTCATAAACACACGCATCGGCAAGTAGGAACTCACGTCAGGGCGAAGCTTGAGATAACTCTTTCCTCGCACGAGCTCCTGGTTGTGTGGGTCATCCAGGTGACCGTACACAATCTTCTCTGACATGGTCAGAGGCCGCTTCAGCCTATTTGCGCGTCGGAATCAGTTCCGTTCTACACTCTGCTGCGAAGTATCGTCTTGTTCGCGACGGTGACGCGACACTCACCTCTCGCGAACAATTGCGAGGTTATCCTCGATGCGCTGGTAGTTGATGTATGCACTAGGCTCAAGGAGCGACATAGGGACCTTGGTTGCGCCAATGTTGGGTTCTGCAACGGTGGCCATGCCGGCGGCCAGCCGCTGGAGCGACCGCCAGGCATGCGCTGTGCGAGAGGAAAGGTTGAGCATCGTCGTGGACGTCGACGTGCAAGAGCGGAGAGCGAGAGAGCAAAGGCAAGACGTGTGTCGGCAAGTGCCGCGGGGCCTGACGAATTTATGGGCGGTGATTGGCCCTTCGGACGAACGCCCCGATACACCCCGGCCTCCGCTCTTACGCCGACCGTCGACGCGCCCGCTTCATCCTTTTCCACTTTCACGCGTCCCTTAGACGCGTTCGTCGCCGTCGCGCACAGCGAGCTTGACGCGATCCCTATGACTCTCGCCTGATCTGCACGCCGCACTCGTCCCGCTAAGGCTGCCCCGCGCTCTTGGCACTAGCCAGCCCGACTTCCCAAGTCCGCCCATGACCGCGGTCGCACGTCTGCTGACACTCGGACGCGGTAATCCGAATGCGACAGACCGCCCTCCTCGGTGCCGTGCACATGAGAAAATACGCCCTGGTTTCTTCGGCCGTCTCTCCACAACCGATCGCGTCCGTTCGTGGACCTGCGCCAGCTCGGGCCAATCAGCGGCTCGCTTTAACAGTGTTGCGCAACGATCGACGTGTATTCTTGTCCGTGCCCCGCCCCGCTCCTTGCACCAGTGTGGCTGCTTCTCCTTCTGCGGCTTCGACAACGGTGGATATATTATCAAGCTTTCACTCGCCTTCTCCAACGCTACTCTCTTCGCGCGGAGCACAGCGGACAGCATGACGTGTTGTAGTGGGTACATATCCGACTATCGTAGGAACCTTTGATGGAGCTTGTGAGGTATGCATGTCGATCCGTCGTCACATATCTAGCTTTTTGCTGTGCGGGCAGTCATGAACACTGCTTTCATATCAGCGATTGTTTGCCGATCATTTCATCGTGAGGACCCCGTGAATTTCACCAGATATTCCTGGTACTTCCAGTGAGTCACCGGGTTCTGCGAGGCTGACAACATGCACGGAGCATCTATGTGCGACGCGATGAAATCATTGCGAGGCTGAAGCTGAGCGCAGTAGATGGTAGGTTCTGCGCCGCTGCCATGTTCAGCCGAAGCTTCTGCCCCACATTCGTCCCAGAGTGTAATCTTTGAGGGGAGGACTATCATTATTGGGACTGTTGGGGGTTCCGCCACAAACCTCGTTCTAGGGCATAGGGATATGTCGTAATCATCGCAGCAGCGGTCCAATCTTGTCGTTGCTGTGCGCCAGATTTACAGCAAAACCAATATGGATAGACCTCCCCTCGCAAAGTACACAAATCGGCAAAGTGGGGCAGAAGCTCGCGGTAGGATTCAGCAGTGATGCAGACACACGCTCGCTACAATCCCCTCGTCCTCCCGCCGTCATTGTTCATTGAGGCGCTATATCCCTCCTCAGAAATAACTCGGTGTATAATACATGTCTAATTCATGACTAATGGTCGGATCAAGGAAGCTACTGGCATCGCAGACTCGGAGTTTGTCGCTGTCTACCTTTGTTTGCAGAAGTAGAGAGCGACGATGTAGACATTGCCAAACAGACGAGTCGTATCGAGACATCGGCACGGATCACATACCATATATGGCTGTCGTGAACAGTACTTACTGTGAGGGCGGAGGTGCCGAGCGCCGCTATGCTCCATGCCGCATATCTGTACTTTTTGCGCGGGAGGTCTATCAATATTGGGTTTTCTGTAGACTTGTCAACCTCATGAGCTCAACGCGCGAGCTGCAGATGGAGCGGGCACGAGATCTCTCAACGCCTCCCAACCTGCCTGATGCTCGAGCTCATCGGGTTCATCGGGTGCGCATTCACTTGTCGGGGGTTAGGAAATCAGTCGAAGAGGAACGCAGGGTCCAGCGTGTTCATGTGTGCCAGACCCGCTGTCGTGCTTTGGTGTTCCACGAAAGCTATTGCTGCGAAAGCTTTTGGGCAGATATACGGACGACTACTGAGTCGTGAGCGCGATTCCCTGCGACGGTTGCTTGCAGAGGCCAAAGGAGGGCACATTAAGGTTGACGAACTTATGATAGTCTGACCGAGCACCCATGAGCGTGGTTGTGACTTCGCACTCGACCACCCTTGAGAGTGGTGGACGATGTGCATGCAGTGAGCTCTCCGGATATGCCATTGTTCCTGCCAGTGTGTTCGATTGTGAGATCGAACAAATACGAGTGGGCCTGAGCAAAATTTTTCATCGTAACTCATGAATTGATAATCCGTTCATCTAGTTCAATCAGTGGTCTCGTAGTGGCGCTCAGCAATGAGATCTATAGTCTTCTGAGAGCGGGGTCGAATGTCGCATTCGAATGGTTCAACATGGCTGTTAAACATCATTGGCGTTATCTTATATGTATTATATATTAGCTCTGACCTGACAATGCCGCCCTTGAACGACGGCGTGGGTATGATCTCGCGACCTGCTGAGTCGCGCGCCCTGCGGATATCCATGGTGGCGAGGACATTAGCCGCCACAAGCCAGACGCTGGAGTCAGCGAGGTAGCGACCGGGGCAGATACTGTAGCAGAGAACAAATCAGGCTCTGAAAGACAATTTGGACAACCGTCTTACCGGCGACCAAACCCGAAGAGATACTTCCGCGGATCCCGCGCACTGGCTGTCTCAGCGTCCATCTCCTCGAAGCGTTCTGGACGAAACACTTCAGGATTTGGGTACAGCGCTGGATTTCTACTGATTGCCCTAAAATGAGTTCAAATATTCAACAGTGAGCCGTACGAGTCTCATAGTAGGGTTGAACATACCACACGTTTATGATAAACATGGAGCCTCCCGGGAGACCATATCCGTTGTAGCTGTCATCCTCCTGAAGACAGTGGGGTACTCCTGAGCCAGCGTCAACTCTCAATGCCGAGCATTCTCTGAAAGGAATGTTCTACCGAGCGGCGTTATAGGGTTCCATCTGTGATAATGTATGTTAATTATGTAGCATTAACTAAAGAAGGATGAACGCACCGAAGCACCTCCTGGACAATACAACCCAAGTATGGCAGGAATTCCCTGTCGGCAAGCTCGGGAAGTCGAGATGTACCAATGACTCTATCGATTTCCGCTTGCGCCTTGTCGACAACTTTCGGATAGATTGTGAATGCCAGAAGGAGAGTAAGCAACGTATGCAAGGTCTTCGATGAAGTTCAGTTGGCAATCTCTCCTGCGGCCGTATGTAGAGTCGACCTACGGTCTCAACCCCGGCTTGAGCCAAGTGAGCATTCAGCATAGAAAAAGCAGGAGCGAGCACTCACCTCCGTACATCTGGGATGCAGAATTGCTGATGTCGTACTCATCATTGTCTGTGAGATGCCCATCTCGCGACACCTCTTGAATCATGAAAGTGGTAAACGAGAGCTTTGCTTTCCCCAGAGCCTAAGAGGCAGCCATTCGTGCATTCAACAACCCGGCAATGACGAGTTGGGTTTTCCTGACCATGTCATCACGAACTCTCTGGTACGGTATGCGTGTCATCTCGGCCCACATATCCTTAGCACGCAGGGCTTGACGCTTGAAGCCTGCGCCGGGCATCCATGTCGGGATGTACTTCACTATAATGACGAATCACCTTGCATTCCATGACAAGATCGTATTGTGCGCTTGACTTACAAATGGGAACGAAATCGACCAGTGTAGAGGCAATACTACCGATGTCGGTGAGGGCAGCGACGGAGCGGTCGGCGAATGCCATGTACTCGTCTTCTGCGGACGCGACCGGATGTCCGTAAGCAATTTCTAGCATCAGTGCACCATTATATCTGATCATGGGTGAGTCAACGTGTTTGAGTAGAGATGAAGAACTTGAAGCGCACCTCCTGATGTGAGAGAAGAACTCTTTCGGAGTGTGTACGAGATCCGACAGAAGTCTCCCGACCTCCCTCCGCTGTATGTGATGATATTGTTGCAGGGAAGCCTTCGTCTCCAATGCGCCTTGGAACCATTTACGCAGACGCCTGAACCGTTCATCATAGGGCATGAGCCCCAAGATCGGCCTGCGAAAGGGAAACACGCTACTCGTCCATGCTCCGTGAGAATCGCTGTTGTGTCGCATATGAAAGACTTACAATTCGTTCGCTACGACGGAATACGGCCTGTCTGAGTATTTTGCCGAGCGTGTCTCCAGCAAATCGCGAGCCACTTGTATGGAGCTGATAATCAACATTGACTTGTGAAATATTTGTACACAAAACAGATCCCCTACACGTCGTTTGACGCGTTAGTGTGAGCGGTGTGTGAGACGGATCGAAGGACTGACCGCAATTCCGGGACCATTCCGCAAATTTCTTATGCTGAGACATCAAAGGTACTTGGTGTATGTTCCCCAGGAAAGGAGCGCGCGGAGGTCCAGGAGGGAGAGGAAGTCGACGCGTGGAGAACAGCCAACGGCTGTAGGCGTAGTGGGCTGCGACCACAAGAAGAACGCTGACGCACAACAGCACATAGCTATCGAGTGGAAGCGGCATACTCGAATCGGCACCTAGCCTGAGTCGCAGTCGGGAGAATGAATGGGCTCGTCCAGCGAAGCAGTACGACATGACACACTCATATATGTAGCTGTCATACTCTCGTCAGCGCAGACAATACGCTTATGTTCTGCATCCGAACATACTAAGACTTGCAAGCGCCATGAGCCGACCGCGGCATGCCTGTGCTTTGTGACGGTGAAGCGCTGTATCGTTCACATGCTACGTGAACGGGAGACGAGGTGTCCCAGGCTTGATGATTGAGGCATACCTATTAGACGCTGGCGAAGCATCTGGGTCATGATGTCAGGCACCATACCAGGATAGACTTTGAGGCATCCCGCTAAGCCTCGATGCGATGCGGAGTGCGCTGATATTGGTACTTTTCCAGATGCGGTGACTATTGAGATAATACATTTTAAGTTGGAACTCTATGTTCAGCTCGACTGTCTTATCTTCGTCACAATCTAGCTGATGGTGGATAGTACGGTTTCTGTCTGTGCATTCTAGAGTGATGAGACAGTTCTCGGTCACATTTTGGTGGGAATGCTTACTCCTACATGACATCTTACACGGCAGTCTAAGCTCAATGCTATGCGAGGTACATCTTCGTGGATTTTCCATTTGTCCCGCGATTTGCTGGTGAGGGCGTCAGCAGAGCGTTGAAGGGTGAACCATCATCAGTTAGAAGCAGGATCAAGCAGTCATCGGTAAGGGGTCAACCATCCCGGTAGGGATGACAGTAGTAACACGTAGGACGTGAGGCAACGCGATCAGCATCCGTATAGTGACTGTTATACTTACGGCATCACGCAAGGAAATTTGCGACGTGGAACGATGCCCTAGGGCATCAACTTTAACCCTGCTGCTAGTGCGTTTTCGGTCTCGCGGGCCACGAAGATTGGAGCTTGAAGGTTTGTGGAGCACGCAGAAGTCACGTATAATGTTGATTGGAGTTGGCATTATGTGATGCTGCACTGACTTGGAATAAGGTGGAATGGACACTCAATATCTAGCCTAGTGGTAGCGTTGACAAGGAAGTAGCAGCCACGCTATGAAGGTGCTGCTGAACCAAAAATGGACGATGGGCGCTAATCCCCGCGTCGGCCACTCAACTCCTGCCTGATTCGAAGCACATATAATCTTGCGGAAACTAGCCATCTATCACAGATGACGATCAGCGTATAGCTTATGGGCTCTTTTAACATGAGTTCATCGAGATATGGACCGTCTACCACCGTTAATGACGAGGCTGAACCGTTGATGTATGTTTTAGCTTGACTTCCGCGCTGATGTCGCGGTTTGCCATAGACATGCGCCAGGGGAATGCCGTCGACGGTCATCTCCGAGTCCATGAGACTGAAAACACGCTCAAACCAATGCTGCGATTGTAGAGTGTCTGCGATCATGGGGATGCACAGCGTTTACTCGGGGTCCTCGGGATAACTCGGGAGAATGCACTTTCTGCATCCAGGCCAGTCAGTACTAAGTTTGAACATTTTGCGGTCATGGGTACAGTGGTGCGATGCACTCTACCATCTACAAGAAGCGTCTGTCCAATATGTCGCACGGGGCTATGTCGGAACAGTGTCGTATCGAGGCCAACGCTTCATCCGAATGATATATTCAGTGCCACCGTTGCGGCATTGTCAAATCATTCAAACCTTCTACAGGAGTAGCAGCTCTTGGTCTCTGGAGGTACAGGTCGTGCCTCTCCCGAAGACGACAGCGATACACTTCGCGTTGGGCCGTGCTTCCTTCACATCTGCACTTGACTAGCTGTTGTTTGATGTTCGCTTTACAGAACTCGCAGAACCTGGAGGACAGTTGTGTCATCCAACTTCGTTACCACTCGCTTGATCCCCGTTGCTTAAACGCTCAGGACTCAGGGCTAAGGTTTCATATTGCTGCGCACTGACGCTGAACTATATACCAAAGACCCTGAGTCTTATTTACTAATACTTGGGCCAGTCGTCGTAGGGTGGTGGAGAGGAACAAGATTGTGGACTTCAAGACCAACTCGCGTGGATTAGGATTGGACTGCATGTCGCCGAATAGAGGCGGGGACATGGCTGGTGTGGTATTCAGACGGCCCCTCACCTTCCAAAGATGGTGGGAAGACGTTTTCCATTCATCACTAACAGATGGCACCTGTGAGTTCGCACACTTGCTTCTCTGCATGCCATCACGACCACGGGAATGTGTTGGCAGTAGCATCTTCGAGTGGTCTCGCGGGGAAGACAAACATACATATATACAGACTGCCTTCTATTTGACCTAATCACTGACCTTCCCTTGTCGTGTCACGGCACGCAAGATGTCGGCGCTGAGTGACGCCGAGTACCTGCGGCAAATGTGAGTCCTTCCACCCGCATGGGAGCTACTGAAACTCGGTTCTAGTGTCAGCGTTTTCATATTCTTGTGCACAATACAGCTACCTGCAAAATGTCGCATCTGTAGCCTGTCTCAGTACGTTGGCTGTCGATCCTTGAACAGGTCGACGAACTGACAGGCCGCCCTGGAACGCAGCCGTCTACACGTATGAGCTTGTCATCACTATAGAGCAGCAAGTGCGCTTCCTTGCACGCCGACGCTTCTCCGCCATCGCCGTGCTGTACACATCGATGCATCTCTCGACGATGATCTTCCTACTGGCCTGGCTTGTTGGCTGGGTCTTCCGGGACTGTCACAGCGTATTCATAGGTAATCTGCTTGTACTTCTAGTGAACGCGGTTCTCCGCCTTGTCTTCGGAGGTAGGCATGCTGACTGTCTGGGTCGTCCTAGTATCCACTCACGCGGCATAGTGATATCTGGTTTCCGTGTGTATGCAATCAACGGGCAGAAGCTGCTGCTTCCGTTATTCATTGCCGTGCTCTACGTCCCAGATATTGTAGAATGGACGGTACGTCGCCTCGAGCAGTGCGCTGCGGTTACTGACACTGTCTACGACCAGTGGCAGGCATCGCGACAGACCTACACCAAGGATCCAGTCATAGGCTGTGTGATCAACTATAGCCTCTCGAAAGGCGTCGAGAATATGTGGGTCTCAGACGGCTGTCACTGCCCATCTTCATCACTAATCATAGGGCATAGATGTAAGGCAGATTGGTTTGTGCCCTAGCGGATGGGGATACTGAAATCAGCACCACACTTTAGTGACGGCATTCACGCAGGCCTGCATCATTGTGTCAGAGCTCTTGGTTGTGATAGCTATCTGGCGATTAACATACCACGTCAGGAAGGTAATGATGACAGCACAGTCTCAGCTGACTGTCACCATGCTGTTGATACGCGACGGTGAGGCTCACTGGTTTTGTTAACGATAGTGCACTTGACTGAGCAAATGCATGTGCATAGGCAGCATGTACTTCGTGTATGTTTCCATGACGCAAGATGAGGCGGCGTGGTGTATCTGATTATAAGTTGCGCAGCGCCCTGGTTATCTGCACCGCGTTGGACATTTACATTGAATATCGAACCGTGAGCATCTTATCCATGTCTTTAAAGTGGGATGGCTGACAATACTGTTCAGTTCTTCCCATGGATAGGCTCGATCACGACAACGTGCGTGTCTTCTCCCATCTGAGACAGACGTGTACTCACACTTCACGCCCTATAGCATCACGACGATACTCATTTCGCGCATGTTCCTTAACCTGTCGAACATACACTATCCACCAATGGGGCTGACGACAACGACTGCGACGCAGCATCTCGCAGATACTATGCACTTTGGGTCGAGCGAGTGGCACACGAACGTGTTCTCGGCGGACGCGGCGTCCTCGTCTGACGTCGTGCACGATGGTGAAATAGACATGACTGGGTACATCCTGGAGCCGCGTGGGACGACGAGCGGCGGCACGAGCTACGGTATGCCGCAGTCGAGGAACTTGGAGTCTGCGGTATGACCACTTAGCGAAATGTCGATTTCATGCGCATGTGATGACATAGATAAGTGGCTGCTGCGATATGGTATTACTCAGAGATTCTGGACCAATTAGAGCATGAATATCTACACATCTCTCTGGAGAAACAGCAGGGAACTCGATATGCGGCCAGAAATGATATTGGCACCATATATAACACATTCCGGGATCAGTGAATCATACTGTGGCTTATTGACGTTCAAGCTCTGCCGCAGGCGGATCGAAAGGCCTTCCGCACAGACGCTCGTTCGTACGAGATGTCTGGCGGTGATGCGCCTGTGGCGCAGTCCGGACATTGTTTGGACGTTGTTTGGCTCACTATACAGTTCCTTATTTTCGTACCGTAGAACTCTTGCTCTCGCGCGTAGGCTGACTTCAGTTCGTCCCTTACGGCCTACTGAAGTCAGTGAGTACCTTTAGACATATCAACAGTATCAATATACTAATGTATCGTAGATATACTATTTGTACAGGTGCATACCTATCCCGAGTTCGTCCCTTACGGCCTACTGAAGTCAATATACTATTTGTACAGCGCTCTCGTCCCACGTTAGGTTTAACAGGTTATGAGCCCTACCGACGCTTACGAGATCACGCTCGGCTCCAATGAGTCGCCCGTCAGCCGCCTCCCCAAGCTCGCTGAGGATGGATCGAACTGGGTCTTGTTCAAGGCCCAGTTCAAGGCGACGGTGTCGTCCAAGGGCCTATTGCGGTTCCTCGAAGGTCGCGACAAAATACCTATCGAACCGACAGCTCCAGGCGTCGATTCAGATGCTGACGAGAAGTACGAGAATGCTCTCGACATCTGGACAGGGAAGCATGAAGCCATTCGCGCACTCCTTTTCCAGACCATTCCGGAGACAATGAAGCTTCGCATCCTTTCCCTGCCGAAGGCCTCGGACGCCTGGAACCTTGTCTGCAAACAATACGAAAATCAAGGGGAGTTTGTTCAGATGGACATTCTCACCCGTATGCACGCCCTCACCACCGAGAACGGGAGCGACCCTCGACCGACGCTCAATGAGCTACAGCGGCTACGCACAGAGTACGCCGCCGCCGGAGGCTCCCTCGATGACGCAGGCTACAAGGCGATCATCCTCAAATGCCTGCCGTTGAGCTACAGAGGTGTGGTACGCACCATCTTGTCTTCTGCACACCTCATAGCTTTGGCAACATCGGTGCCCACTCCGGGTACATCACCTTCACCGCCTGGTACCACCTCCGCGACGCCATGCTCTGGCCTATCTCCAACAGCACTGGTCGAACAAATCTACGCAATAGCGCGAGATGAATTCGCCTTGGCCGGCCCTGTTCTCGCCAACGACTCTGCTCTTGTAGCAGACAGCTCCAATAAGTGCTTGAATTGCGGACGCGCTGGCCACACCAAGCCAAATTGCTGGAGTAAAGGTGGAGGGAAGGAGGGCCAGGGACCTAGGAGCAAAGCTCGCCGTGAGAAGGCCGCAACGGATGCGCATGAGAGCGCGAAAGCCGCCATCGCTGAGCTGGACAATGACGGCGATGTCTTCGCATTCAAAGCCATAGACTTGCCCGTCACTGACATCCACTTGCGCTCTGCAACCGGCAACGTACCTCGCCTCTGGGACTCGGGCGCAACACGACACTTGCACCCCATACGCACAGATTTTGCGAACTTCTGCAGCATCCATCCTAAGCCTATCCGGACGGCTGACGGTCGGGTGTTTTACGCTACCGGAGAGGGAGATGTCCTACTGCCGACTGAATACAAGGGCAGTAAGATGAAGGTGAAGCTCCAGGATGTTTTGTACACACCGAGTATTCCCCACTCCCTTATCTCCGTCAGCCGGGCCACCAAAGCTGGCTTCTCCGTCCGTTTTGAACCCGACGGCTGTCATCTCATAGCCCCCAATGGACGCACCTTGTCGCTCATCCCCGCTCATCAGGGGCTATACTCTACCTCGACAGATAGCAGTGCACAGGAGGGAGCGCTCAGTGCAGAGGTCATGTCCGTGTCACTGCATGAGCTGCATTGTCGCATGGGCCATGCATACAGCCCCGCTTTGCTCAAAATGGTCCGTGCGGGTGTGGTCGAAGGTATCAGGCTGTCGGACGAGTCCAGCGTCTTCTGCAACTCGTGCATGAGAGCCAAACATGCCCATGAGCCTTTCCCAAAGCAGCGCTCAAGCCCACGTGCTACCAAGTACGGTGAGCGCGTTCACATGGACGTCTGGGGAAAGGCGCCTGTGGCTACTCTCGGTGGCAAGGAGTACTATGTCTTGTTCCTCGACGATCACTCCGACGAGGCCATCGTTCACTTTTTGCGACGGAAAAGCGACACGTTTGGCCGTTACAAAGCATATCGGGCTTGGGCTAAAACACAACGTAGCGCCGAACATGCAAAGGAGCTACAGTGCGACTGCGGGGGCGAGTATCTAAGTGAAGAATACAAAGCTTACCTCGAGGGGGAGGGAACCATCCGCCGGCTCACCATACACGACTCGCCCCAACAGAACGGCAAAGCCGAGCACCTGAACCGCACCTTGACTGAGCATGCTCGCGCTATGCTCATTGGTGCCAGTCTCCCGAAGTTTCTTTGGGGTGAGGCTGTCTCTCATGCTGTGTGGCTTTGCAACCGCACGACCACAAGCAACACTCCCAGTGCAACCCCGCATGAGCTCGCCACGGGCAACAAACCCAATCTCGCCGGGCTACCTCGCTTTGGCGCCACAGTGTGGGTACGCATTGACCCTGCAACCAAACTCGACGTCAAGTCAAAGCGCGGCCGTTGGGTTGGTTTTGACCTGCAAAGCAAAGGTCACCGGGTCTACTGGCCGGACAAGCGGATTGTTGGCGTGGAACGTGATGTCCATTTCGAGCCGGGCATTTCCGTAGCTGCAGTCGATATGCCGCTCGAGGGGGAGCAATTGTTGCACGACCAGCACCCTCCTGCCGAGCCAGTCAGCCAACATGCACCCGGAACAGATGTTGTACCTGTTCCGGAATCAGCTATTGATGGCGATGCAAACCACGACTGTCACGAGTTGGTACGGCATCTAGCCGTTTTTTAATTTTTTCCTTTTCGCGGGCTCGAACCCGCGACCTCTGTACTACTTGCCCGATATGGATGCATCATTATCTACTGTACGATTAGATTAGATAGGACGGTAGTGCACGGCACAGCTCGGGCTCCGCTGACACAGCCGCTCTGACTCACCGGCCCCCGGGGCCGCGTCGGCATGCTGTGCACGGACCAGCTGCGCACGGACCAATGCGCACAGCCTGCCCTTATCCACCCCTGTATATAAGCCGGCCTCTGCTGCCCTAGGGACCTCAGTTTCGACCTCTTGTCCCTAGGTCAGTAAGCTCATGTACTTACTTACCTTTCTAAATGCTAACTTACTTGTCCCTTGTCGCGACTTGAGGTCAAGCGACAGGGAAATATCTAGAAGCGAGGGGTGTCCGACTGGTTCTCACCGAAGCGATGGTGAGCGAGGCTCAAACCTAAGGCTAGGGACAAGTAAGTTAGCATTAGAAAGGTAAGTAAGTACATGAGCTTACTGACCTAGGGACAAGAGGTCGAAACTGAGGTCCCTAGGGCAGCAGAGGCCGGCTTATATACATGGGGAGATAAGGGCAGGCTGTGCGCGCTGGTCTGTGCGCAGCTGGTCTGTGCGCAGCATGCCGACGCGGCCCCGGGGGCCGGTGAGTCAGAGCGGCTGCGTCAGCGGGGCCCGAGCTGTGCCGTGCACTGCCGTCCTATCTAATCTAATCGTACAGTAGATAACAACGCGTCCATATCAGGCAGGTAGTACAGAGGTCGCGGGTTCGAGCCCGCGGAAAGGAAAAATCAAAAAACAGCTAGACGCCGTACCAACTCGTGACACTTACCCCCCC